AGATTGAAAAGAGTGATCACGTTCTTTTTTCAAACATGTCATTGTTATTTATTAAGTCTAATTTTAGAGCCATTCTTACAATGTTAGCTCCACCACTCATGCATATCTAATGTTCAATCAAGGGCAGGTAAGTGTAAATTCACTATATTTGGAAAGCAGTAAGGACAAAAAACATAGAGTCATTTTATTATATCACAGTCTAAAATCATTTTAAGATTTAAATTTGGTTCCAAATTGACAGGATTCTTTCATAAACATACAAAAGTGAAATAAGATTTAGATATAAAAGCAACAGAAGCAACCGAAAAAGACCCAAAAACAGGTGTTAAGTGCAGTCATCCTTTGATAGAAAATCATGGAAATTCATTTAAAATCAAATTGAAAAAAAATATGTGTAAAAATACCATGATATTATCCTGATTTTTTTCCCCGAAAAATCATGATACAACGCTATACAAAATTCTTAGCAATATCCATCCCTAATATTTTGTGGCGGAATGATATTTACAAGAAAATTCTTCAAACGTACACATTTGTTAAATTTGATATCTTGGAACTTAAGCCCTACATATCCTACATATTTTTACTCAAAGAATTATTTCCATTATCATATGTTGGGAATATTTAAAATAGGTTTCAATATTTTTAGAACAAATTTTACACATTCACTCGAGACTTTGTCAAGAAATGAAGATATATTGAAGAAGTCAAGATAAAATTTACACTTTTTTGCCTGAAAATAGCAATTTTGACCAAAATCTCAAAATTTACATCACTGGCCCCAGCTATTTCTTTTATTATTTTAAACTGCACGATACGTTCAACCGATCAGCAGTAAACTCGTATGATTTTGATACAGGAAAACATTTTATTGCATATATAGATTTTTAATGCTCCCAATTTGATATGTTTGTGCAAAAAGGTCACACAATAATTTATGCGCATTAATTTGCAAGATTTATTCAATGATAAAGTTACAATTTAAGTGCAAAAAGGTTAAGTCACTATAGTAATTGTACTGCTGCTCAGTAAGATGCACACTGACCCCCAATTTTCTTTGACATTTTGAGTCATGCAATATGAGTACTTATCTAAAATATATTTCTCAAAATATCCTTGATATAACTACATGTAATTTCACGAGTGACATACCTTTGGGGAGAAATTCTCCACTTTCCAGCATTGGTCAATCAGCAACCAACTACCTTTCACTCCGTAATTCTAGACACATTTTTAATCAACCTGTATATTTTATCCACCTCCCAACCCTTTATTGTCATCTCTACAGACCAGTAAACTCTCGTTTTGAATTTTTTGTCGAATGGCAGAAAATTCAAAACCAGCGAGTTTAATGGACTATAGAGACGACTATAACGAGTTGGGACTTGAATAAAATATACAGGTTGATTAAAAAATGTGTCTAGAATTACGGAGTGAAAGGTAGTTGAATGACCAATACTGGAAAGTGGAGAAATTCTCTCAAACAGTGCGCAGCAAAATTTGCGCCGTAAATTGCTCCTTATTTGCAATACGGGATCTTTAGCGTTATGGTGAAAGACTTATATATAAAACCATAACGCTACAGTTCTGCAGCTAGAAGAGCCACTGCTCAAAAAATCTATAAAGAAGACTTGATTAGTGACGTTAAGGTATTGATAATTGATCATGGTTTTCTAAAGGACATTGGCAAGGTTCCTGATTATCGTATAGAATTTTTCAATCAGGGATGGGGTTATTGATAAAAGTAATTGTAATTGAGTGTAATTAATAACATTTTTCAAAGTAATTGGAAGTAATTTGTAATTGACCATTTTTTCAACTACTTGTAATTAAATATAATTAATTACAATAAAAAATACCCTGTAATTTCAATTACTTTTCAATTACATTTCAATTACTTTACATGATACACATTATGTTTATTTAATAGGAAAATATTTCCAACACAGTCACATTTACAGTCATTTTAATTCATTTAAATAGGTCCTTCTATTTTTCAAAATCTGAAACTCTTTTATATCTCAATAAATGCGTTTGATAGATTGGCTTGTTTATAAAAAAATAGTTTGTTTTATAATTATAATGCACATAAAGAATTAATACTAGTTTAATGTTTATCAAAAATTTTGTTCTACCTCTCATTGGTATAGGCATGAAAAATTTCAATTTTTTGTTGCAAAGAATAGAAAATGATTTAATGTGTCATTAAGACCTGCCTTGTTGCCCTTCAACTCCCAGCTGTAAATTGCTATCAAAACAACCCTCCAAAATTTTATATAATTTTATAACATGCTTTGTTTAAATTCAAACATATGACCATTAGAGGTGATTTATTAGATATTATTAAGAATGCTCTCCTATTTATATACTTCAGAAAAGAAATAAATATTGATTACTATTTTAACATTTAAACAGATCTTTATATACATGTATGTATTTGGTACCTGAAATAGTTATTACATAAAACAAGTATTATTTGTCAACATTTGCAATTTAAGGTGTTTAGCTTGCCTACCTGTAGCTGAAATAATTTGAGAGTATTTTATGGTTAATTCATAAACTCTTGAAAACTCGCTTTTAATCAAATTTCATAAAGGCAGTCAATTAATTGATAAATGTACTTGTAGGACCACGTCTTATGTTGATGAAACACACAAACATGACAGACACCTGACATTATTTATTTTAAATATCCCCTCTACCTTAAATTTACATGTATTTGTTCTTCAAGATTTTTGAAAGTGAAACAAATGTAATTGAAATGTATTTAATTACATTCTTCAAAGTAATTGAATCTTCAAAGTAATTGAAAGTGATTAATTACTTTTGTAAAAATCAATGTAATTGCAAGTATTTGACCAAATTTTCAATGTATTTGAAAGTATTTAATTACATTTCATAGTAATTGACCCCAACACTGATTTCAAGAAATCTTGAGTAGGTTTAATTGTACTAAACAGGCTATATTTCTGGATTGTTTAACATACCAAGCCAACCTTCTTTTTTAGATTTTGTCAAATCAGTGTTTTTGCAATTCTCAATGCACTTTCCTATTTAAAATGGTGATAAAAGGGATCTACATAATTTTTCATCACAATACTTCTCCAAAACTTAAACCCACTTATTTCATATAGTTTTTATATTTATATACATTATTATATCTTCATTTCCTATGACTTCTAGATATTTTGGCTGAAAATGTATGTATAGAAACAAGACAACTGCATAAATGCACCGATCTTTATTTTTTAGTTACTTCCCTTAGCAGCAATAGTCAAGAGAGTCAGACTGGTTGATTGATTCTATCATGTAATTGACTGAATTGATTGAAACACATTGTCATAAAAATATTGGTATGGATTATTTCAATTTTTATTCTTAGTTACTAAATGCTGCTTCCTTCATACAACCTAGGAACTGATCTCAGTCGGTCTACCTTTCAGCATATGTCACATCTTTGCCCTTCCCAAGTATACTGAGCATAACTATGGTAAATGACGACCTGTTGGCTCTTTGTCCCCTGAATACAATGTACAACAAAGCCATTACGCCTACTACTTTTCTTTCTTGCTGTATAGATGATTGAAGGAAGTACACATGCTTTTGTTTACCTCTGTGAACGTACGCTTTATTGGTTTTCACCGCTTAGAGAATTCTACACGGGAGATCACTCTCAATCACTATTTCATAAGTGAAAAACCCCATGTATTAAACCTTTTTTCTCCGGAAAACCCTGACTTACCACCTTACACATAAAAGGTCTGATACGTTTCTGTGCACCATGCATGATTGAGAATTTTGTCGGTCGCAAATATGGCCGGAAACAAGTTATTTATTAATAAAAAAAATATTCTCAAGAGGTTGAAATATCAAGGATTTTCCTCGAACTTTAAAATACACACTTTTTAAATATAAATTTACATATGCTTGTGAAAATAGATATACTTCTTTTCAAATGCAAATGAAACCTCATAAATATTTAGATAAACTACTTCATTTGTAAGGAAATATGTCAGGTAGTGCTTAACTTTAGGTCTAAAATGCAAGTTTATCCTCGATAAAGCGGAAATTAAAATAACTTGAATAGGGATATTCACAAATAAGACGTTTATTTCCATGTTAGTTTAAAAACGTAGAATATTATGTTTACAAACCAGAATATGAATGTCACACTGCACTGTTATTGATAACTTCTTGATTTCATATCATATGCATGTGATATAAAATACTAGAATTTCATACTTATGAAATGGGGAAATATCAAATTGCTTTGAGTATGTCATTGTATTGATATATATGTTGGTAGAAAGAGGAAAAACCGTAAAGGTAAAATTCACTTATTATTCTATCAATTGATATTTAGAGACGAATGGCTTTTTTCTCTGTATATATTGGTATGCAAAACTGAAGCCCTCCGTCTGTACCATGGTTTCAAGAAAACTAAAACTACTAACTTTGCTACATTACGTTACTTAAATATACCTATTACTCAGAATCCTTAAATGAAGAGATTTGATTCTACACTCCATGACTCATATTAGAATGCATTCTTATTAATACAACATTGTTCAAGGCATGTTCATCATATAGACTGCTCTAATAAATCTCTGCGGTATAACATCGACCTTTGCTGCGATTTCACTCATGCTCCTTTAGCAATTGGTTGAACATTCAGAATTTACATTATGCATGACCTTTCAAGTAGGCTTTTCATATGTGGTCAAGGTACATGTATGATATATATATTTAAAATATACGGAGGAGACCCGAAAATCATGGCCTCTGAATAACCGCAGGCACTGACAGATGACCGAACCTTTGCATAAGTTTTTTTGCGCTTCATCTATGGCTAGTGAAGCCTAAAAACGACTGAATTCTCACTTTGACATCCATCTGCATGTATCAAACCAGTAAACTTAATCCGAGACTGTGTATATAATCAGTATTTTAAATTACAAGCGTGTCTTTTTTTATTTACAGAAAAGAAATTAACACTGACATATGATTACATTAATTCCATTTACTGATCTAAGAATGCACAATTTACCTAAAGATGTAATTGCTATTTATAAAACAGGATTACTTTTTTTTTTATTCAACACTAGTATCTGAGTGTACCATATAGACATTAATGCATAAACATTCACATCCAGTAACAAAAAAAAAATAAACTGCAAAATAAACATAAATGATATTAGGACCGTTATATTTACGAGTTACATTAATTTATATAAAAAAATAATGAACTTATGGAATGAATTTCTGAAACAAAAACAATTATCCTTACTCTAAGCTGCTTTTTAATAACTACCATACTACAATTTATAATCAACTATATGTTTTTGCTAAATTTTTCATTGATAAGATATATCATGCAAAACATCCCGTATTTCAAAACACATTATTTTCTTATTATTGTCTTATAAATGTACTATCCCGGTGTAGAAATGAATATTTTGTAAAACATGTACTGTGTATCACTTTGTATTAATTATCTACAATTAGAAACATTTTTAAACAATGGTTTACTTGTGGTCTTATATCTACCTTTTAGGTTGATTCTTCATCTGTGTTAGATTTTGGACTTTTGTATCCCATGGTGCCATAAACCATTTGATAATGATGTAAACACATACGAGACCTAGGTGATAACTGTTCGATCAACTCTGAAGTTTCATTGAACTGTGAAGACGGCTGCTCTGCTTGATACAGTTCACTGTTTGTTGGGGTGGAATCTCTTTCTTCATGTTTATCTGCATTGCTCTCAGTTTTGAGTTTTGATTTGGCTTCTGGTGTGTGATATTCCTCTGTGTTGTTACCGTCATTTTCCAGAGATTTCTCCTGATAATTTTCTGATATTCTGCTAGAATTAGTTTCATCACTGTATACTGAGTCAGTGCTATTCTCATTAGAAACATTATTTGGTGTTGATTGTGCTTGAGTCTGATCAACCCGCTTTTCCTCCTCATTTTCGTTGAGTTTCCTTGGTTGGTTTAAAGCTTTTTTCAATTCAATCTTGGTGGCTTCATAATCAATCTTATTTTCTGGTCTATTCTTTTTCACCAAGCATTTCCTGTGGTATATTATTTCCTGTTCGTCATCATCTTCTTCAGTCAAGCACTTATTTTTGTGTTTGTTGAAAACAACTTCGTCATCAAATTCATCACTTTGAGTTGCATTTCTCAAATGTAAATCCAGTGAAGACGACCAGTTTCTCAGTGCTGGTGACTGCAAATCTCTGAATGAATTGACAGTTTGCAGAGGCTTTCTAATATCATCATCTTGTTCTAATTTTACATCTTCATCTGCTGTGTTTTGCTTCTGTAATGGTGTTAAGGTGCTTCCTCCGGTGTCTTGAACTGAAAGGTTCTGCTTTAAAACTGTTTGTGTCTTTAGATCTTCTGCTACAAGATCACTTCCTTAAAGAAAAGAAAAAAATAATCTTAAAAATGAAAATTAATATTTTCGAAACTACACTTTTTATGTGAGATTCTAATGAAACAAATGTAATTTAAAGTCAATTATAAATTCAGGATATGTTTGTCTAACAACTCTGGCTGTTTCCATACCATGTAAATTGTCCTCTGTAGCACTGTGGTCCTGTTTAAAACTTTCTGCTGTTCTTAGTGAAGTGATTCCATCTGCTTCATCGTCAATCATACTTTCCTGCCTATTCTTTTTCTTTAAGTATTTTCTGTGGTAAACTATATCCAGATCCTCGTCACTATTTATGTCATTAAAACTCTTACTACCTTTTTGGTTGCTGAGAACAACTTTTTCTTTCTCATCAAATCTTCTATATGCATTCCTCATCTGTGTATCTGATGAAGACAATGCTGATGACTGCAAACGTTTGGATGTAGGGACAGCATACAAATTCTTTTGAAGTTGCTGGAAATCTTGTCTCCACATTACACCCGCATCTTCTTTACTTTGCTTTTGTAATGGTGTTGATGTCCTGTCTCTTATTTCTGGGGTATAATGATTCCTTGTTGCTGTGTTTTTAGACTTTGTTGACATGGTCTGATTGTAAGCCGATCTTTTTATCTTGTCTTTTACTTTAGGATTAAACTTTTCATTTTTTGTTCCAATGGATTCGCTTCCAGAATTATGAAAATCTAACACATAATCAAATTGACTTTCTTTTGATGCATTATACTTGACTTTTTGTTGAAAACGTTGGTATGTAAGACCACTATTAGAATTCTCAGGATGGCTTGGTTCCAAAATATCCTCCTGGCTAATACTTTGAATCACATTTCTAAGGTTAAGCTTCAAAGATTGTCTGCCACAGATGTCTGAAGGATGGCAATATTTTTCCGTTTCTGCATTTATATTACTCATATTTTTTTCCTGAAATAAAGGCTCATCAAGTATATTACTCCGATTCCTATCATCAGAAAATTGTATATCTGCATCTGGAAATGAACGAGTTGTATTCCTTGAGGGAGTCAAAGATTTATGAATCAAAGTGAAGTCCCTCGTATTTGGAGACTGAATCTGACCCCCTTCAGCAAAAGGCAGATACATATCCTCATAGTCCTTGTCATCCATCTTCATTGACCGAGCAGGTTTCATTTTCAAGTCCCTTTGGTTGACAGTGTTATGATTTTTCTGAGGTATATTGTCATACAAAGGTTCTTTGCTGGTAGCTCCAATTGAAGAAACATTTTCATAGACGTTAATGTCCATGGGACTATTGTAATACTCAGCGTTACCTTGGGGGCTCATGTACCAGTTCTGGAGTTCCTCTGGAGTGGATGGATATGCTTTATCTTTTCCAGGATTAGTCTTTACAAATACATTTCTCTGTACTGGGTCTCGCACTGATTGCCTTTTGTAAGATACATTAGTTTTTCTCGACTTCTGTGGGGACAAAATGTGTTCAATGTCTTTTTCTTCTATTTCTTGTAGGGAATCGTCTCCACTGACAACGCTTTTGTTGAGTTTACTCTTGTTTTCCTTGCTGGTTTCTTTACTGGATTTCTTATTTAGTTTAGCATTTTCTTTACTGTATGATGACCTTATTCTATCTATGCATAGTATGAGATTAATTTTAGCAAAACTAATTTCATATGTTGTAACAAAAAGTATTCCAAGATCTATTTCAAAAGAATAAATATAGAAGTACCTTTTTTATTCCATTTGGCTGTTTTTTCTTGAAAGCTGTCTCTCTTCGTTTTCCTTTAAAATAAAAGGTTATATCTGCCATATCAATGTTATATATCACTAAACAGTATCGTTAAAATCTGGATAAATGATACTAATCACTAAATTGTCATTTTACATTTTAAAAGTGCATCTAAATGCATGTCTAATTTACGAGTGTAAACAATCGTACGTGTATCCATTTGGTGGGATAATAATTTAACCACAAACTTCAGAATGGGAATACCATGTGCTAGTCAGACCTGTCGTTTGCCACATAAATAAATAGAATTTTTTGTGATGTCCAGATGTGCGTGATTAGTAAGAAGATAAACATTATATATTACGCAAATCCAAATGATAATGCATTTAACCATTTCATAACGATTTTTTTTTAGTTCATGGTTACGATGAATACCTAACAAAAATGTAATAATAGATAGAAGTAAATTACTATGACACCGATTTTTGATAAATAGCTTTAACGTTTATATTATTTTTGTGCCATCTTATTTTCAGCATTTTAATTAAAAGATTTAAATATGACAGAGTGATAATTCTTAAATGCTTTCTGGACTGTAATCGGTCTAAGTCAGATGACAAATTGCTTATTCTTACTTCAAACGTAGGGCAGCCATTGAGATAATACAAATCATCAAAACTAGCCCTGCACACACTGGAATTATAATCAAAAAGGCGCGTAGCTGTTTGGATTCTACAAAAGAAATACAAAAGATCAAATTGAAGAAAAAACAAAACACCGTGTATCAAATAAAAATATTAAAAGTTAATTATCAGTAATCAAAATATTCCACCAACATTTCATTTAAGAAAATGATGTCCTCAAATTGTATCATTTTTATACTTAAGTAAGAAATTACTTTTTTCACAAAATGTTCCGTAATATCCAGAAGCACAAAGACAGACAAACGAACTTGGTTTGGTGATTATTTCATATTTCCGTTCAATACATGTTCCGCCGTTCATACAAGGGTCGTCTTGGCAAGTCAGAATCACTTAAAAAGTAAAGATATTTCGCAATGATAAGATTCCTAACTAGTAAACATTTGAAGTAATTAGGTTCAATGCAATCCATAAGTCGTATATCTTCATAGGCACATTGTATAATGTATATCTAATGATGTATCATAATACTCTGCCATTAGAGTTCATGGTAATAAAATAAAATAAAATAAAATGAAATACAGTATGTAGTTACTGATTTGTGCATTTCCTATGATGTTTCTGTTCGATACTGGAATAATGCAGTAGTAAGTCCCCTCATCGTCCACATAAGCTCGTTTTATGTGAAGCTGTCCGTCCTTGGTAACAGATATTCTGAAAATAAAGGAAAATTAAAATAAAAATCAAACTGTATAATGTATACGAACCTATTGTATCAAAATGCCCTGAAGCAAGAGAATTTCATGAGTGTAGGGGGTGGGGTGGAGTCAAATACATTTACTATACACGACTCTTTACCACGCTTTCAATAGTTTAGATGTAAGAGGGTTTTAAAAACGATGTTCTGAGTCATGGCAGAAAATGACACGAGGAGAAACTACCAAAGCATGATAGCAAGCTAACGGAATAAGAAAATTTTGAACGCCCAACATTCTGCATGAAAACGACAGGTGCTCGTGGACTTTTATCGGTATTTATTAAAATGATATAAAACTGTAAAAGTTACATAAAGGATGACTGCACTTAAGGACATGCGAAATTTGCGACAAAAAATAAACTTTCAAAACAAGCATTTTTTCTTTTCATTGCAAGAATGGTCAACATCCAATCTACAACTTTATGTAATTAAGTTTAATAAAAGTGTGTATTTACGAAGTTCGAATCTGTTTTCAAAGGCAGGGGTCATCACAATTTCTTGAATCTGCTTTTGGTAATGAGAGCGCCCATTTTTTTTACTGACTTCATACATAGTCAGCGCATGTTTGTCTATTGTTCTACGTTTAACAGTAGTTGTATATTTGCATAAATAATAACGTGTCAAAAGGAGATTAATAGACAAACATGCACTCATGGTTAAAAAGAGAAAAAACTGCTTCTTCTTACATTCGCTCTCTGTGTTGTAACCAAGGGTTGTGACATGTTGAATATTATAATTCACCACGTGATTTCGTACCTCAGGTAACTTTGTGAATACTAAATTCCGTCACGTGACTTGTAAGGTAGCATGTTTTGAGCTAACTAGGACATTGTGTTCGAATACGTTAAATCATTTGGCATTGATATAATTCTGCTTTAATTACATTGACGTGCTCCTATTGTTAATTTTGTTTTGAAACCTTTGTCAGTAGTGTGTTTGTGCCATACAGAATGGAGAGGGAGATTCGAAAGAGTGATCACGTTCTTTTTTCAAGCAAGTTATTGTTATTTATCAAGTCTAATTTTAGACCTATTCTTACAATGTCAGCTCCACCTCTCGTGCATATCTTATGATCAATCAAGGGCAGGTAAGTGTAAATTCTCTATATTTGGAAAGCAGTAAGGACAAAAAACTTGATTCACTTTATTGTAACACAGTCTAAAATCATTTTAAGATTTAAATTTGGTTCCAAATTAACAGGATTCTTTCATAAACATACAAAAGTGAAATAAGGTTTATATATAAAAGCAACAGAAGCAACTGAAAATGACAAAAACCGGCATTAAGTGCAGTCATCCTTTGAATAATTTACCTATATCATATTCTGTTCTTTAAAGCGATGGCAATTGCATACCCTAAAATCACGTTTGATCTTGATCATATATACACGAAATGGATTTTAAGATAGGTCCATTAGTTACTTTATTTCACTAAAATGTTTATATCTAAATAAACCAAAATAGAATTATAATTTGCCTTCATGTTGTGTACATGTGTACACTTGTACTAAATCTTATAAATCACGTGAAACTTCCACGGTTAAGGCAGAATTGAGAAAGAGGGACGACGAACACTATCAACACATAAGCTCTTCTGTTCTTCAAACAATGTGACCAGGTAACCCGGGTTCGATTTTTTTTCGCCGCGCTGCGTCAAACCTTAGATGTAAACATAGGTAGTGACTGTTCGTTCGGAAAGCGCCCGGCATTAGAATTAAAGTCAAAGGTCTTTCGGATGGGGTCCCGTTTCACAGTAGGTGTTGGCACGAAAGAGAACCCTCACTGCTCAATGGCCCTAAGTGCCGAGTATACATGTAGGTCTGATTTGAAGCCCTCACCGGTATATGATGACCTGGCTATATTAGCGAAATTCTCAATGGGACGTAAAACATTGTTTTCATTTTTTAAATCTAACAATCGGTAAGAGACTAACAGACTTACCTTCCAATTTTCCTTCCAGGCCTGTATCGCTTGCCACGGGGACTTACCCAGTACATAGATCTGTGTACCGACTGATCCAGAGACTTACAAGTAAGACTAGCGTTGCTTCCTTGAAAAATCTTATACTCTGCTTTGGTTGCTCCTTCAAAATAATACTTTCGTCATGCGTAATGTAAAAGGTAAATATAAGGAACAATGATCAATCTCATAAATCCAGTAAGGAATATGAATGGTGAACAGGGCAAAGAAAGGGATCTCTGGAAACATCAGAGCTGGTTCAAGGTTATAAGGAGGAGTAAACTTCCCCTGTCAACCGGTCACATCCGATGTGAGTTCTCTGTATTGTGTATTTGCAAATAAGGTCAGTACAACGACTATAGATGCTATTAAAAAAATTGACTTTCAGTGAAATAGTTGATACCCTGTAATATCAACTTATTTGTCAGTCAACTTGTTTCTGTTTATATATTGATAGTATTCAGAACATGTTCTTGGGAATCAAATCAGTTGGAAGATATAAATACAACATGCAGGTGATCACGGAATACAACTATATAAAAAGGGAAAGTTGACGAAAAAAACCTGAGGTCATCCCGTTTGTCAAATAGATTAATTGTTAGTAGGTCATTACCATTCTATAGTCAGTAAAATATTCAAGAAGTGATTGAAAATCAAATGCGAATTCTCAAAAACGCTTAAGAACTTTAAGAAAATTTGAATTCACAATTTTTTTCCAAAAACAATTAAATCATTAAATGATCTAATTGATTTGGGGAAAAAATTTTTTACTTTATACAACCAATTCTCATGAATAAATAAAGATCAGACTTCTGACACCATAGACAGCTACTTTTCCAATTTAAAATGGAAGTTGGATATATTTCCTCATCTTGTGATTGGTAATCTACAAAATGATTTTGTTAAAAATCATTCTGGTTCTGCATAAAAGTACTCCGAAGTATCAAAAAGATGCTGGAGTTCCTCATTACTAATATTTATGCAGTCTTTGGAGTCAAGGTATTCCAACAAACTGTTGGAATTGCCATGGGAACAAATTTAACTCCTTTACTGACCTTTTTGTTTTGTCTTCTTAAACTTGTCAAGATAATGAATTTTGAACTCAAAGTGGACGGGGTTTTTTTTCTTTTCAAATATTTCTCAACTTTTGGTCAAGGCTATTCAAGGATGCAGAAAAACAAAAAACGTAGAAAGATTCCGTAAATTAAATCACCAATATTTAGATTTCGAAGAGGCTTATCGCAGAAAACGGAGAAGACATGTAAATGGAACTGTGTTCCTTAACTGTCAGAGAGAATGTTACACAGTACCCTACGTTGATGCTTTCATGTTTAAGGACGTCAAGTTGTTGCGTGATATACACATCAACAAAATTATTAGCTTTTTTGGTGTCAAAAACGAATTGGGAAAAGAGCAGAATAGCAATTCTCTATTTCTATTAACCAAACACCCTTGTATTCCTATAATAGAAGAAACAATAGATGTGCTACTTCAGAAAGTGAGCAAAATTATTCAAAGTACTAGTGAGAAAGAAGAAAGAGCGATTGACTCTTGCTAGGAAGGCATTAAAAAGGAGAAGTGATATCCCCGTGTGTGTTGTTGGTGCAAGTTACATTTTAGTAGAATTTGAAAATATTTCCTTCAAATTTAAGATTTCACATTCTTTGCGGGTTTGAATGTACATTTTGATATTTAATGCAAAAATTACAAAGTTTGAGTTTTTGTTCCTGTGACTTGGAATACATATTTCAATACAATGTGAAAAATGTTGGATTCATTGCTTAAAAATATTCATCTGTGTCTTTGTTGTGTTTTCTTAATCTAATAACTTACCGTAGTTGTCCTATAAGTTATTAAATACTGTCCATTACTTTTAATAATGGACAGACTTTTTAACTTATTGGACAGTTACAGGTAACTAATTGGACTGTCTTGGACCTTTCAATAAAAAGAAAGTATTAAAAGAACAAAAGATGATAATAATATTCTAATGTTTTAAGGAGGAATAAAGCAGAAATCAGATGTGTGCATCAGAGAAATTAAGGAATTTAATCTTGGTTATCCAACTGTTTTAGCAAAGATGAAACGTGACGTTATCATCCGTGCGCCGCAAGGCGATACCACACATAACACGAAATGTCATAATTTGTTTATTTGAGCAGATATCTATTTCTATGCACTCGTATAATATATACAGGTATATATTGTTGAAAAATGAACCATTAAAAATAGAAAGGGGTAAAATTACTAGAACATGATGTTTATTATTTTTCACTGTTGACAACATTTGACAGGACAATCGTATGTAGTAATATTCCATTACCACCCGCCGCTGCATAAAGTGTGTTTACCTGTTACATTAAAAGTTTAGACTTCATCAGGTTAAATTTATCTATAACAATCTTTTTGTTAGGTTATTATTTTTATACTAATTATGTTATTATGATTACAAATAACTCCGTTTACCTGATCACAGAGGACTCACAGTGGCTTTGACCGCTAGAAAGGGGATGCTTACTATTCATATGCATCTGATCCAACTTTGCAGGCTCTGGTGTTTCCTTCTTTTTTTCCCTTTCGACGACTTGTATAGTTCAAAGGATTTTTTGAGTTTGATCAATGTTTGTTATCTTCAACTTTTCATTCCAAACAACATTTCCATTGTATTATTTATTCATTAAACATGGCGTTATGAATAGCAATTGCTCTGCGGGCATATTCCTTAATGCGCGCTAGCTCTTCATGGAAAATATGCCAGCAGAGAAATTGCTATTCATAACTCCTTGTTCACTGAATAATGCTGTTTATTCCTTATATTTGCTTTCCATGATATTATCAAGAATGACAGACAGAGGAAAGGCTGAATGTGATTTGTTACACACACAGAAATAAATAAGTAACTGATTAAAATAATTTCCATTTACCTGATCATTAAACTTTAAATTCCTTATGAAATAAAAACAATACTGACAATATTTAGCAGCCATTTTACGATATCTGATTATATGTCATCTTTACCAAATTCTTGTTTCATTTTCACTGGTCATATTTCATAAACATATTCATTCGATATCAATAAAAGAAAAGAATTTCAAAATGTTTTATGTAAGTTTTTGCATGTTTTCCCTCCACTTTTTGGAGTTCAAATAAATTTTGAAATACAAGTATTATAAAAATAATAAAAAGTTCACATCATATAACTTAATGTATCATCATTAAGTCAAAACTTATTATAGCTTTGTGAGGAGTTTTCTTTCATTTAATATGTAAAATTATGCATGTTTGCACATGTGTTTTTTTGGAGAAATTTTTATTGTACAATTTTGATAGTTGCTAACAATTAATTTTTTTTAAAATTTGAAAATAATGGAAAGGAACATTTCTTATTTTTTCATTTTCATTATGACCTAAAATTTATTGATTTTATCAATTATTTCTCTCTCTCTCTCTCTCTCTATATATATATATATATAGATAGATAGATAGATACCATTGTACAGCGTATTTTACGTGTAGTAGACTTCTTCATGCGAGAGTTTAAGGAGGGATTCTTGTCTGGTTTCTGACTAGATGAAATGTTCAAAGTATATTTAAGAAATAAAGTCCGCGTTATCGTGAATGTTGCAGGATAACCTCCGAGGTCGAGAAATGTTGTCTGAAATATAAAAGCCGAGGCGTTAGCCGAGGCTTTTATATTTCAGACAACATTTCGAGACCGAGGAGGTTATCCTGCATCATTCACGACAACAAGGACTTTATTTCTATTCTACTAACGGCTCTAAAATACAGTTGATCGTTTTCTCTATAGAGAAACGAATTAGGTCACCATGTCGCAATTTCGCTGTTCCATTTAACACCAGAGGGTCAATCGATTGCATAAAATGCAGACGATTTCAGCTTTTGCTGGATTAAAAATATCCTTTAATTATTATAAATTTGCTTGTAACATATATTGATTAATTTTTATGAATGAAAAATAACAAAACCAGTTGTCTATTTCATTGATTTATCAGTAAAATCACGGGAGTGTAAATGTTATTGGGGAGGTCCGTAGAACAGTCCCACTTGGCTATAAAAACGGATATTTATCAGCTGTTTCAGGCAATACACACGTTTAGACTGCGGAAGACGACACATCGATGTGGTCTAAATAAGTATTAGATTATACAGTGAAATATTTATTTCAACTGTACAGATTTGACATGTGATTCTGATCTGATAATTTTTTGATGACGTTCGTGATTTATTGGAGAATAATGTCCGCGGCATTTCTTTGATCTCGGCAATAATCGTAGTAGAATTGCTTATATTTTTTATATATTTAGATGCAAGATATTTAAAAGATCATATTAATCTTTCTTCATCACAATTGTACAACTTTAAATAGAAATGGTAAACTGAGTTTGAAATCTAACAGGGACTATATTTTTGGCGGAATGGCGATGTATGAAAATATCTTCTTTTCTGCCTCTCAAAATAATTATAGAGCAATGAATTTAGTTATAATTTTTACACAATCAAAGACTTGGAGAAAATTTTTAAATGTAAGTTAAATTAATAATAAGGGACTAAAGTTTTAAAATATATCAAATAAATATGATTTTCCAAACAAACTACAACTATGTTAGCTTTTAAAACCTTCCAATCTAAGTTCAGATTTGAGCCAAAAATCCGTAAAAAGTGTTTTTTCTCTCTTAATAAACGGTCAAAACTTTTTGTTTTTATATCATTTTGTATCTTTATATGACAACTTTACCATATGTGAAAATAAGAAAAATTTAAATATAGGAAGCATATAAAAATAACTGAAATATCTTAAAATTTTAAGAAAAATAGAGAAAATTCGGATTAGCCAATATCGATTTTAGTTAAATTATTTATTTCAATTTGGGAATATCATCTTATAGACCCTATATGGTAATATCTCTTTATGCAAAAAGAAAAACATTTAATCTTTTGAAATAGAAGTAGGCTTCGCATGATTGGCAACAGTAATGTTTAATTCTTAATATCCAGGGAAAAGGTACTGACCTTGACCTGACCTTGCCTCTAATATAAAACGGTCAAATTTAATCTAAATGATACCATCACTTGGTGATATTGTCTTCTTGATTCTGTGAAAATTTCATTGATTTTTAAATATAAGAAATAAGTGTTCTTATGAGAAGAATCCCTCCTTAACACAGCCTGTACATATTCTGAGAGCTAGCATATGCAAAATAAGTTAGTACATGTATATATATATTCAGAAAAATAATTATAATAAAAATTATTACTTGTACAGTATGAAACATATGCGTATTATCATACCTTTTATTTATTTATTTATTTTTTTTTTTTTTTTTTTTTTTTTGGTATTGTATTTGGATAGATGAAGAAAGTCAATATACATGGTTTTAATGGAATAGATGTATGACTTCCTTTTTTTAATTTAAAAAAATGTCTCAATCAAATAATTCATTTTCAGTGCAAAATAAAAGAATGGTCCTAGTAGGAAATTGAAACATTTCAATCTTCTGTCGAGTTCTTATCCTGGATTGGAGTAATACAGAAATTAAGTACAACACTTCTCATACATTGTAGGATTCTTTTCTTCAGATTCTTATATTTTTTTATCAATTCAGACTTCAATGTTATTAATTTTACGCGCATTTATATTTTACTGGACTTTTTTAGTAAAATTTGAAATGCATTATGCAAACAAGTACTTCTTTGATCGTACGTCTGAGGTGGAAAACTGTGCGTGTTTTGTAATAAATCAATAACTTTAAATAAACCTTCCGTTTGGATTTAGACAATTATGTAAATAGAATACACAAATAAAAATTACTTTGCATTTAAATTAATAATTTAGAATATTCATACTGACGTGAAAATGACATTAGACTCAAAATTAGTGTTAAAAAATAATTAATCTACAAAAATACGAACCACATGCAGCCATAATACAGGCACGGGTCTTTTTGCGACTTCCCACACACTTAATTATTGTATCTCCGTGCTTAAACTCTCGCTGGTTTGATTGACATTTTCTGTAGCTTTGTTCATTCCCAAGACCACAAGTCACTGAACACTCGGACCAACTTCCCCAGGATGTCCACTGCCCTGTAAATGAGGTCATAATAGAAATAAAAGAAGAAATTGAACTACAGAATTGGATGTTTTTAAACATCTGATTATGTTTGATCCATTCCGAAAACTGATCAGATGTTCTTTTTTTTTTTTAATTAAGATGGATTTTCATAGGATGTACGATTTTATCGATATACCGGTATATCGTTATTTTTTTTTTGGGGGGGGGGGGGGATACGTTTCGTGATACGGAGACCGAAATAACGGTATTTCGAACACAATGATAAATTGAGAGTAGAGTGATTCAGTGAATTTTTAAATACTTCATCCTGTTGTTCCATAAATCGTTTCATACATGTACATGAAATATGGAGATACCGAACAGTAATCAAGCTCAGAAGTTCATTGATACAATACAAATCGGGAGCAGAGCAAACAAGGACCACCAAAAAAACATCAGAGGTGGGAACAGGTGCCATGGAAGAGTAAGCATACCCTGTCGACCGGTCACATCCGCCGTGTGCACATTGTCATGATCGGGTAGACGGAAAAATCCGTAGACAATTCAGTGTTTAAATAATTGCCTAACAACTAGTATGAAAAACGTTAGTCAGCATTCGACTTAAGGAGAAACAGGACCGTGAGCTGAAAAAAAATCTGGTCAATCATTTTTTTCATATTTTGTATATTTTTAATTTAGTATGTCCTACATATCTTTAAGTAACTCTATCATCAGATTTCTTGACTTATTTAAGAGATATCGCCATACAAATATCGCTCCGTACAGTGTATGGATTAAGTTTTGGTTCTTCGTGTTTACGGGTCCTTTATTGAGTCTATAATGGGAATTTTTAAGCACAAACAAAACATGTGTAAGGACATGCAGCTCTTCAAATATTCAGAATATAAATAGTGTTTAGAATTCTTACGGCATTTTTTCATACTTCACAATGTATATGGATTGGATAAATTACGCACTTTTCAAGACAGCTTCAACGACAAAAAAAAGCATATGGGAAAAAATTCTGTAAATAATTATTTTAAAATTTACGATTGAAATATATGGAGATAACGAACAGTATTCAAGCTCAAAAGTCCATTAATCAATACAAAATAGGAGCAGAGCAAACACGGACCTCCAAACATCAGAGGTGGGATCAGGTGCCATGGAGGAGTGAGCATCCCCTGCCGACCGGTCACACCCGCCGTGTGCTCCTTGTCATGATCGGGAAATAACGGAAAAATCCGTCGACAATTCAGTGTGTAAATAATGGCCTAACAATTAGTGTGAAAAACGTCAGACAGCATTTGACTCAATGATAAATTGTATTTGCTAACAAGGTCATTGTATCGACCATAGAACTTACGAAATGATGACTTTAAACGAGACAGCTGATATTCTTGTTTCATCAACTTATTTGTCAATAATTTACCTCGTTTTAGAAATTGTACATACGTAGAGCATGCTCTTGCGTATCGAATCAACTGAAGTCCTTCTTCGTAGTAATTAATTGCAGCAATATCGTAAGGTGAAGCTTACCTCATTATCACACAGGACATTCTTGAACAAGACATAAGCGTGGTAAAAACGCTTAATGTTTACATTTTCCGAGTACGGGAAAAACAACTGTGACGTCACACGAAAACTTGCACAAACGAAATGGAATATAACTTCCGATAATCTTTGCTACCAAACACGTAAAAATTATTCTCGTAATTCCTGCTTCAAAAAATCCATCGCGATACATTGGTTGTAATCTGTTTTAATGTAATATTATAAAACTGACCAAAATCAACGTGTACTTGATCTCATTGCACCGAGAGATCATATATGACGTCACTGACTTGTTAGACTGCAGCGTAAAGAAACAGAGGGGTGGATCAATCGATTTCACAATTCTGAAATATTTACACAATCGTTTAAAACTCTTCAATATTTTACATAAAATGTTTAAGCTTAACAAGTTGAACAAATATTACACAAATACAGGTGAATTATAACAACGTTTAGCACCTACATGAACAGTGACTATGACGTAGTCAATTGAGTCATGTGACATGTGTCCTGTCTCCCCTTAATGATAGATTGTATTTGCTGACAAGGTCATTGTATCGACCATAGAAATTACGAAGTGGTGACTTTAAACGACACTGTTGATATCCTTGTTTCATCAACTTGTTTGTCAATAGCTTGCCTCGTTTTATAAATTGTTCGCACTTGGAGCATGCTCTTGCGTATCGGATCAACTGGGAGATATTAACCCCATATGCAGGTGATAAGGGTATACTGCTACATAAGTAAGGGAAGACGACGATAGGAAAGTTGTTTGCCATTAACATCTTTTTATAAAATATTCAAATATGAAACAGATGTGCCAGACTGTAGTATCTTTTATTTCAAGTTCACTGGGATATCGACATATGAATGGAAGAAACTATTGTTAATTGATAATACGTCGTCGATATATCTAAATGTCGCGTTGAAGGCCACAGCAAGTATCTTCTTTTTCTCATGTACAAGTTTTGGAATAAACTCTGCTTTGTATAAATACAAAAATACCACTGCTAATAACCGGGCGCAATTGGTATCCATAGAAATTCTGACAGATAGTTGGAAGACCTGATCTCCAAACACTACACAGATAGTGTCAATCAGAAACTCAAGTTTCTTTTTAATATCTACTTCAGAGTACTTGTGTGTACAATCAAAAGAAGTGAAAGTCACGGGTTTTGATGAGACCTTAAAAACCGAGGTCCCGTGTCACGGTAGGCGTTGGCACGATAAAGAACCTCACTGCTCAATGGCTCTAAGTGCCGAGTATAGGTCTAAATTTGAAGCCCTTCACCGGCATAAGACGACGTCTCTCTATGAGTGAAAATTCTCGAATGGGACGTTAAACAGCATACTATCAATCAATCATTCAAAGGGATGACATCGGAGAAAAATTACCATATTTCTGATAGTAGCTCAAATACTACTTCAGAAATTAAATACATGATAACAGAAAAATAAAAGGAAACTTTAGAAAAAGGTCGATTTGGAGAGATGGAAATTCTATCCGTTTTTTGTTGATTGAACGCGTGTTGACGATTGACAGACACACCAACATTTAGGAAAATCATCACTGTACGGAAACGACAGTGAAATAATTCTTTAGAGTCCAGATATACCGGTAGGTGCTGAAGGGGTGGGGGGTATTTTTACCAAAATTACAGCTTTCGCCCTTTGTAGAGTTTATGTATATAGATGTGGTACGTTTTTTAAACATGGTATTTCTTGTCTGAAAGTGTCAGAATCCTTATTGTAACAACTTTTTAAGTGTATTTAAAGTGGATTCAAAATTTTACTAATTAATTTTACGTTTAACAATCCGTATAAAATAAGTTACAATGATACTAACCATATATGACAGTTGGGCCCGTTGGTTTTGGAGGAAGAACTTCCTCAAGGCATGGACATTTCTTCATTTCTGAACTATGACCCTTGCATGGTTTATATGTATCTTCGTTTACAAAACATGTTCTACTACGCGTGCTGAATTTCCTCCCCTTACATGTCTTTGAACAAGGGCTCCAGTTACCCCACTCCGACCAATGAGCTGTCCATTAGATTTATATATTAACATATGATTTGTAAAAAATGATCTCAAAACTGTTTCTTGTTTCATTTAAATATTCGGATTGTTTGTTAAATAAATTAACTTAAAGTGTACAATTTATTTGGTTGCTTTGGAGTTTTTACCTTCAGTAAACATCTTGGGGTGAGTTTTGTGCTCTGTCCTATTCATTTTCTTGAGAAGCTCCCAGATTTGAATGGTCCTGTTCTGGATCTGAGAATTGATCTTTTCCCGATCATACTTAGGATTAGACTGCACTTGACCCATGATGCTTTCTGCCATCAAATGGACGATTCGTGTAAGTTTGGCCAAATGTGCCTCTGTCAAGTTCTCCTTTGTTAACAGTACTTTGATTCCGTTACTGATAGCATCACCGGACGTATGTGTTTCTGAAGGAACCACCAGAACTGAGATGTTTGACGAGTTATTCGGTCTTCCAATGGGTATCCATGTTCCTGGATTTGTATTTTGTGTTGTGCTGCCAACAGACTGATTCTGAAGATAGATCCGGATTTTGGATATTAATCTATTCCTGACGACAATGCTGTTGCTGGATTTAGTGTTCAGGGAAGGCAACATGTACTCAAACATCTTTATTGCGTCAGTAACTTTCATCAGCTTGCGACTGACAAGATCTATTTAAAAAAAGATAATTTACTAGTAATTAAAAAGAAATGATTTTTCAATATACTAGTATCCAAGCGGTGAGAAAATTTTTGCGCGTAAAGAATATGCCATTTTTTATTTGTTAGATGTTGCTAAATTCTATGAAACACAATTTTTGTGCTGCAAATTTCAGTTGTCATCTATAGTTGTTTCCTGTGGGCAATACATTCTATAATTTTACCAGTGTCATTAACCGCTCGTACAAGATTTCCTACGTTCTTAAATAAAAATCTGACCCTAAGAAAATATAGAGTCGGAACGGCATCCTAAAGATATCTGCATTATACTGTACAGTAGAAAAATTGATAGATACTATAACTGGTTTGCATGTAAAATATAAAGAAATTTGTTTAATACCAGGAAGAAGAGACTGAATTCCGGTTTGTATTGTGCATGAATATACAGAAATGACGAGGTTACAATAGAAAGTTCATTAAATGAGGGAAGTGCATTGCATTCTTAGGTGTGGCTTGCCGAATAAATGGTTTGCTGAACATTTAATAAAGCTGCATTTTGAAGTGTCTTTCCAAATCTTAAACAATGCATTAAAGTGTGGTTGCAGTTATAAGGAAAATGTATCTTAAAGTTTCAGCGTCTTATCACATCCACCTGCCATTACCTACAAAAGCTAACTAGTGTGTATTGCTAGATTCCACAAGAGCACTGATATAAAATCAAAAACTATGACCATAAACCTTCAAGTTGTTGAGCCTTTAACTGCTGGTGTTTCATTTGGTCTGTTTCAAAAAAACGCCATTACATTAACCTGAAGAGTACCTAGAGATATTCATGCATGTATCAAGTCTAATGTTTTGCATCAATAATAATTCTCTTCAGTAAATTTATGTTATAAATGACAGTTGATACAACCTGCAGTCAATAACCAACCAAATCAACGTCACGGAGGTTTATCAATTACCTTTTACAGTTGTGAGTGACAATTTTGTAAAGGAAATCGGCACCAAAATTAATTGCAATTTCTTCGTTGCAGTTGTGTCCAAAACAAATAATCGAGCTTCCATCACAAAGAAACTTCCATTGATCTTATTGTTCTGGAGAGAACACTCCGACTTCTGCCTAAACATAGATAAGTCTATTTATATTAAAAATAAATTCAGACGATAAATCTAAAACACAGAGAAATTTGGATAGCATATTGAAATAAAATAAAGAAAAAGTAATCTGTACAGAAAAATAAGGCCATTCCAAGTTTTTTTTCTGTTAAGCGTCCGCGTGCGCCTTAGTTTTTGAACCCAATATCAGAATAAGCAAACAAAATCAGGAGACCTGAAATTGATTATTCTGGTCGAAATCTTGGAATTCTATCATTTCCTGTGATGATCTGTCTACATTTTTTCATATTTGGTAATTTTTAAGCATTTAGTACCTGATTTTGTTAACGTATAGATCTAGAAAGGAGAAAAATATATAAAAAAAAAATTAAATCAAATCAATCATTCGATTGACGTTACTTTTATTACTATGAGTTCTGTTTCCTTTTTTTTTTGGTTTGTGTATTTTTTGCGAATAGGTAGGTAGGTTTTTGAAAGATGGGTGGACGCTAAACATAGAAAAAAAACTTGGAATGGCCTAATCGTATCACTATTCAGCATTAATTACTTATTATTAGTAGTATCATTACATATAAATTCACAAAATTTAAGAATTAAAAACTGTCACAAAGGCTTACATGTGAGTTTTTCTCTATATACATCTCTATAGGCCTAATATTTTTTTTTAGGGGGAGGGGGGGGATTTGCATTTTTATGTACCTGCACTTAAATGTGAAAAACCTTTTGCCATTGTTCCGAACAGTCCAATAAATCCGGAGTAGATTTCTTGGAATACAAGATTTGATGTTTATAGCCGCTGTATATTCCGTCTGTGGGTACACATAGTTATATCTACAACCAGGCTTGACCACAGACACAGTGGTGCATCCTTTGATCTTCTTGTATGGACCTAAAAGGACAAATTGAGGTTATTGGGAAGGAAGGGCACTCCTTTTTGATTTTAGAAGAAATTCATTAGCCTATTAAGAGATATTTTTGCAGATGGTATCGGTAGGCCATAGTCCTTCTGGGCCAATAAGATCCCGTCATGAAAGAAAGGTGTATTAACATGCAGCACTTTGTAAAAGATACATACACTGTATGTATGTATATAAATTAAAACACTATGCTTACATGTATTTATATGCGAATTTCTTTATCCTAAAATTGCACAGGCACTTGCTTATAATTAGATCTATATGTTTGATAACTTGACTGATCTTCTAGCATGATAAATTGATTGTGATGCTACTTACACTGGTTGCGAGGCGTGGAACACGGAAGTTCCTCAATGACGATGAAGAACATCAATGCCTGAACAAGAAAATACCGTTTCATTTTTCAGTTGTTTTTTATCCATGTCCATATGACTGATCGTGCAAAAGAAAAATTACATACATTTTTCATAACAAAAGGTAAACGTCATAAATCGGCGGAAATGACGTCATAATGATTCAAATCGTGCCACTTTGCGCACCTAGTCACTACGTTTTGTTTTCACACAGTGCTTGGGGACGGGACCGCCCCTCTCCCCGTGTTCCTTACCCCAAGGGTTCTTTGATTCTCTTTTTAAATAAAATATTTTCATGACACATTCACAAAGTATTACAACTGAAAAATCCACAAATTTTAACCAAATATTGTGATTAACAGCAATCCCAATGATATCCAAGTTAACAGGCCCGTCCTAACGTTTAGGGGGCATAGTGGGGCGCCCAGACCCTCACTTTTAGCCTAAGACTAACCTTTTATAAAAATTCACCCTCTCTGATACTATAAAAGAGAATTCTTTTTAAGGAGAATGAATTGATTGATTGTTATGATCAGTTTCAAACCACGAGAAACAGAATTATCAAAGGCGCTTTTAAAAAAATGAGGAAAGAAAATATATCATATTATCCTACATATAATGACAAATTTATATTCATCACCAGTTGGAGTATTTTTTCCTTCTAAGTTAGGACATATTATTCTAAACATTTTAGAGTACCGATAATTTATTTCTTCAAATATTGAGACTGGAGTCCAAAATCTGCTTGCCCCCACCTAGCACCTCGGACTCATCATTCAAATGGTCGTCACTTAAATTAATAATAAATTGCAGATTCTTCCTTTTTTATGCATAATAAAGTAGCTTCTTTTTTTAATGTTAGATATCTTTTCAGTCCATTGAACCTTTTTTCACACATACATACTTGTGCTTAACTCCATCTGGTACGAACACATGTACCATGTTGAGCATAAATTTGAATGTAGTCCCTATAACTGTACCAGGGGCGGATCAAGCAATTTTTGAAAAGGGGTTCCAGGATACCCCCCACACACCAACATAGAATCACACACAGACAGTGAGAAAAAACTCTACTCTTATGCATACTCCCTTTCACAGGTGCGAATCCCTGAAGAAATTTTTTCCTATTTCGCAGAAGGGGCATACTCTCCTTTCCGTTTTAAAGGGGGTCAATATTTCCGGGGGGGGGTGCAAGGACATTTTTCGTTATTTTTACATAGTACCTCTTAAATCTTAAACTCTTAAATTCCAAAGGGGGGATGGGGTGCACCCCCCCCCCCCTAGATCCACGCATGACTTTTAAGCTCACCTGAGCTGAAGGCTCAAGTGAGCTTTTTTGATCGAAAAGTTTCCGGCGTCCGTCATCATGTGTTGTCTGTAAACTATTACATTTTCGACTTCTTCTCAAGAACCACTGGGCCAATTTCAACCAAACTTGCAAAAATGCATCCTTTGGTAAAGGGGAATTTTAGTTTGTTCACAATAAGTGCTACGCCCTCTTTCAGGGGGAGATAATTAAGAATTTATGAAAAATTTTTGTCATTTTTTAAAATTCTTTTTCTCAATAACCATTGGCCCCGAACAAATGAAACTTAGGTGAAATTTTCATGAAATATTGTAGACTCAAGTTTGTTCAAATCATGACCCCAGGGGTAGGGCGGGGTCACAACAGGGGATCAAAGTTTTACATAGTAATATATAGGATATATCTTTAAGAATCTTCTTCTCAAGATCCAGCAAAGCAATTATTAAACATATTGATAAAGAAGCATCCTCAGGTAGTGAAGATTCAAGATTATTCAAATCATGACACCCGAAGGGTAGGGCGAGGTCACAACGGGGGATTAAAGTTATACATAGGAATATAGAGAAAAAAAACTTTAAAAATCTTCTCAAGAACAGAAAGCCATAATCTGTCATATTGAATCATCCTCAAAGAGCATAGATTGAAACTTGTTCAAATCATGACCCTGTGTAAAGGATGGAACAGAAATGGGGGGGGGGGGGGTAAAGTTCAACATAGGAATATATAGGAAAACTCTTTAGAAAAATTCCCCATGAACAGCATAGCCTTGATTAGCCAGCCATATTTATATGGATGCATCCTCAGGTAGTGTAGATGGAAGTTTTTTTTTTTTTTTCAAATCATGACCTCTCGGGGGTAGGGTTGGGCCAAGGGGGATCAATGTTTTATATAAGAATATAAAAGAAAATGATATGCTGGTCAAGAACAGAAGGACCAAAGTTACTCAGGTGAACGTTGTGGCCCATGGGCCTCTTGTTCATCCAAAGATATCCTTCGGTGATATCAAACTGAAACCTTGCATATTTCTTATTGGATATGTCATGAATAAAAAAGAACATTTTACTCATAAATGAAAACGATGCGTGACAGCCTTATTAAATTTTAAGCTTTGGAATGTAGTGGCCGGGGGGGGGGGGGGGGGGAGTAGGGGGTTGAAGATAAACGGATGAAAGCAAATAAGCGAGACTCTACTTTCTAGCGAGTAGCAAGGATAGAGATTGGAATGCCGAGTTATTCTGAAATTTTTTTTATCCAAATCATACCAGACGTAAAAATATTTTTTTTAATATTAAGTACATGTAAATATATGTAATAATAATGCATACCAAAAAATTGACACTTCATGTATTGTAATAGTTAGTACTTTTGCATCGCCACGTGGTATCTTTTGCAATGCGAGGATTGTAGAATCTCTTCACTTTGCATTAGGGTACACGGTCGTACTATTTCATTTATCAACATTACTTACATATACAGTGTCAAATTGTACAATATACAAATACATGTATTATAGATTATTTAGTATACACATAATTTGTCTGTGCTGTTTGTAATTGTAGAAACCATGCTTGTTGTTTGTGATGCCTGAAAGGGCCCTGAAAGAATCTTATCTTATATTCCTGAAAACACGTTTTATCCCCCCTCTCTCTCTCTGCAAAAATAAAGGAGGTTCCATCCCTGGAACCTACCCCCCCCCCCCGTCTAGATCCGCCAAGTGGACTGAGGGCAATGCAAACTTTACAACAGAAAAAAGTACAAATTTTAACTAGGTACAAGAGGAGCTTTATTCCTCCAAAGAATTTTTTTCTTGTTCTGTAACACACATAATTTATATATATATATATATATATGTATATTGTAGATTAATCAAAGTGTGTTGCTTATGCCGGATTTCCGTGTGTTCCTTCTACTTTATCATTTGTCCCAGTGTGGAACTTCATGAGCGAAATTTTCTATCAAAGCTACTATATACATGTGAAAGGGGGGTCATTTTTTTTTTAAATGTGCAAAACAGGATCCTTTTTTTTAAAAAAAAATGGAACATAAGTTTACTTATTTATCTAAAACCTGTTCACCAATATACATTTCAGAATTCTGCTTTTTAATGGACCAACACCTGCACTCCCAAGAAATACAAAGAAACACAATTCAATCTTTATTTGTGATATAATTGAAGACTATAACAATGTGATAAAATTATACACCAGAGTGATTAATACTCTTGTTTGTTCTGTAAGACATGGCATCTTCACTGAATCATTATATTAACCAATTGTAAGGAAAGGGATGTTAAGACTCACATTTTTATAAAAAAAAAATCTTGTAAGACTTGCAGTTAATTTAGTAAGTATCTAAAATCAGAAAGTACTGTCTAGAAGCACTTAATTACACTTTCAATTAGTGGGCACTTATGAAAACATTTTTTTAATTTATACACATACTCTAAATTTATTTGTTTACAAAAACCTATGAAGTGGAAAGTGCAAAATGGACCACTTTCTTTGAATAAGGTGGTCAAAACACTTCATATACATCCGTAATAAATATAAATACCTTAAAGAACAGATGATACCATTTGTCTACATACCCTATAGTATTATATTTTTTTCCATTAGCATCAATAATACTGACTGTAACTAGTATGTACATGTATGTATTATTTATTAAACTAAATAATGAAGTAAAACTCCTTAACCACACTCGGTAGGTGCCTTATAGATTAAAAAAAAATTAAAAATTACATATCTTGATATAGGTGCATTTGTGGGAGAGAGGTATAAATTTTAAAAATACACTTTTAAAAATGCCATGTAATTTACTATGTGAGAACTTAAAGTCACAAATAAACAGGAAGAATTATTGTAAATAGACAAAAGTACTGTTCAATTAAAAGGATATTTTAACTCATTAAAATGGTATATGGATCATTAAAATTGTATCTCTGCAAGCCATAAAAGATCAATTACATAACAATTATTCCTTTGATGGTTAAAATTGATCAGAATCCCGTGCAGTATGTGTGGAGCCATGTTTATTATTTTGGGGAGTTAACATCCTGGATTTTCAGATCATCTCTTGTTTCCTCCTTCTCAAAACCCTAAAAAGGAAAACTTCAAACATCATCCCTCACCAAATGTATGTAACAACAAATATAAACATCATAATAAGAACAACTTGTCAATCATGGATTACTTTTCAATAAGGTATACTATTTTCATTGGAATATTTTTTATATCCTCAATTAAAAGAAACAGATTTGAAATAATATCAACAGTGAACTATAAAGCTGTAATATTCTGCCTTGCACAAATCTTTGCCTGACATTTTGGAATTATTGAATGTAGCCATGTGCAAGTAACCAGCAGATTTCTAAATACCTGCCTCAAGTTCCTAGCTGGTAGGACCTTTAGATGAATCTAAATTCTCTGCCATTTTCTTAGAATCAATTAACAGCCTATTTAACATTAATAGTGGTGAATTCTCTTTCTGGAAGTAAAATAACACATGAATGAAAAAAAAAAAGAAAAGAAAATCCCTTGAAGTAAAATGACACATGAATGAAAAAAAGAAAATCCCTATGCAAATTCAGCTGGGAAGCAAAGAAGGATGTCTTAAAAGCAATTTTTACTTAAGGGTACATCTACACTTCATGGAAGCTTGCACATTTAAAATAATATGACTAACTGAAGCGGTGCTTTTCCGTAACAAAATGTTTTCAAACTGAATCTTCCTCATTTAATACAATATGACATCCTATTTGATTTCTTGATAACCCAATGGTTACGATTTAACAACCTTGAATCTACACTATGCTTGTTTATTAATCTGTCTGATCATGTCTCTACAGTTCTCGATGTGAAAATTCTTAAACATTTTTCATCAGATTCCTATTCTTTACAAATTTGACTCCTGTTCTGGCCCCATCCTTGTACTAGTGGACAATGATTTGAATTAATTTGAATCTGGATGCAAACAGAAAATCTTTAACGTCAGTTCGGTCTCATCTGGCTGAGTGAATCAAAAGAAAATTTTTCAATGACCTCAGTAATTTATTGCTGTTGCTTAAACATCTCAGCTACATGGGTCAAGGATCTTCATAAGGAATGAATTTAATAGCTACGGTATAAAGTGGGTGGGGCAGTTTATGCTTAATAAACTGCAAAGTGGTTTATAAAAAAGCGTAAACTGTTCCAACCCACTTTATACCATATAAATTGGGTAGCTATTAAATTCATTCCTTATAATTTAATTTTCATTCATTTAGTGTAAGAGAAAAGATGATTGCTTATAAAAAAAAAATGACTTCAAATTGTACAAAATTTAAATGTAACGTCAGGTGGATTGATATGTTTTTGACGCAAGTCATTGTGATGTAGGCAACCTTATTTATACAATATAAAGTAATTTTTTATCCAATCAAACTGCGCGTTACAATCAGAATTAAATTATATTCAAATAAAATCAAGAATTCCCTGCATTAAAGGAAACTAGTCATACTTTTTATTGTCAATGATGTTATTTGTTTTAGCTGCGGGGGAAATTGGCTTACCTCCCCAGAGGCTTTCTCCCAAGTCACTAGAGGATTTTTATCACCTTCATCGTCCAAAAACACAGACAATTGATCCTCAAAGGTTGCCTTAGGTTCACTAACTGATGTAAAAGCACTTCCTGTAGGCTGAGAGCTTGAGGAAATGCCATCTGGAAAACTCTGATGTATAACACCCCTCCTATTGGGGGGAGATATAGTAGTCCCCTGTACAGTATCTGTACATTTATAATTCTCTGGTGTAGATTGAGAGAGTCTATTGATAGGTTTGGGACTCAGAGATCGTGAACGCTGAGCATGAGGCACTGGTGAAATAGAACGATTTAACAGATCTGAATCTAATGAATTTAACACTGAGGACTTCTGCTTTGTGTTGGTTGCCGACATATTTTGCTGAACTGAGAATGAATTCTTCCATATTACTGGAGACAGAGGCTTTGGGTTTTGATCAATTTCCTCTTGCTTCACATCCAAGGAAAAGTCAATCAGATTAGGTCCTTTGTCATCTTCTGGCCAGTCACCATAACTACACTTTTGAGATTTCCACTCTGTACTTCTGTTCACAAAGCTGACTCCATCACCTGTGGTCCTTTCTCTTACACTGTTAGAATATAGGTCTGTTGATAATGATGTCTGTCTTTCACTATCAGTCTTGCCTTGTGCACTATAAATGTTTTTGGAATAAGATGATCTCTTTGATGTCTCAGAAAACTCCGAAATGTCTTTCTCTGGAGAAATTCTGGAGTCTGGAGATAGTTTACTACAATTACTGCAGTTCTTCATTGAGTTGCTTTCATTCAAAAATAAAAAAAAAGATGCTTAGTTGAAAATTCTTATACATGTATCTTTATATTATTGAACAAGAGGCCCATCAGCCACATCACTCACCTGAGCACTTCGGTTAGAGAAAAGCAGAAATCAGTTCAGTATTGAAAAGTTTATATATATTAGTGGTCCCAACTTACCCCTGGAGGGGCAAGTGAGGTGGTCATGATTTGAATAAACTTGAGTCTACACTAGCTGAAGATTCTTCAATATTTATATGACTAATCATGGCTCTAAAAGCTTTTTACAGATTTTCTCTTATACATTCCTATGTAAAAGTTTGATCTTCTATTGTGGCCCCATTCGGCCCCTGAAGGGCATGATTTGAAGTAGCATGAATCTAGGCTTTCTGAGGATGCTTCCATATAAATATGACTAATCATGACTTTGCTGTTCTTGAGAAAAAGATTTTTAAAGATATTTCCCTATATATTCCCTGTCAAACTTTGATCGCCTAATATGAGATCTTGATTTGAACAATCTTGAATCTACACTATGTGATGAAGCTTTCACATAAATTTCATCTTTTCTTGCCCAGTAGTCATTGAAAGGAAATTTTTAAATGATGCCACTAAATTTTCACTAATTCTTAACTATTTTCCCTTGAAAGTGGGCATTGCCCTTCATTTGAACAAATTTAAATCCCCTTTAATACCCAAGAATGCTTTATTGCAAGCTAGCCAAGCTTGGTTGAAATTGCCCCAGTGGTTCTTGAGAAGAAGCCAAAAATGTGAAAAGTTTATAGATGACACAGGACAGACAGATGCCAGACATTCATTGATCAGAAAAGCTCACTTGAGCCTTTAGCTCAGGTGATCTAATAAAAAAAATTATATGGCAATACAATGTATCTGATGTAAGTGTGTATTTGTGTAAGCGTGTGTGTGTGTATGTGGCTAGTTAATTTCAATTGTTTTTCATAATATAATTTTCGTCCACAAATATTTACTACAGCCTAAATCTACTTAAATGAATTGTTTTTCTTAAGTCACAAGCTATCCATAAAGTCTATATTTTGTACCTGTACTCCTCTAGACTGCTTTGTTGCTTGTTGACAGTTTCTCTCGTACTGTCTAAGTTCAGCTGTAGCAGCCCCACCTCCCGCTGTTGTCTGTCATATAACTGAAAGGACCACAATGAACGCTCTATAATTATATGTCAACTTACAATGCTACTTAGTGCCTTGTGAAAATTATTCCTTGTAAGGATTTCATCACGAAATTCAAACATAATTTTACTGACTTCAGATTTTTTTTCTCAAAAGTTAAACAAGATTATCAAATGTTTAGCATACAAACTGTTCCAATATATTCATGTAATTTTATTTCAGTACTTGAGAACCAGTGTTTATGGTATGAAATATTGCTATTTTTTAATGATTAAAGAAAGCTTTTGCAACCTGGGGCTTTTGTGAGTGACATGTGATGTAAAACTGAGATCAAAATTGAATCATTTGCCTTCATTTTTATTCGTCTTGTGACATGAATTGTGTTAACAAATGCATTTGTCTGCCCAAAAAGCCTTCGATGTCATTTTTAGAAGTCTTTCATCTACGCAAATAATAAACAGATCATGAGTTTTGATAAAAAATACTAGATATTTGACCACATTTGTAACTAAAGCTGTCTCACATTTCTTTCAGACTTGAATTTTATAAAGAAAAAAAAATCACAAAAGATTTAAAATTAATGTAGATGTTTAAAAACATGTTGGCATTGATGTGACAACTATCAATGCAAAGCACTTTGGTATTTTTCAGTATTACAAAGTCTGGGGATATCTATTGGATAACCAACCTACATAACTGAAACAAATTAGCATACTTACCTCTCTTATTTGCCGTAATTGTTGGTCTGTTCTATATTGCTTTGCCCTCATGGATTCAATCAAATTGTCTTTACATTTTTCTCTTTGACCTGTTGGATAATTTGAAGAAAAAAAAATCCTGAATGCATTTTTAGCTAAATTTTAACAAGAGGCCCATGAGCCACATTGCTCACCTGAGCACTTTGACTAGGAAAAAGCAAAAATCAGTTCAATATTGAAAAGTTTGTATATAAAGTGGTCCTAAAAAGGGGGAAGGGGCATTATTTGAACAACCTTGAAACTATACTACTTGTGGATGCTTCCATATTTCCTTGAATAATCATGATTTTAGAAGATTTTTCAAGATTTTTTTCTATACGTTTGATCCTCTATTGAGGCCCCACCCTACCCCCATGAACATGATTTGAACTCACTTGAATCTTCACTACCTAAGGATGTTTCTGAATGAATATGATTAATCATGACTTGCTTTCTTGAGAAGAAGAATTTTAAAGATTTCTTTCCTATATATTCCTGTGTAAAACTTTGATTGCCCATTGTAGCCCCTGCCTTCCACTGGGGGACACATTTTGAACAAATTTGAATTTAATTACATTTAAATTACCTGAGGATGTTTTCAAATAAACATGACCAATCATGGCTTTGCTGTTCTTGAGAAGAAAATTTTTAAAGATATTTTTACTATATATTCCTATGTATAACTTTTATCGCCCATTGTAGCCCCTGCTTACCACTGGGGTTCAGGTTTTTGAACAAACTTGAATCTATGTTAACTGAAGATGCTTCAATATTTCATTTTGGCCTAGAGACTTTAATAACAATCCCATCTGTTTTTCGCCTAACCAACTTACGGTGTCATTTGCATCCAAACCCAAAGCTTTCTCATGTTATCACACATAAAAAAAATCCCTTTTAACAACAGAATCCACACCTTTGACCCAGTGTTTTCAAATGCTATCCTACCCAAGTTCATCATCAGTTAAACCCATGGAGGGATTAAAATCAACCCATTATGAAATTGAATGTTATTGACATTATTGCACAGGTAAAAAACAAGCGGGAATACTCCAGACAAAGGTATTGATGAATATCAGGATAAACATGGGTAACCCCCCTATCCACATTTTAATTTTAAATGGCAGGGGCCTAATAATATTATTTTTCTCTTAATAATGTGCAAGAGAATTATAATTGTTAATCAAAGATTACAAATCTCCCCTGGATGATTGTTATCTAAAAGTAAGGCAAAGTCCTAGTCTAAATGAATGTTCACACAGTGTTCATCCCTAGATCCAACATCCATGCAAGCATGGTTTGGGTAGGATTTGTAGTTACTTGGAAATTGTTCCAAAATTGAAAATGTATATGTCAGATGCAGGTCTGGTAGTGTGCATCCCTAGATGCATCATACATGAAAGTTTGGTCCAAACAGGCTTTACAGTAACTTTGAAACCTGCTCCAAAATCTTAATTTTGTCATTCATCTAGAAATTATAGATCAGATTTAACATCTGAAGAAAGTCTGGTAGAGTGCATCCATAGATGCAGCATCTATGCAAGTTTGGTGACTAGAGGACCAATGGTTACTTGGGATTGGACCTGCTCCAAAAATTTTAACAAGGTCAATCATCCACAAAATATAAGTCAGATCTAGCATCCAAAGCAGGCCTGGTAATATACATCCTTAGATGTGTTATTAATGCAAGTTTGCTCACCATAGGGTTTATAGTTACTTCAGAGTGGACCTGTTCCAAAACTTTGATCTTGTCTCTCATCAAAAAATGTAGTTCAGCACCAGCAATTGAAACAAGTCTATCAATGTGCATCACTAGATACATCATCTATGCAACATTGATCCAGGTAGGACCTATAGGTGCTTGGAAATGGACCTCCTCTAATAAACTTTAATCTGTTCAAACTCCAAAATTAGGGATGTCAATTTTGTCAATAATTCATATTGGAATATTCAATGAAAGTATTCGAATATATTCAAAAATTTGATAAAATTAATGAAATCTGGTTTATTTCAAATGTACTAATCATACTCTCATGGCAGGTTTTGCGTCGGTATTTGGAAGTAAAATTTGATGTAAACTTTTGTAGGTATACAATAAGGAATTCTACATTTGATATTTGTCATTTTTTAAAATGACTAATTGATATAAGTGTATACAACCAAAATATAATTTTAACAAATGATATCTATACAAGCTCAAACTGACGAACCAGTCGTCTAACCAGGGGCAAGATTTACTCTTCAGATTTAAATACACATAATTAATTACAATTATCTGCTTAATAAGAGATATAATCTTTGATATAATGATTTGAAAATATAAACAAACACTTCTATAGACAATTTTCCTAGGTCATTAATTTCCCGATAATTCAACCTGAGATAATCAAATAATTGATGCATTATTCTGTAATTGAACCCTTTACAATATAACAGGCTGATTTTATCAAAGTTGTAATTCAATGATCAATAAAATTTATTTTCATAACTACACTCTTTATGTCTCTTAGTCATTCAAGACGGGTTTCATTTTGTTATCCTCGATTCTAGATCCGATCATATTACACTTTTGAAAGTAATTTTTGTATTATACATTAATAATTCTTGTTATTTCTTTTATACCTTACTCAAAATGAAATAATTCAGGAAGATCTATAAGATAAGAAATGGTGAAAGAAATTGAGGGATCGCTAGTAAGTATAAGGGGGATAAATCCAGCACTGTTCTAATTAAAATTTAGTATCTCTTTTGTGAAATCTGAAAAACACCGAATATTTGAATCTTAAATTCATATTTGAATATTAACTCATCGAATGAATGTTCGAATATTCGTTGACATCCCTATCCAAAATATGTAGGTCATGCAGATGCAGCACCAAAAGCATGTCTGATAGTGCACATCCCTAGATGTAGAATCCATGCAAGTCTGGTCTAGATAGGGCTTATACATGTATTACTCTGGAATGGACTTTCTTCTAAAACTTTATGCTGATGCTGAAGCCAACACTGGGGATGTAGCATAAGCTCATCTCAACTTTGTCAAGATGAACTAAAAAACAAAAGAGGCACACATATGATAAGTTGACTGACAAATGAAAAACTCACTGAATTCATCTTGAACCAGGCTCAGCTGTTCTCGGATGTTTAATGCAGACATCATATGCTCCTGAAGGTCAAGCTCTTTCTTCTGCAGCAAAGCTTCAAAAGAAATATATAATTACAGTTTTCTACAATTTATGCCAAAGGATTTCCCAGGCCCACACACTTTTCACTGTTTTGTCTGTAGGGTTTATTGTTGTTGCTTTCTTTCATTACATTTTAGTTAGCCTCAAGAAAAATCAGCTAGAGTGTGTCTAGTTCAGTGTTATATTTGTCAACATTAGTTTTAAAACTGTCATTTCAATAAAGAGGAGTGTTCTTCAGAGGAAGAACCATTTAACTGTTCTGTGACTGATGATCACATTATGTAACTGTCAAGAAGGGCAGCTTACATCAGCATATTAAAGGAAGTTCTCTTTTCTATCACTGATTGCAAAAGTGAGACAAACTTAACACCCTCCCTGTACTATGAAGGACAGTTGTCCTTGAACAAAGCATCATTTTTCACAACAACAACATTATATCAATTTTCATTAAAATTCTATACTTTAACTAAAAATGACAAGTCAAGAAGGAATACTGGTACATGTATATATTCAATGGGTAATGTAAATTTAAACAATAAAATGCTTTTTCTGTTAGTGCAGGAAATAATGTTGCAGGAAAAAATATGTATTATGTGAATTTTTTCTGCAATAGCTGCAACTGTTAATTTCCATTCTAACAAAAAAGAAATACATTTTATTGTTTAAATTTAAGTCTTTATGAATAATCATACAAAGTAGCAATAAGTATGTTAAATATTGTATGATTGATATGTACAGCATATTTCTTTGATTGAAAAGCACATTGCATAGGAAATCTATATAGTTGGCTTGAAAAAACGGTTCTAACTGGCATTTACTGATTGCTGAAAGAAGTGGTTTCATAAGAAATAAAGGAGAAAATCTTTAGTGATGTAATGATATATTGATCATTACTGAAGTAAACATAGAAAATCAAAGATTAAGAGCTCACTTCATGTTATTTTTATGTGAGTCCTACACTAAAGTAATAACTAATATTCTAGTAGTGTGCATCTCTAGAACAGCATTTATGCAATTTTATTCCAGAAAGGGCTCACAGTTACTTGGGAATAGACTTATTCTAAAAACAGTGTTCATTCATCCAGAAAATGCAGGTCAGCTCTAACATACAAAGCAAGTGTTAGCATTTCTTGATGCATCATCCATACATATTTGGTTCAGGTAGACTTTAGAGTCAACTTGGAAGTGGACCTGCTCAAAAACTTTAACTTGGTCACTGATCCCAAAAGCATACCTCTCCAAAGTAAGTCTGTGGTAGCATGCATCCCTAGAAGTATCATCAATATACAAGTTTTCTCTATGAAGGGCTTAAAATTAAACTGGTATGAACCTGCTCCAAGACTATTACTTTGGTCACTCATCCATTGGAGGTCAAATCCAGCATATGAAGCAAGTCTGGTGGGGTGCATCCCTAGATGCCCCACCTATCAAAGTCTAGTCTAGTAGGCTTTATAGTGGAATGAACCTGCTCAAAAAATTTAAATGTGGTCACTTATCTGGAAAATGTTGGGCAAATCCACAGGTACTTGTGGACTGAACCCCCCACCCCCCACCCCACCCTGATATTCAGCCCTGGGGCTTGTTGGACATTTTTTCACAAATTATATTTATTGCACTTATTCATCATGTGTACCATAGGAAAAAATTGTGAAAACTCCAAAATAATCGTTCCATACAAAAAATACCCCACTATACATTATAAGAGAGAATGTATAGTGGGGTATTTTTGTGTGGAACGATTGATTATTTTGGGGTTTTCACGATTTTTTCCTATGGCTCACATGATGAATAAGTGTAATATACATGTATATAATTACAATTTGTGAAAAAAATGTCCAACAAACATCAGGGTTGAATTGGGGGGGGGGGGGGGGGGGGGGGGGGGGTCCACAAGTACCTGTAGTCAAATCCAGCATCCGAAGCAACTCTGGTAGTGTGCATCCCTTGATGTATCATCCATGGTTCAGGTAGACCTTATAGTTTCTTGGTAACAGATCTGCTTCAAAAACTTTACCCTGGTCACTCATCCGAAACTGTAGGTCAAATCCAGTATCTGAAGCATGTCTGGTAGTGTGCATTCACGGTTGTATCATCCATGCAAGTTTGGTCAATATAGGGCTTATACATGTTGTTGCTTTAGAATGAACCTGCTTAAAAATTTAACCTAGTCACTCCCCAGAAAATGTAGGTCAAATCCAGCATTGGAAGCAAGTGTGTTAGTGTGCATCCTTAGATGTATCATCCCTGCAAGTTTGGATACTGGTGTAGCCTGGTACTATAGGGCTTTTAGTTACTTTGAAATGAGACCTGCTCCAAAAACTTTAACCTGGTCACTCTTTGGCTGAAAATGCAGCATCTGAAACCTTGTATAATGAAACATACTAGAAGCATCATCCATGCATCTCTGATCAGTATTAGACATACATGTAAAAGTACTTGAAAAGAAATCTGCTCCAAAAACTTAAGCCTGGGATGCCAATGGAGAGTGTACTACCGGTACATATATGTACACTCCCCCAATTTTGTTGAGGTGAGCTAAAAAGTCAATCGGGAATGCAAAGGAAATGCTACATAACCACTCCAATACCATCTTTTAACCATTTCTGTATACAAATAAACATTTCTGTGAAATCTAGCACTTTGTTTATTATCTGTATGAATAAATCACCTTTTATATGATTAATCATCAAGATCCCAACAAAATATGCATTAGACTTGTGCACTGAGTAGAGAGAATATGTATAAGCATCATGAAAAGTGTGACTTAGTGTAATGTTGCCGTCAGTTTGGACTTTATTCAAGTAAAATTGCATCACATTCAGTTGAATTTCCATTAGTGTGAGGCTTAAGCACAATTGTCAAGTTCTGTTTCAAAAACAACAACAAAGTTTTCAGTTTGTATCGAGGGGGACCCACCCTCAGATAAGAGAGATAACTTTCCAAGTAAATAATCCTAAAATTAACCATAGTTTTTCATACCAGAGTTTAGTATTGAAGACCTTTGCATCGTCAATTCAGTCAAAACCAACATAAGATGTGCTTAGGAAACATTGACTTTTATTTTCTTTTACCTATATTTTTTTCTTAGTTTTTGATTACATTTGACCTTAAACATTTGCATCCAATTTTTAACTCTTACAAATTGATATAATTCTTCTCTTTTTTTTTTAAATTTCCAAACTATAGTAATGGATCATGGACTGAAAGAATTTTTTCAGTAGATAGTTCATTTTTTCCTAGTAAAATTATTTGAAAGAAAGATAACTTAATTGTTGATGGATGCATTCCTTTTTTACAAGCACAGAAAACGATGTGATATTTTGACTTAAAAAGCAGCAAACAGTCTTTCATTATGTTTTTTAATATGAATTTAATATATAATTATGATGATGTATGACACTAAATATTACTTTAATACACTGTATGTACCTTGTATTTTTAATTTTATAATGTGATTATAAATTATTGCTCTTCCTATTTTCTGTGTCAAATTTTCTTCATATTATGTTCAGACATAAAAAGTAAGGACTGCTTCATACTAGTTCATAGTTTTCCATTTAAATCTAATGCTTAAACGATGTTGATGAAAACCAATGGAAGGAAGTTTTTTAAAAAAAAGTGGGAAATTCAGAGCAGAGGATCATTACTCTTTAATAGTACATGTATTTCTCCGAGACAAATGAAGCTAGTAAAGAAGTACAGCTGTGAAGTGCACGGCAAAGATGCATTAGACAATTTTGAAATTGCCTTTACCAGAACTGTTCTGTACAAGACAGGCAGGAAAAATATAAGGCTAACAGGAAATTACTCTAGAACACATTCACATTTTTTTCAAAAAAATAATTTGTCTCATGCAAGAAGTCAATTAATTACAATGAAAAACTGCAGAAAATATTTCTTAAAGATTTTAAAAGTACACCATATTGAATAAAAAAGCTGTACTGAATTGTGAGAAAAACATTTTTTCCCTTTTTTTCTTATTGCTTGATTATGAAACAAAGAATTAATGTTTGTAAATAATTTTATTTAAAAAATCAAATATTTAAATGTTGGTATTGCTTTTTTTTAAATGATCTTATAAGTAAAATGTTGGTTTTGTATTTTAAATGTGTCTTCATTTTATTTATGCACATTATACAAATATACCCTTTTGATGAGGTCAATGATATATGTAGACCATGTAAGGCATTGTTAAGTCATCTTCATTATGGCGCTACCATTAGAAACTGGACTAAAGATCTGTTTTTAGACAAATCCAGTTTATATCAGTTTATTTATCTATTATCTATTATATCAGTTTTTGAATATTATTTTGGCCATTTACATAGAGATTGGGAACTACTTGTTTAATTTATATCAACCATCCACTGAAATTGTTTTTAGATTTTAAATGACTAACCTAGCTACTAAAGAAAATGACATTAAAATTTACCTTTAAGAACTGTCTGATATAAAATAATAATTTACTAATAATTAATTGTATATTTACAATTATATCAATTCAATCTTAAGCTTGTCTTTTAATCATTTTTTCATGTATCTGCAACATTTGGCCCAAAAAATCTTACTTCAAAGATCAAAATTTTTAAATTGTCATGATTCACTTCATTCAAAACTGAGATAAATCATTACTCTTATTATTAACTCCCAATATTTTGTCTTTAAAAAATTAATATCAAATGAGAAAAATAAACACAAAATGACAAATGGAAAAACAAATGAAAATTAATTCACCAAATATTGAAGGAGTTAATAACTTTCAAGTGATGCAAAGTTATGTTTAAAGATTTGCAATCATATTCAAATTGTTTATTATTTAAATTCAACTTAGAAACCATCTTCTCAAGACTGAACACCTATTTTTTTTATGGCTGACTTATTGTGTAACTAACATCACTTACACTCTTGATCTAGAATGTATATGTATTTTGTATATGCCATATGCATGCATGGGTTTCCATTTTGCAACTGAGGCTTTGAAAGTTGATAAACAAATTTGAAAGTAGAAAGCTTAATTTTTACTAATTCAAAGACAACCTAGATAAGTCAAACAAAGCAAAGACTTTATTAAAAAAAAAAAAAGAGAGAGAGAGAGAGAGAGAGAGAGAGAGAGATACAGCCAAGACTAGTTATCTTGAACTTGATGGGACCTAAAATAATTGAGATATCCAAGGTTAAAATACACAAAGAAAATGTGGTTGGAAGTTCTTGGAACATCCATCCCACCTAACATATCCATGCTATTCAAGATATTGATGTTTAAGATATGTCCCAAAGTTCAACTATATCTGAATTCAAGATATTTGAAGTTAAGATTAATAAGTTCATAGCCATCATAAGGTCTGGAGCACCAACTCACTTCAAATACACCAGGCAATTGATCTATGTTTGAGATACTGATCAGAAATTTAATTGTATCTGATTTGTTGGAGATAACTTTCCTGACTGAGTGCTTGGTTTCAGCCAAATATTGACTGATCATTGACAATTGTAAATCATCCCAACATAACTAACATGATAATTTACCCAGATCTATTTCAATGGAATATAGGTTATGTTGACAAAAGAGTAGATGTATTCTGAGTAGACAGTGGATGCATTGTAAAGTACGTGTTTCACTCAATAAATAATTATAACCTGACGAAAAATGAAAAGGGTAAAAGGGCAATAATGTTTTTATCTTGTCAGTATATGAGGTATGTTGGTATGTTGGATTGCAGAGGTCCTGAATATACAGTATATTTTCAATAATTTGCATCCGACTTAAATGTAATAATTTAAGATGATAAGATGTACACCTTAGTCACTGTATATACTTACGAGTATATACTTTTTCTACCAATTTTTAAATAAGTTTAAGTTTTAAAATGGTGATTCAGATTATACCTTACAAATAACTGTCTACCATATCAGTTCCCTTTATATTATGATCACCTTGTGTTTTATCGAGTTCTTGTTTGACTTCATTATATCTGTCCTTCCATTGGTTGGATTGTTTCAATGCATCCGCCTCTCGGTCCAAACACTGCTTGTTGCGTAGATCGAGTTGTTTCAAACGTTCCCCAAGTTCCTTCATTTGAGCTGTCGCAGTCACAATATCTTTCTCCTGTAAATATTAAAACTTTTAATGAGTTTATTTTCCTTCTTAATATATTCTATCTGCAGTTTTAACGTATTTTTGCACTTTAGTTTAAATTCCTACAGATATGAGGAATAAACAAAGCTACATTTTTTTTCCTATACCAGTATTTCATGAAACTGTAACAATTTCAGTAAAAAGGGGAGGGAACTCTCTGGCATCTATAAATTTATTGCTAACATAAATAATATACTGTCATTGAGAATTCTGTCATATTACTTGAGGGGATACATTGTATCTTCACATTTCCATTACATACCTTCAGCCTGAGAGCAGTACATAACTCTTGCTCCCTGCCTTCTAATTTTCCAATGGTGGAAGACATTTCTCCCATCTTTTCTGTTTGTGTCTGATATTTTTCCTGTAAAGATGAAAAATATCCATGAGAAAATGAACAAAAAATTATCCATTTCATCTTTATCCTAGCAAGTATTTTGGATTCAGTTGAAGATGCAATCAAAAAAATATATTTTCTTATGGAATCCTTTTCATCTTACTGACTTAATAATATTTACATGAATCAATAGTTGAAGAATTTCCATTTGGACCATATGTGCATGCTTATAATTGGTACGTATTTGATCCCTGACCCACTAACCCTTTACCTCAAGCTCCCTAATATGTATGTTTTGATAATCATTTTCCTGACAGAGTTTTGTCAGCTGTTCCTGAGTTGTTTCCAGTGTGGAGTTCTGACATGTGCTTTCATTACTTAAAGCCTTTAATTTTGCAATAGCCATCCTCAATTGTTTTGTCCTATTTTGCACTTCATCTTCAAATCAAAATAAAATTACTTGTACAAGAATTAATTTTAAGCAACATATTTCAATCATTTAAGTTACTGTTTATTTGCAATGCTTTGAAATTTATACAGTAAACATTCTTCTATCAACCTAGCAGACTACCGGTAGTTTTTGCAAAATCTTTTTTAAAATATAAAATAATCACCTTGTGCCTTCGCAAGCTTCTGTTCTAACGTTAAGATTCTATGACGATCCTGTTCCCATGCGATCAGTTGTTGCTGGTGGGCCATCATCATGTCATTTAATTCCCGATCCCTGTCCTGGAGCTCTGTAACTAACAGCTGAATTTCATTTCTCTGTTTGTAAACTGTTGTGTTCTGATTTTCACCAGATGTCTGAAAGTGTTAACTTTACATATTAGTATTTTACAGCATATACGAATATATTTGGTCTTGTTTTGTTTCCATGAGGAGGAATTAAATTAAATGTGCCAAACACAAGATTAATTATGTGAAAGTAATTTTTAAGGAACTTACAGTTAAAGATTTACTCTGAGAACTTTCCTTTCTTTGATTAGAGGTTGATAAGAGTTGTTGTTTAGTGGAAGAAAGACTCAGACACTCTTTTTCTGTGGATGAATACTTGTGTCCATCAGAATATCTACCAGTCTCTGTTGTGGATGAACACTTGTGTCCATCAGAATATCTGCTAGTCTCTGGGGAGGTTTTCCTTCTATTTTCACCATGACAGTTCCCACCACTTGTTGATGTGGAAGAGTTATGTCCCTTTTGTCTTCCTGCTCCACCATTTCGCAGTTCTTCTACTCTTTTGGGAGATCCTGCTGATGGAATTGCTTGATAAAAAACATTGTTTTCTGAAGCACAAGGGTCACCTCCCTTGCTACTGGACACATATTGTGAATTTGGATGAGCAACTCTCTCAGAAATAAATTGAGAATTATAATTTCTGCCTGCAGAAGGCATAGCTAAAGCTCTCCTGTATTCTCCTGGGTTGATTGCTGATGATCCTGATGAGCCCACTCTGTGACTCAGATATCCAGATTCTAGAGTTTGAGGGGGAATGTCTTGAGATCTGGGAGGGACTCTCTCTCCAACCTGGTCTTCAGGCAATTTGTTTTGAGCTCTTTTCCGTGTTGAAAATGGTGGGATGGTGGACTAAAATATTTGGCATGCATGACTAAACACTAGTTAATAAAATATGAAAAAGTTTTCTAACTCTTTAATCATAAGAAGTGTAATAGTAATTTATCAGTAGTACAACCGCAACACATTTATTTGCTCAGCAGTTGTTCTGCATACTAGAAAATTTTCCTCCTTCATCTGAACATGCTTCCTCAATTTTCCTTTTTTTTTTTTTGCTAGAATGAGTGTATCAATTACTATCAACAATTGTATATTCTGTGATATCTCTCCAAGCTTTTATATCAAATTTATCATAAACATTATTGTACATGTACTCTATTATTTTACCACACAATTCAAGTGGACAGGCACAGTTATTTCCTCTTCTACAATTTATCTATCATCATATACATTTATTTTTACACAATTCCCTTATTGAATGCCTCTCTTTTACCTTAATAGGTGTGCTGTGAACAGGTATTTCCTCATTTGGGACAGGGAGAAATTCTGTAAGGGAAAACATCTTCCAACATTAAAAAGAGATACTGTGGAATCATTAAAATACTTGGAGGCCAATTTTCGTAGATTGCTTAAATTTAACAGGTTTGTAGGGACATAATTTCATGTATTCTTTTATACTTACAAGAGAAAATAAGACTTTGTAACCCTAGTTTTTTTAATTTGTGGAGGATGTTAATTCGTGGATGAAAGGTACCCACGAATTCCATGAAAATTGAGCCACCACGAAATCTAATGATTCCACGATGATATAAAAAATTTTTTTTAGAAAACATTCAGAAGCCTATTCAGATTGCATTTCTGTTAAAAAATAAAACTAGATTTCAATTAATGACGCTCTTATATAAAATGACCAATATTTGGTTCCACTGTAATCCTGGATTAGCACATATTTAGAACTACAAGCATGTGATTCTTTCTTGCCAAATACAGATTGCTCATAAATGCAATTCCTAGTGTTGCCATATCTCTTATTGTAAAATCACTTATTTTTCGAGGGGTCAAATTTTAGTTGTTAAAGGAAAAAATACTGGTTCATGGGGATTTAATTTCATGGTTGAAGAATAAACATAATGTGGTAGTTTACAAAGTTCAACATTTCATGGAGGACATGACTTTATTGGTTGGATCATACCACTAAAACAACAACGTTAAACCCACAAGAAAATAAGTGATTTCACGGTACATTAAAATTTGAAATGCTTTCCTCTCTTTTGCTTAAATGTTTTATCCAATTCAAAATTTTAATATTCTTTTGCATTTCACATGATTACACCTAACTATGTAATATCCAGACACTGGGTGTAGGACATCTGATCCAATTTAAGGGCACTTCAACTCAAATCCTTTGGTAATTAAGTCCAAGACAGTTTAGCAAAAAATGTACCGGTAATCATTTGTTTTGCTCACAAACCATGCAGTGATTAAGATCAATTAGTTGGGAAAAAAATTATCAAATTAAAGATTATCAAATCTGAACTAGTGTTCTTGAATCTTCATCACTGCATATGCAATGCATCTATATTTTTCAATGCATGCTTTCTTCTTTCAAGTACTTTAAATCACTTTTTGTTCATGAGCACTTTATTTTCGCGTAATAATTCGAACCAGTCTGCTCCCAAAAATTAAGTTCTTGTGTATAATTGTATTATTAAAGATTATGTAGAGCAAAACCAGAATTCGTGAAAATTTTACTTCGCTTATAAATTCAATATTACTATCTTGTGAAAATAAGGTGTAGTGAAATTTTGGTGATCCACAGCATCTATTTATCTGTTTAAGCAGAGACATAAATAACATAGCAAAAATTGGTCCCTTTTGAGAATTTGATAAGGAACAAGATAGATACTGTGCCATGAAGATCAACATGGCAGTGAAATACAATAATTTGTTCATTCTCCCTATTCAAAGTTATTCAGAATTAAGTGGATAAGATACTGTACCATGAAGATCAACATGACAGTAAAATACAATAATTTGTTCTTTCTCCCTATTCCAAGTTATTCGGAATTAAGTGGATACTCCCAAATGCTGTCCAGAACATGATATGACTTTCACTTTTTATAACACAAATTACATGCAGTAATAGACAAATTTCACATTCGTAAGAGTTATCACCCGTTGTCGGCGTAAAACTCATTTTTCTCACTATATCCTTTGTAACTTATCTGTAAATATTTTCAACTTTTAAATGGTATCAAACAATTTTGATCCATTCTTGTATTGCCATACTTCCCATAGTATGGGGCAACATAAAAATAAATAACGAACAAATTCATACAGATTTCATTTATAAGACATTGCCCTGTAAAATTAGTAATGTTACAGAGGGAAAACAGTGTCTTACGCCGGTTGACCCCAGATTGACCCCGCAAAGGGAAATAACTTTAGTAAATGTGAAAGTCGTCTAAACTTTAATAATTATTCTGAATTTTTTAGCTTGCAACATACCTGATTCATTCATCATCCCATCACTTTCAAATCAACAGTCATTCATAAAACAATGCCTATAAATAGATTGCAATTACTGTATTACAAATATTCATGGTTTAACTGTTTTTCATTTGTTGATTGTGGCAGAAATGTTTTGATCATTTCAGAAACATGTGGGTACAAGTCCAACTCTGCAAATTGCAACCTTTCAGAACACATGAGAAATTTTTAAAATGATGTAGGCTATTTCAAAACTGCTTTTACAGTGAAATTATACCTGTGATTACTAATTCCTTGGAGAAATAGAAACGGAAAATCATTTTAAGCTTCTGTTATCTGTAACGACGCGACGGTTTCATTCTTTTGTTTATAAATAATCCACTTCCGGTGGAACTATTAATTCGTACAACTAAAATTCTATTTGTTTTAAATGATGGCCTTATTAGCATTCCGCTGAACTGGTACCAAGGATGAATGAATATTTTGAATAAGTAATTACAATAAATACATTATAACAATAAATCATGAATTACAGTAAATATTCTATCACCTTTTGAAGATTTTTTTTCAACTGCTCTCAAAGCGATATTGTACAAGTTATCAACCAACTTATCAATCGGAAATCCTCATAATTTTTCGAAAGAGGCATCTGTCAACGTGAGACGGTGAGTTGTAAAAATATCATAATCATTAACCTTAGACCTGATGTTACCAGTAATGAAAAGCTGTAATTATCAATGTTTTTTGTAAATGTCCTTATCTGTAAAAAGGGGGATGACCGGAGATAATCATTTTCAAGTCATACCCAGAAAACAAGGTTAATGTAAACAGTACAACAGCTAAGTGCATGTAGCATAATCATAATGTAAGGACTTGGTGTCCATTCACAGGGACATTATATTTACATCCATTCAATATTTTCTCCTTTATTTCCAAAGAAAAACCATTGCCGTTTATCAGTTCATGAACAACACTAGGCATATTAGTTACTAGTTAGAATAATCTAACTGTGTCTCGGGACAAGCCCGCACCACAGTTAGAATACGTTCCATATACTTGCAATGTAGCAAATCGGAGTGGATCCACTCCGAAATGATTTTGAAGAATACAAAAGGAGTTGCACTGAAAATAACTACCAAATTAATCATAACAAACCTTTTTGAGATTTTATATATGCCTTTTAACCTAAAAAATAATCCATATAAATACGAAAATTCAACTCATTTTCTCAACGTTTTTTCCTCGCTTCCAATTTAACGCCATGTTGACATTCGGAACTCTCTGGATTGTTCATAGAAAATGCACAGAGTTCGAGTTATCGCCCGTGTTTATTTTGCTACATTGCGAATACACGGAACGAATTCTATCGTTAAACCGGGTCCGTAGGACAATATCATTTTAACGATAGAACATTCTATCTATAGGTATATCCCTGTACGGATTTCTTGATCAGTGGCTGTTCCTTCAATGAAACGTACTATGACGTACATATCAATAATTAATCTTTTTAATCCTACTTTTAATGATTATTTATACAGATATAAATATTAACAATAAAATGTCTTTCTTTGGTTGTTAGTACTGGAATTAATGTCGCAGCTATTGCAGAAAAAAATTACATAACCCGCTTACGCGGGTTATGTATTTTTTCTGCAACAGCTGCGACATTAATTCCAGTACTAACAACCAAAGAAAGCATTTTATTGTTTAATTATCCACTCTGTTCTCGGTTTCACATACAATAAATACATTCATTATGTGAGATAGAGAACAGAGCAGATTAAGATGCCCCTATGGTCCAGATACGTTCATTCAGAAGAGTCCGCAGTTTTAACTTTTATCATTAATCTAGGCCCAATAGGGAATTTAAGTTTTTTTTTAAAATCTTTTCAAATGAAGGGCCTTTTCAAGGGGAGATCAATTAAGAATTATTGAAAGTTTAAAGATCTTTTAAATATCTTCCTTTTTAAGAACCACTGGGCCAGAAAAGATGAAACTTGTGTGAAAGCTTCATTATATAGTATAGATTCAAGTTTATTCAAACCATGACCCCAGGGATAGGGTGAGGCCACAATGGGCATTCAGAGTATTATATAGGGATACATAATAAAAATCTTTGAAAATTTTCTTCTCAAGAACAGCAAGGCCATGTTAGTCATATATATAGGGAAGCATCCTCAGGTAGTGTATATTCAAGTTTGTTTCATTTTTTTTTTTTTCAAATAATGATACCCATTGGTAGGGTAAAGCCACAATGGGAGATCAAAGTTTTACATAGGAACATATAGGAATTTTTTTTATCTTCTTATCAAGAACAGCTAAGCCATGATAAGTTATATTTATATGGAAGCATGATCAGGTAGTGCAGATTCAATTTTTTTTTCAAATCATGATATTTGGGGTAGGGTGGGGCCTCAATATGTGAGCAAAGTTTTACAAAGGAATATATAAGGAAAAAGATTCTGTTGATAAAGAACAGCAGGGTCACAGTGAAATAGTTGAGCATTGTGGCCAGTGGGCCTCTTGTTATTTTTAATTGTTAGACTTAAGTTCCTGCAATAAAGTTGCATTTTTTTTTTTCAGAGGTATGGCAGAAGTTCAGGAAAGGCAGTTTTTTGAAATAGAAGGACCAAGACCAGATGTATCATACCCAATGAAAGTCACATACTGTGGAGGTATGTATCATCATACAGAATTATGAAGTGTACTTCTGTATAATACTATACTTTGAAAGCCATACAATAACAAAGTATTACACACAATGCTCAGATAATCATTAAACTGCTTTATTTCTGTAAAAGCAGAAATATTTGTTGAGGATTGAATTTCGTTTATTTCGTTGCTAACAATTATCAATGAAATTAAATCCCACTCGAAATTTTTATATGAATATGTATTAAATAGGATTTCTTTCAAAACAACAAAAATTAAATCCCACGAAACATTTTTAGATGACACATCAATAAAATTTTATCGCAACAAAATATTGTGCTTCTACAATATATAAAGATATTCAAAGAATCTTAGTACTAGGAAAAATTCATCTGAAAATCTTAAAATAGTAATTGAAAGTACAGGTTCTAACTTTTGCACAAGATAACAGTCAGTATTTCTGTAATGCTGTTTGGTTCGAGATTTTTCCTGCCTTTCTGCTAAAATTTATTTATAAACATGAAAAAAGTCTTAATTATACATAAGATTAAGAGTTCATTATTATATATACTGGTATAATATATATATATAATTATTTATTTTATATTTTTTTTAATTCCAGAATGTACCATGCCTTTGGAGGTAGGGTAGAGCTTTAGAGCTTTTCTCTTTATAACAAGATAAATGAATAAGCAAATTAGGAGACAAAAACAGCTTCTGGCACACTTTAAACACTAGTCTAGCCAACTTTTTTAATTATCTAAAACTTATTACTCAGTTCCTTTTATTATGCAATGCACTATGCAAGTTGTCATTTCTACACAAACTGCGTAGTGCATTGTAGATATTTTATGTTGCTGAAAGCTAAATTCATTTGATTAATTTTTTGAGGTATTATTGTTTGAAAATGAAAGTCTCTTGGTCCCATTTTTGTTGTTTTTTGAAATTCATGTAAAATCTCTTGATCCACTCGTGAATTATTGTTCTCCCAATATGACATCTAGGAGCCATTTGGCGATATTAAGTACTCTAGCAAATTAAGGAATCTACAGTATGGTAAAAAAATATTTCTGCTTGTTCATGAAAAATAATTCTCCATAGAAAGTTTCCACTTTTATAAAATAATATTCCAAGTCAGATTCTGTTAAAAGATATTGATAAATTAAATTTTAAATAGTAATTTTTGTTGGATCACTCAAAAAACGAGAGAGAATATAAAGCATGTGCATGTGCTGTGGCTTTGTAAACAAATCACACAATGGTAGTCAAACAAGCAAAACAAACAAAATCTCTAACTGACACTGGGTGTAGAAAAGAAACCTGGACTGGAAAAAAGTCCAAAAGCAGTGTTTTTATATAGGAAAGCACACAGTGAGTACCTGCGGAAATCGCATGAGCTGAACTGCAATTCTGATTAGAATATGATACAAATTTTTCACGTGTTTCTCACCTTTAGGTTTGTTTAGCTTTTGGAAGTCATGTGGTCTCACCCATTTAAATATCAATAGCATGTTTTTTTTGTCAACATGTTTTTTGATTGATATTTCTCTTATAAATATTGTTGTTAAACCCCAACCCCTCACCCCACCCCAACCCCCAGTAAAAAACAGTTGTATGATTTATTTTTATACGTATTCTACCTATACATGTATATATTTATTGTGTAAGAAAAATATGTGTCTCATTGGGACCAAGCGACTTTAAATTTTATTTGATACTCATTTACCCCAAAAAGCAAATTCAAATGATTTCAATATATATCTTTGAACAAGATAATTATTAGACTTAATTATTATATACTGTGATAACAGTGTTTCTCAAAAGATTTGGGGGGTGGGGGGTATTTATCTACTCAAAGGTTACAGTAGGAAACAAAGACAATTTTTACTCATGCCTAATGAAAAGCAAGTAAATATGTACCGGTATTAGTGTTATAATTGTAAAATATTGTACTCTTTTGTTTTGTTTTTGATATTGGGGCATTTTATCATTTTCGTCACTCTTTTCCAGTATTGTGAATATTACCCAAATTATGAAAAATGCAAAGCATGGCTAGAGAAAAATTTACCAGATGAATTCAGCAAGTTGATGAGTGATAAACCAGGTAAATTTAACAAAACCACTTATGTAGAATTTACATACATGCAGTCAAGCCTGTTTAATCCATAACAATTATAAATCGCCTGGATTAATTAAGTGCATGGATTACTTTAAACATAGCTTTTAGAATTAGTAGATATAAATAATAAATTATGTTCCATACAAATTTTGTCCATAAGGTTAAGCATACATATTATTGGTATCCAGATTACATGTACCAAAGCTCAACTTATACAAAAAAAAACCAGCAACTTTTTCAGAAAACTGTTATAAAGTAATTTATTTCTATTTTATGACTACAGTTATTTTATTGTTTAAAGTAGTAAAATCAGAGGTGATTTTCAGTATTTATAACCCCAATAGATGAATGTATTTACAAAGAAAGATAACTGTATATTCTCTTGACAGCAGATGAAGGAGATGGTGATACAGATAAAAAACGACAGAAGCGGGGTGGTAAAGGACAGATCAAAACAAAAAAAAAGTCAGAACCTAAAGGCATCAGGCTGGGTACAGCAAAAAGAGGCAAGAAGAAGCACATCACAGTGGTTATAGGACTGGGAACGTATGGTAATTGCATTGTTCATAACTTATTAGCTTTATAGTTTCATTGTTTGTGTAAAGATGTACTAAGGAGGAAAAACAGTAGTCTTTGAATTAAATATTTAGACTAAGGCCACCTTAAAAAATCATTTGGTTGCCCTCTCCAGACTGTCTGGCTAAAAAAAAATTAGCATTGAAATTGAAATTTTCTGAGAAAAAAATTTTCCCACTTACCTACCGAAACAATTTTTTCATCTGAGTCGGGAGAGGGCAAACAAACATTATCTTAAATTTGGCCTAATATACTCTTACATGTAAAACTTATGTAGATATAATTTTATTTCTTTTGAAAACTATAAATATTACTCTTTGCATATAAATTCATTATCATTTTCTTAAAATCCAAAGACCGAGTCTTACACACTTTGCTCTGATACATTTAACATGGGGTCATAATTCTGTGGATTCACAATTTCCGTTTAATCTGCAGGTAGAAGATTTGTTAGATTGTCTCTATAAGCCTTAAATATAATTTAAATATGCTGGGACAAGTTTCTGCAGAAAATTTGTGACTATGTACATATGATAAACTAATACCATATGGAAAAAGTAGTTATACAGTGTGTATGGACATTACTGAATCAGATGTTATCTGTATATTTTATTTTTTCAGATATTGATCTGAAGGAAGCCAGCAAAGTGTTCTCATCAAAGTTCTCTTGTGGATCCTCGGTAACGGGGGACGATGAGATTGTCATTCAGGGGGACGTCTCAGATGATCTGTTTGAGTTCTTACCAGAAAAGTGGCCACAGGTATGTCACTCATCATCGACTAATAATTCTAAGTGAAATATGTAACAGTTCATGTTATGTTTCAATTTAATTTACTCTCTTTCAGTTGTTTATTTTACCAAATTTTGTTTTTGGACTATAGTTGATAGTTAGTTATAGAAAACCAATTATTGATTATAGAATTCTTACTGATTCAGTTCACTACTTGTAACAATCTTTGTTGGGGGGAAATTAAAGCAGGGCAAAATTGTTTGAAAGTTTGATGGGGTTAAAATAACTTGGAGTTAAAATAACCCTTTATTTAACTTATGTAACCCATTGATCTCTGAGAATAAACTTCACTGTATTTCAAGTAAGTCAAAAGAAATGTTGTACATATGTCATGAGGTAGAGTATGTATCATGCTTCACTGGCCAGTAAATTAATAACCAGTTAATATATCAGCATCTTTGCAAGTCAAGGGCTTTTGGTCTGCTTTGCTCTCCACAAATGTGAAGCGGACTGAAACCCCTTGGCTTGCATAGATGATATATCAGGGTCTCAATAGCTCATTTGGCCAGAGCTCTGGCATGGTCCACCAGAGGCCCTGGATTTGAATCCATGCTGAGACTTTTTTTCTATACGTATGGCACAATTCTAAAATTTAATTAAAAAAAAAGAAATTAATTGATTTGAATTAAAAATACTGGTTGTTTAAGGATATCCGATCCTCAGCCAGGAAGGATAACTGTGAAAATTATTATTTAATTTAAAAAGTCTCAAAAATTATGCTTGAAATTGAAATCTTTTCTTGCAACAATTTTCATTTTATGCATCTAAATAGGATTCAAGGTTCTCTGAAGTCTTACAAACGGTTTTGTAAAAAGTTGACATTTGTAGTCCATTTAAGTACAGAAATAAATTCATTTCTAGAAAAATCCAATTTCTTTTAATCTAGCATTAAATACCAATGCTTATTACCATGATTTGAAATTGGAAGTGATCTTTGATGTCTTGCAATGATAGCACAAACTTCTTTCACCTATGTATTATATTGAAATAATTGAAGTAAATAGAAAAAATTAAATACTGTATAAGTGTAAAAAAACATGCAATTTTCTCCAAATACCTGGATACCTTAGTTTTGAATCCTAAAATATATTTCTTGATCAAAATTTAATTTGAAAATGCATAGCTGCTACTTTTATTTGTGTATACTGAAAATAAACTTGAGATATGATAATTTTCCCTATATAATAACTAACTTTAATTATGAACCTTGAAGAAATACCATGGGTAAATATATGCTACTTTGTGAAATCAGAAACATTTTTTGAGCATTTTTAATTACTGAAAAGCTGATTTTCAGAACCTGAGGATCAGTCTACCATCAGTTTTTTTCCCTTTGTTATTTTTCCTCTGAAGAACCCTGGTGTCAGTGATATGAAGTATATGATAATATTAATTTAAACAAAAAACAAAGACAAAACAAAAAACAAATATTTAAAATGTGTAGCCATTTCCCTGTTTTAATTGTGATGATCTTTTTTTTCTTCAGATTGATGAAGATGATATAGATGATGTTGGAGAAATGAAGAAGTAGGAGTTAATAATGTATAATTTAGTACAGTTGTTATTTTACATTTATATTAAAACAAAGCTTTTGTGCAATATTTTTGTTTTTTGTTTGACACTTTTGTGATTTACACAAAAGGTTTAATCTAAACATAGAATACATACACAGATATGTATGATCTATTTATGCCTCCTTTAGGTCAGCTCTTTAGAGGGAAACGTTTATCTCCGGTTGTGGTCCCACCCCACCCCCTGGAGGTCATGATTTGATCATACAAGTACTTGAATCATCTACCTGAGAATGCTTGCAAATTAGTACATGTATAACTAAACATAGCCTTACACTTTTAAAACGGGTTTTTAAGCATGCCTGAGCTGAAAGCTTAAGTGAGGTTTTCTGTTCACATCTTGTCCTGCATCTATCTGTAAATTTATAAAATAACATAAATTTATTACAGAAACAAGTGCCTGTGCCCATGAGGCCCTGATTTGAACATGCACTACCTGGCGATGCTTGCATATTGATATGTCTAATGATGGCTTTCCTTTACTTCAAAGAAGTTTTTTCCCCAAATGCACGCGTGGTACTTGAGAAGATTTTAAAACGATGTTACCAAATTTTCATGTATTCTTAATTATGTTCCCCAAACGAGTTTGGAAACGTTTTGTTTTTACTCTATTTTTCTTCCTCTTCTTCCTTGGTACTTTTTTGTCCACGAGTGATCTCAGAAACTACTCATCTGATTGAGGTGAAACCTTTTAAAGTTTAATAGGCATGTTGTGTAGATTTGCGGAACGAAGGTCATTTTGCGCGCACGTGCATGCGCGTGCGATGGGTGAAATGACTGTTAAATTTGATAAATTTTTGATAAAATTTTGAAATTTTTGGATGAAATGCTTGAAAACTTATAACATGAAGATATGTTAATGGTCTAGACAAAATGACATTGTCAAATTATCATCAAACCGCGCGCATGCACCTGTGCGTCGCTCTGATTAGCTGAATCAAAAATCTCAACAACTTCCTTGTTTTTTGGTAAAATACTTTGAAATGTGAAATATAGGTATGTATAGTATTATAAAATTCGACAATATGTTTTGCGGAAATTCTTGAGAATACGCGCATGCACGTGTACTGCAATTTGATTGGCTAAAACTTTAAATGTCTGTAACTTCCTTAGTTTTCTACAAAACAGGATGAAAATTAAAATATAGATAGGTATATTGGGTTTCTACATTATGCTGCTATCAACATTAAATATGAGAACATGCATGCACATGTGCTGAATTCTGATTAGTTAATATTCTACGTTTTCAGTGAAAGTTTTTGAAATTTAAAATGTAGCTCTTTATTACGGCATACTTTGAGATAAATGTGTATGGAAATTTTTGGAAACCCGTGCATGCACGTATACTTAAATTTGATGGGCTATGCTCATTTTGCTGTATATGCCTTGTTATTTCCCCAAATGTTTTAGAAAAAAAGGTTTAAAAAGTCTATGATATAAAGATTTTGCTTAATTTAATGAAGTTTATAGGGAATAGGACACCAAGAGGCAGTAGGTGAGCGTTTGGGGAACATCTGTAACGGTCAACGTTACAATTTGAGCTAGTTTTATGTATATCCCCTTGAAAGACGACGCTCATAATTTGCCTTTCAACGAAGGGTGCTTTGTGCAATTTTGGTTGAAATTTCACCCAGTGATTCTAGGGAAGAAATCGAAAATGTTATATTTAAAGAATTACATTTAATATAAAAAGATAATGTTGTAACCTTCATGTGAATTGACAATTTTTTTTCCAGAAGAAATACTGATTCAATTTGATAGCAGCTGAGTTTTTTTTCTTCCGTGTAGTGTGATTTTTCAGGTCGAGCTATACAATTTCCTGTATTGTCATCATTCTGTCAGTAAAAAATCTTTGTCAACTGATAGTTTTTATGCATAGTTGTGTGCCATATTGCAACACTCTATTTAACTACGGAATGCGTTTTATGTTATTTTATAAATTACTGTTTTTATGTGGCTTTTGAAAAACTGTTTTTTGAATTCAAAACAATTGACCATGGTTTGAAATTCTCCGAGACAGCCTTGGCAAAAAAGTGTAAACTTGAATACCATAAATTGTGTATTAAATTGAGCATTCATATATACAAACTAAACATCCGACGCCATATGTTTAATGACATCCATTCTTTTCTAAAAGTTAACACAATTTTCTTAAATTAAGTTTTCTTTAATATGAGCTGACGCGATTGACTATATGTCATGTTTATACAACGGAAACTTTGGTTTAACCATTTCATTGGACACTACCTGGTCAATACAAATGGCTCACGGCGGGCGTCACAGGTCGACGGGGGATGCATACCCCTCTTAAGCACCTGGCCCCACCTCTCGAATTTCCGGGGGTCCGTACGCGATTTATGTCCTCTTCACAGATTTGTATTGTTTGAACGTTTTTTTGTTTTTTGTTTTGTTGTTGTTGTTGTTGTTTTTAGATCGATCACTCTTAGTTATCTTCCAGGCCCGTAGTACGCGCGTGGGGGGGGGGGTTACTTTTTTCTGAGTATAGTATTTTGCTATAGTAAATTTTACTTTAGATCCTGGTTCACCCCCACCCCCACCCCCCTTTTATGTTGTAAGGTCGAGCACTGGAAAATTCCAGGAGTTGGACAGTTAATTATGTGTGTGTGTGTGTGTGTGTGTGTTTTTTTTTTTTTTTTTTTTTTTTTGCTTGTCAGATAATTTTGGGAAGTCCCCCCCCCCCTTTGAAACCGTTGCTACGTGCCTGTCTTCACTTTTTTTTTTTTTTTTTTTTTTTTAAATTTTTTGAAATTTGAAAGAAAACTTAAAGCGTTTGATGGAAAAAAAACCCCCAATTTTCTATTTTTTAAAAAAAGTCATTCTTTAACAAAGCATGTTACTATATTGCTACAAATCGATTGCTTTAAATTTGGTGTAATGTTTACATTGCATAAAGAGACGTTGACAATTCTAAGCGCATTGCTTGTGCCATGTAATTTTCTTGGAGATAGGTGATTGTGTCACCATACTGAGTTTTCTTTCATTTTTGGAGAAAAAAGAATGCGATCGCTTTACTCTGCTTTTTAATCTGGCTTTGGATCAATTAATTTGATACCCACCGAGTAGTTGGAGCGAAACTTTTGTTGTGAGAGGAGCTAAAGAGAAAGCGCATTATTAATAGAGACTGTTGATTGTGTTTAACGCGATAAAAAAAAAGGTTCTGTATTCTGACTCGAAAAATCTATACTCAACTTCTTGTTAGAGAGGAACGGTGCAATTAATGAACTTGTGGTATGGAATGTTCTAGCTGATACTCAACACAACTCTTTGGATTTAGACTTTAAAAATAAAAAAAGCAAAATTAATGGAACGATGAGGAACAGAAAGCAAATGGTATATAAGTTGTCAGAAGTCCAAAAAGGAAACGGAACTGGACCAGATAGGAAAGAGGTGTGTCCCAGCAGGTGCCCCCCAAAGGGAGGAACGTGTGACTGTGGTCTAGATAAATTCCTCCCGAGGTGGGCTCATTGGATTGTCTGTTTTGTCACAATGTGTGTCCGGATCCATTACATTGGTCAGCCTCAGAGCTTGTGGATTCTACACCCAGATGAAATATTTCAAACAGTAGAAGGTATGAAGAAAAACAAGGGGGTTTATACAGAGAAAACAGCGAATTTATTGTATCCATATTAGAGTGTAAATGTCTTTTGGCTTGTATTTCACGCCCAATTTATCATACAGAATAAACGACTGGCTATTATATTTCTCTAACTAATGGCCTGTATGTGACAGCGACCCTATATTTCCAGTTGGTCAAACACGACAAGAACAGAGGTAAATTCTTACTTAGCCGAGGTTATGTATGTATTTAAACCAGAATAAGTCTGTCGATTCAACCATTACATTTAATAAATTATGTACCCAGTAACAGTTATACTTGGTATATTATAGTTTGTACAGTAGGCATCGATCAAGTGAAATGGTATATTTGAAAATCGATCTTCACCATGGTAAAGTTCTGGTCTATTCTGTAGATCGTTAATTTTGGAAGACTGAAATGAAGTCTACAAAAAAAATCAATTTAGATGACATTGAAAGATGAGATATTTATAAAGTTTGTTAAGGTTCTATTTCTGGGAAAAGGAATTACATGTATTGTAATGTCAATAAATTCGCAGTATTTAAAAATTACCAAGAAAACAATTATGCCCTACTGTTTGTACAGAGATGATCTAATTATTTCTAATGAGGTTTTCTTCATCGGTCCTATGTACCGGTAATATCAAATACAAGATTTCAGAACTTAACATATACTTTCATTTCGAAAACTAGAGCTTAAAAGATAAAAAGAACTGTTTAAGGAAGCTCTAAACACTAACAAAAAATGCCTTTTGGACATTGCATTGAGTAAAAATGTATCACATGGCACCTGCCTTATTTCCGCAGGAAAATTGTACAAAGACAATGGACTATTCGTTAACAGAATTCACTGTTGTTGACTTAAATTGTGAAAATTTATGGAAATAATGAATTCAATTACTTATTCTTGGTCTAATATAATGTTTAGAATATTTAATTTATTACAAATTGTGAAATTAATTGTAAATAACAATTTTTATATCATACTTCTTAGGGAAGATCACTCTAACTACATAAAACTACCTTAACGTAGACCTCTCTAGCGTGCATTGTTTAGAGCTTCCTTAATAATGTCTTAAACTACTTTTGTACTCGTCATTGAATGTTTTTATTTTTTTATGCAGTTGCCTTCTCTGAGTACCACGGCTATGGTTTCCGATTTTATGACTATCTTCCTCCGCCAACCAATGCAACTTCTGTCGAAGAGCAGGAGCTTCTGTCTGGGATGTTTAGCCTACGGTCGTTCCTGCTGCCCAGAATTTACATGCTCATGTTCGCCACTGCAGACTTCCTGGGGTTCCAACTTAAACCGTTGATGGTACATTTTATAAATATTGCATGTAGTTGAAAATGAAAATACATTGAAAATTCTCACCCCAAGAAAACCATTGTCAACCGAGGCGCAGCCGAGGTTGACAATGGTTTTCGAGGGGTGAGAATTTTCAATGTTACACTCAACTACATGCAATATTTATTATATTATACTGAATGTTTTATACAAATTCATATAACAGTGAACCTTGCGCGCATAAATTCTGCGCGGTCGCTATTTTTTGGAATAACACCCGTCGTCAAGCAATGTTGACTGTTGCTACGCTGGAGGGTGTGGCTTCATCATTCAGCGGGCAATAGTGTTTTTTAACAAATATTTCTCGACGAATCAGATTCAACTAATTTACATGAAAGTATAATATTAAGAAATATCAATGATAATATAAAAATGATATACGTTTCTTATTTCTAAGAAATTAAGTTCATATAATTCTTCGACTTTTTTATCAGTAAGGTTATAAATCTTTTTTTTCCCTAGATTGCAAGAACAGGTCATGTGATTGTGACTTCATTTCTACCATTGGCAGTTTATTATTTTGTGAGGAGATTGTATCCATGTGTATTGACAAGTCAATTAACCGCGATCTTCACTGCTTGCTCACTTCCTCTATCCGTCCTTGGGACGCATGCGCTAGACAATAGTCTTCTTAGTCCCTTTGTGATCACCTTTTTGACACCGTTACTTGGATTCTTTCTAGACAGTAGATATAATCCAACATCTGCTATGTTGGCTTCTTATGCCAGTAACCAAAATGGTCATGCAAACATTACAAAGAGCGAAAATACAACAAAAAGCGAAAATGCATCTACAAGCGAAAATGGAACAGAGGACCAAATACTAAAGAAGACATCAAGGGTTAGATTCCTTGGAATATCTCAATCAATGATATATCTTTTCAGTGGATTCATACTGGGTATTGCTTGTTACATTCGTATTGATTCGGTTATTTTCATTGGTACACTTCTAGTCACGTATCCATTGATATTTATTCAAGTAAATCAGTTGATGAGTTCATTTATAATGGCTTTTCTTGCTGGGAGTGGATTTCTTGCAGCTGTTTGGGTGGGTGGATATGAAGATTTGTACAGATACGGCAGCATGTTCATATCACCTTTTCAATGGATGAACTTCAATTTAAAAAACAGTTTACCCTCCACTTTCTTTGGCGCCCAGAAGCCGTTAAAATTTCTCATGGAAATATTCTTTACCGATATATTTTCATCTCTCTTTATTATTTTAGGAATTATTGGATTGTTCGTGGGATTTTTCAGACAGTCAAGTAGAAGAACAGCTAATTTGGAGAACATTATTACAGTCGTTCTGATATTTTTAACCATTTTACAATTTGCATCCCATTTCCTAATGAAGCAGCTGGAAACAAGACATCTACATAATGTCATTGTGTTAGTGTTAATTGTATGTGCCTGTTCTTTTCATCATAATCTTGCATTACTGAGACAAAGTATTCTCAAGGAAGAGCATCTGAAAGTGTTACTAGTTTTCTTTCTCGGGCTTTATGCTTTGAATTCTTATAGTATGTATCCATCGCCCAGTTCATCATTAGATAATCCATGGACATATCCACGAATGAAAGAGTCCAGGGACGTTAACTCGTGTCTTCAGTTCGTTAGTCACCGTAGCAACGTGACTGGTGTATTTGTGGACAGTAGTTTATATCTTACACATGGATACACCATTATTAATCACAACGTACCTTTACTTATTCTCATCCACAACGAATACCATGAGTACAGAAGTAGGGATTTTCTACTTATTTCACATCATGAATTCCATATAACTGAACACATACGAATAATGAATCGTTTTACAGACTTTGTATACAAAAATAATGAATTTTACTTGAAAAAAATAATGCTTGGAAGAACAGAATATAATTATGTGATCTGTGATAAAATAAGGGCTGCAATATTCATTGAGTTGGGATTTCAGCCTATATATACAACAGAAGGTTTTTTGACTTTATATCGCAATCTCAATGAAAAAGAAGCGAGAAAGAGTATCTCCTTGTCTAGGTCCATGGTTTCGGGAGAAAATGCAACACTGCTTGAGTACGAAGGAAGCTGGCTTTACACCGCATCAGAATTTGACGTAGCTGCAGAGAGACTCGAAAAATGTTTGGAAACCAATGACTCGAGATGGAGGCCGTACCAGTTATTGGGGATGTCTTATGTCAAAATGAAGAAATGGGATCTAGCAAAGGATGTGGAAAGAAGGTGTTTCCAGAGACACGGAGAACGAACATGTAGACAAAAACAAGCCAGGATCATCCTAGATGAGGATCACGGCCATATTGGTGGTGTATGAATCGTTTTTGATGAAAAAAAAAACCTATTAATGCTTGATGTTTAAATGTTTAGTCGGATATGTTGTCTGCATTTGTATAAGTTATTGATATTTTATTGTGTCATTATAACTTTATAATAAACATCAAACGAAACTTCTGACATATCCAACAAACTAATTACGGACTTGGACATTAGCTAGCAAGAAAGAAATTCATTTTGAGAAAATTGGTAAAATTATTCAATACATATGAAAGACGTGAGCAACAAACGCAAAATAATTTTTTATCTTTATTTGCCTCAGTATTAATTTTTTACAATTATTGCTGTTTTTTTATGTCAATACGATGATTTAGCCATGTGAGGAGTACAATATTCACCGATCCCGAAGGGATAGGAATTATATGTATTCAATTATAAAATAAATATATGTGCCGACAGCACTTTCGGTAGAAATGTTAGGCCTAGGCCATTAAGCAAAAGCCGCGCATGATTAAGACTTTAATATATTTATTATTATATGATTGAATAATTCCTAGCTCTGAATGGCTGAGATCTATCTTTACAGAAATCATATACTTAGCTTTGATCACCTTCTCTAGACCCTCCAGATGAACATAACATTTATTTTGTTCTTCCCCATATTGGACCAAAAACAGACCGAATCATCCAAATTCATACAGTTAGTTATGCAAAATTTATGTATACCTGCACCCGAACTTCCATTTTTTCCTATATTGGACCCAAGAGACAGATCAAGAAATTATGTTTATTTTACTCCCTTTTCTCTCACTGAGTTTGGCTATATAGGAATTCAACAAATGTAAACAATCAAGAAAGACGGCAAGGTTTGCCTGACAAGTTTGTATCATTGAATAATATAATAGAACAACTGTAGATGTTTTTTTCAGTCAATACAATGATTTATCTTTGACCCTAGAAGTACAATACTCACCTTGTCCTTCAGGCTTGGTGAATATTTTACTACTCTGGTAGCTAAATCGTCTTATAAATCTCACAAAACAGCAGTAATTGCTTAATTCTGGAACACTAAACTACTGTAAATTATTTACAGTAGTAAATTAATATATTTTATTATGCGTTTACAATATTTGGTTTGATTTTTCAACAAGCTGGCGTCGATCTGATTTAGAGCTTATTGAATGTGGTTTATATGAATATATACACAAGACATGCATTTAGCGATGTACTTGATTGAGCGGAATATGCTTTCCGCGAAAGGCGGTAAATAAAAAGCACAGCCAAATGTACGTTTACAGTAACTGCATGGTGAATGAAGAAAGTATGCATGTACTTATGTTAGATTATTTCCGGTACAATTTGAAGCTGAACTTATATTACATGCATCTGTTTGATTTTAGATTTCCCAAATAAAAAAACAAACAAACAACAAAATTACGCGTAATTAATGCAATAATTTTTCAGAAAATGGTGAAATAGTTCAACTCCTGTAAATTTTATATAATTTTTCCAATTAATGAACTTCTTCCTCAACCATTGTGTGCACGGGTTAATGACTGGTTGGTATTATTGAGTTTCAATCCTTGGGTGGATGGAGCTATTAGTTTGTATAGAAGATTTTTTTTCTTTGGTTGGAGGGAGTGTATTCTTTTTTTATTTTTTAGGAAGTCAGTAGGAACCAGGAGAATGGGCAATACGGCGTCGTGCCCCCCCCCCCCCCGATTTTGTCGACATCTATAGTATACTATAGAAAACAAAGCTACTTCTCAATAATTACACCCGGTGAACTTTTTTTTCTTGTCGAAGAATTTTTATTTTGTAGTCCTCCCCCTAACTGAAATTGCTTCCTACGGGCCTCGTGAGAACCTCTCAGTTGTCACAACTCGGAAAGAGTCTTAATTGCCTACTTTGGATCCCCTTGATGGACTCCATGCAATATCAAAGAAACGGTATTATAAGCTCCGTTTTTATCAACACCAGGTACTTAACAAACCCTCTGCTACATGTACATGCATGGTGAAAAGCTAGACAGTTAAGGTGAATATCGTGTTTTCATTTTTTTTTTAAGTTTTCTTAATTTTATTGGGGGGGGGGGGGTCTGACTGTCAGCAAAATATGCTAGAATGTTGCACACAGGTTTCAATAAAATTTTAGAAAAGCTTAAGATGAGAATGAAATGATCTGAGTTTGAAATGAATCCGGTTTAAAATGTTGAATTTTCATATGATATCGCCGACTGATTGCATATCTCACAAACACCTACGGATTCCATAAAATATGTGAAATTTTATGATGTGATAAAGAGAGAAAATACTCTTGAATTTATAGATTTTCAGGAACATTTGGTATTAAAGATACAGATTTATTAATAACACTGGCGAATGTATGTATACTTTCTGAATGCCCAACAGGTGCTAAAGGTGTAAAATATATACATATGATGTACATGTATATAGTCCAAGCGAAATCTGCAAGTAGATATGCACCCACAATGAGGAATCCGGGGTCCACTCGTGGTCATGGGATCCTGTGGTCCCACGATTACGAGTAGACTCAGGACCCCGACCTTGTGAGGATGATAGACATGTGGGCAAATCCTACACTGTATTACAAATATTACTACATGTATATACATGTATTTGCATTAAAAAGATACATATACATACTTGTATATACATAATACTTGTATGTACATCACCCTTGTAATCCACAGACCTGTACTTGTGGACAGACACTGGTTCTACGATGACCCCCCCCCCCCCCCCACCTAAATGATTTCTTAAAATTATTCTTTTATATAATTTTCTTTATTTTTTTTTTTATCTCTAACCACTTCCTCTACATATCCCTGTTCAAAAATCACTTTAAATTTTTAAAAATTATGACCCAGATTCAAATTTTAATAAGATACGAACGTTACCTCTAAATGTAAAGAGAAAAGGTAAGCAACTTCGCTAAATCTTCATGTCAACTATTTTCCTTGTTTCTATGATATTTTTCCCACCTGAAAACTCAAATATACATATATCTCTTTTTAAATATGTAGGGGTAACGACTGTTATTAAAATTTGTATCTACCTCGTCATGAGTGAATGAGTGATATTATCAGGAACACGTAGAAGATGTGGAAAGAGATAACCCAAAAAATATATAAAGAAAAGAAATTAATTCATTAAGAAAGAATTAATCATAAAATTATTAAAAGGGTGGGTTGCATCGTAGAAGCAGGTTTGCCTGTCCGTGCAAGTATCTGTGTTATAACCTGCAACCAGGGACCTATATACTAGTACATAGGTCCCTGCTGCAACTAAAGTGATCGAGGCATAAAGATATTTTTTTTTTCAAATCGATGGGGGCAGAAAAAAATAAATGACATGAAAAAGAGAAGCTTAAGAAAAAATCTACAGGATATAAAATTTCAAGCACTAAAAAATACAGGCTCAAACTATCCGGAAATTGTGTGTTTCACCGTTATCGACACTGGGCATTACTTTTAGAGAGGCGTTCCGAAAACTCCCATCGGAAATGGGATAACTACAAAGGTTTTACGATTGCGTTTTTATTGTGACGTCAGTCAGCCGGTTTGCAGTGAACCCGAAGGACATAACAATCCAGGAACGGTTAGTCTTTTGACAGTTAGCATAAAAGGTAATTATTTCATCGTAAATTGCTTGCAAATTATACTTTGAGAAAACCCCCAAAGTTCTGCGATTTTGGCAGAAATTGTAAAATACGAGAGTGGGTCGGTTGTCCTTGACACATTCACGACTCTGCAGGCTGAATATTTACGGTTGTACGTGCCAAGGTTGTTTCAAGGAACTTGAGTTTGTTGATCTGTATATTCAATCTAGTTTCTTTGACTTTGTATCAGGTATGTTCATGTATTGACAAGTGCACCATATTTTCAGACAGAAAACTCGTTAGGTTTCATCCAGGAAGACTTGTCTTGCCTATTACTCATTGATTTCCTGTTAGTGGTGTAGTATCTGTGCGACTGTCCCGTGGTACGACTTACTGACGAGGCTACGTCAGATGGCGGGACAGTCGCACGGATCTCTTTCAGCGCCAAGATGTCAGACGGACAAGACGTGCTGCAGAGACGGTGAGTCAGCCCGGGCCAGAACCCACTACAGAGTATATTGTATATTTGTATATAGTGATAATAAATATTGTTATAAGTACTATACCCCCGGCAGTTACTTTACTGGCGCCCAACTCGCGGGGCCCGGTGCTAGATTCCCGTACTGCTGTCAGGAAAAATTTTTTTTTTTTTTTTGGCATTGTTTTTAGCCGCCATTTTTGGTGCTGAGAGCACGTGTGATAGTTGCAAATTTTTTTTTGATTCTGATGCAATAATTTTTTGAATCAACTGGAATTAATTTGTGTATATATTTATTGCAAGTGATTTAGTGATTTTGTAGACTGTGATTTTATTTGAAAACTATTTTGTACCATTTATTATGAATATGTCCCTGGAGGAAGCCGTGTCGGCTTTAGGTATGGGTAGTGACCCGGCTATCACGCGGTCAGACAATATCACCCCTCACACTCCGGGTAGGGTGGGGGGATACCCCGGGGAGGGGGGTTATTCGCCATACGCTTATAGCGGGAGTGAGCATTTTGCCTCCCGTCACACACCTTTTGCTCAGTCAATGTCAGGCCACATGGGAGGGGGGTTGCCCCTGGGGGGTCCCTCTACACCTATGCCCGGCCTGCACTCGGGCATCCCCTGTGGGGAGGGTAGTGTATTTCATGGAGAGTCAGGAAAAGAGGTAAGGTTTGCCCAGCCTCAATTTGGCTCACCAGGGATGATGTCAAGTGACTCCCTGGTGTCCTCTCTAGGTAGCCTGTGTAGGTGTAGCTCACCTGGTAGCACTGTGGGTTGTACCCACCCTAAACAAGAATATAGTGAGGCCCCTTCAAATTCAGGGTTAGAGCATCCATATTCTTTAGGGCATGTGCATTCAGTTAGTAGCCACCCTGTCCTTGTGGGAGACATAGCTAACCTGGGGGGCCCTGCTACTATGGGTTATAGACCAAGCCGCTTGGGTGAGGTTGTACCACACCCACTTGACCCCGCCCTTCCGTCCCATACACCGTGTGCTAGTCAGCAACCTGAGAGGCCTGTGAGGCCCGCACAGCTCACCTCCGAGTATGATCGTCAACATGTGAGGCCCGTAGATCCTGTAGGGCTCACCTGGGACCCTGCACCCATACAGAGCCAACCTAGACTAGCAGATTTTGGTGCGCCCTCTCTCCCTGGGGATGATTTGCAACCCCGGAGCTCAATGCCACGCACTATATCTGCCCCAGCCCCTGTAAATGTTGGAGTGTCCCCAGCAATGGTTCATTCACAAGTAAATCCTTTAGACACTGGTGTGACTGCTGCAAGACCCCACCCTATATCATTGTATGCTAGTTCCTCAAGCACACCTTACCATGCGCCCCAATCAGTGTACATCAATCCTGGGGGTAGGCATGCCCAACCCCCAGTACCCGACCACGCCCATTCTGTGTTGTATCGAGGCGAGAGTACTCCAGCCACACTCCATGGTATGGCTATGCCCAGTGCACTGCAGCACCATAGTGTTCCTGTGTCAATGACTTGTAGTCTTGCCCATCCCAATACCCCAGCCTGCCATTTTGGAAGGGAGGGGGAGAGGATAGCACATGTTCAACCTAACATGTATGGGGCAGCCCATCCGGGATACTATGCTAGTCAGTCAGTCCCGGCTAACCAGGCTTGCAACTTTAGTACACCAATACATTATGGCTCACCTGGTTACCAGGGCACCACACCATACCCAGGTAGGGCAGCCACTGGGGGTAAGCCCCGGTATAAGGACCTTAGGTATGATGGTAAGACCAGCTGGAAGGCATTTTTGCACAAGTTCGTTAGATTATCTCGCAGCCAGCTATGGACAGAGGAGGAGCAGCACGACCAGTTTTGTTTCTGCCTTGAGGGGGCAGCAAGCGAATACTATACCTTGCTGTTGGAAACCAGTAGCCAGCTCTGCCTAGGTGAGATCTTGCAGAGATTTGAGAAGCGTTTTGGCTCCTCTGCCCCCGATCTCACTCATCAACTCAACTTCCAGGCTGCCAATCAGAATCCAGGAGAGTCACTTCGTCAGTGGGCAGACAGGGTGCTGACTTTGGCGACACGAGCCTTCCCTTGTGTGCCGGACGTGCACACACACGCCATACCTAGGCTATGTTATGGAGCCGAGGACCGAGACGCTGGCCTTTACGCACTCGATGGGCATCCCAGGACCGTGGATGAAGCCGTGGAGCGAATGCAGTTCTACCAGCACTCCCGGCTACATAGGCCTAAGACCAAGAAAGAGCTGCGGAAGGTGATCTCTGATGAGGATGCCGAACAGGACGATCCCGGGACGGTAAATGTTGCTGCTGGGGAGGAGCTGGAAGCCCTCCGGAGCAGAATGGAAAAGCTGGAACAAGCTGTTAAGCAGACAGGATCTGCCCCCCTCCCTAAACCCCAGTGGACTGGTACCCTGCCACCCAGATTGGCAGAGCGAAACCCGAAGTCCACTGTGTGTTTTAAGTGTGGAGAGGTGGGGCATTTTCGTAGAGATTGCCCCACCCAAGCTGCTGGGAAGTTAGTAGCTACTGATGGGCCGCGGGGCGGAGCCCGGATGAAGGGACCCCTTGGTGAGAGGTATCGTAGGCCAGAGTCCCAGGAGAGGGGACCTAGAAGTGGAAGGCCTGGATCCCAGGGAGGGCCCTCCCAGGCAGTTCGATTTATGAACCCAGAGCAGTCCCCAGAGAGGACAGACTCGGAGAGTAAGGAGCAGGGGGCTAGTCAACCCCCTTCCTGTATGCGGCGTAGGCGCAAGCGGCGCAGGCTAAGGGTCCGCTTTGAGACGCCCCAATCGCCGGAGCTATTCTCAGCTGAGGAGGAAGAGGCATCCTTGGACGAGGAAGTGGGGAAGCTTGTGGCCCCCCACTCCACTCCGGAGCCACTTGGACCAGCTCGGGATAGGACTAGGAAGTTCCAGGGCTTTTGGAGGACCAAGCCTGGTGGCTCTGGTCAGAGGTCACCAGAGGATGAGGGGAATGAGCCCACTATACCTATTGGACAGCTGCGCCCATCTACGGGGTTTTCTGTTGGTTTACTTGTGCAAGGCACACGGGTGAGTGCTGTGGTTGACACGGGGGCTGAGGTCAGTGTTTTGTCGACTCAGGTTTATGACCAGCTAGAGCCCAAGCCCCCGATACGAAGACATGTTACTATGACTCAGGCGGGTAAAGACACCAAGTTGAAAGGTTTCATAGTGGGACCCGTGGCAGTGAGCATAGGAACACAGACTCACGAGGTTGACCTTTATGTCGCCCCCTTGCAGGACCCCATGTTGCTGGGCATGGAGTTTCTTCATGCCCGGAAGGCTCAATTAGATTTAGAGCATGGGACTTTGACCTTGGGAGGGGAGACAATTAAAATGAACTTCGGCAGAGCTGAGGAGATTCCGGAGGCCAGGGTGACTTTGGCCCGGAAGGTACGAGTTCCAGCTGGCTCTGTTGTTTTATGCCCCTGTCGCCTGGATCAGAAGCTGGATGATTTTGTGGTGGTCCCTGGCATTGATATGCAGTCTGATGTGCTTCTTATGCCCCATACATACCATGTGGGAGGGGACAGTGCAGTAATCTGTGTAGTGAACGCTTCAGATCGGGATGTGACCTTGATGGGGGGTAGCCTTGTTGGTACTGCAGTGGAAGCTGATCCACACCAGCCTGTGCCCTACCTGGTGCGGACAGTAGGCAGCCTGGATGACGGGGATCGGGGGGCAGGAGCCACATCCCCTGAGGTGCCTGAATTTCTGCAGGATTTGTTAGAGCGCTCCTCGGTGGAACTCAGTTTAGAAGAGAGGGCCTTGCTGGCCAGTCTGCTCTCAGAATTTCAAGATGTATTTGCTCGGAGTGAGTTTGACTTTGGGAACTTCACCGCATTAGAACACGAGATAGATACCGGAGACGCACCCCCTGTAAAGGAGCGGATGAGACGTACTCCCATGTTCTTTGCTGGTGAGGAGGAATCCCACCTTAAGAAAATGCTGGAGGCTGGTGTGATACAGCCCTCTATGTCTGAATGGGCCTCAGCTCCAGTTCTGATTAGGAAGAAAGACGGTCAGGTCAGATGGTGCCTGGACTACCGCCGTTTGAACAAGGTGACTCGGAAGGATGTATTCCCCCTGCCTTTGATAGACGAGTGCTTGGACACCCTTACAGGAAATGTGTGGTTTTCGAAGCTCGACGCCAACTCTGCCTTCCATCAGATAAAGATCCGTCCCCAGGATAGGAAGAAGACAGCATTTTTGACGAAGTATGGTCTGTTTGAGTTTGTGCGCATGGGGTTTGGTCTATGTAATGCCCCGGCTACCTTTTCTAGGGCGATGAACCTTGTACTCAGAGGCCTTACTTGGAGTATTGTTTTGGCCTTCTTAGACGATGCCCTGGTTTTAGGTCGGGACTTCTTGGATCACCTGGAGAACTTGCGATCTGTGTTCATGCGTTTCCGGGAGTACGACTTAAAGTTTAAGCCGAAGAAATGTGAACTTTTCCAAACCAAGGTTGAATTCCTGGGGCGGCGGGTAAGCAAGGAAGGCATTGAGATGGGAGATGATTACATTGCTGTAGTCAAGGACTGGGCTGTCCCCAGCAACGCAAAGGAGGTAGAGAGGTTCCTTGGGTTTGCTAACTATCACCGGGGATTCATTGCGGGTTATGCTGAGTGGGCACTGCCCCTCTACAAGATCACAGGCAAGAAACCCTTCGTCTGGGGCCCGGAGCAGCAAGCAGCTTTTGATGGTTTAAAGAGGGCCCTTACATCTCCGCCTGTCCTGGCCCTCCCCATTCCCGATGGAGAGTTTATACTTGACACCGACGCCTCCAATGAAGCCATAGGGGCCGAACTCTCCCAGTTACAGGATGGCCAGGAGAGACCCATATCTTATGGAAGCCTCAGTCTATCCCCGGAGCAGCGCAAGTACTGCACAACCCGGAAGGAGCTGCTGGCAGTTATCCGCTTTACCCGCCTGTTTCGCCATTACTTGCTGGGGAGGAGATTTATTGTGAGGACGGACCATCATAGTCTTATTTGGCTCCTTAACTTTAGAAACCCCCAGGATCAACTCGCCAGATGGGTGGAAGAGCTCAGCCAGTATGACATGGAGATACAGCATCGCTCAGGGCGACGCCATGTCAACGCGGATGCCCTGTCCCGGTTGCCTTCTAGTGCCATCTGTGCTGGAGCTGATGTCACCATACACCCAAGCGACTTACCTTGCGGCGGATGCCCGAAGTGTGTTAAGGCTCACCAGACCTGGAATGTCTTTGCAGAAGAAGTTGACAATGTGGCGCCCCTGGCCAGTCCTGGAAGCTGGATATATACGCCTAGCTCGGAGGTAGAAACTGTGGAGGAGACAGTTTTAGAGTCTGAGGGCAATACTGAGGAAGCAGGTGACTTGCCCTCTCCCCCTGGGACAGCCCAACCTTCAGTTAGTGAAGTGGCCTATGGTTATGTTTCTGGGGGATTGTTAGGTCGCATTGGTCATTACTCTCCCCCGGAAGTTGACTTTGAAGATGAGGAGTCAGTAGAGGGGCCCTTCCGGACCCAGATTCGCCTCACTAAGCACCCCCACTTTGTGGCAGTAGTGGGGGCACCCCCTGATGATTCTGGTAGCCCGTTGTCATTTGTGGGTTTGACCCCAGAGGAAATGAGTTTATGCCAGTCAAGGGACTCGGAAATCGGTCAATTTCTTGACTGGTTGGACGATGATGTAGCGCCAGAGGAAGGTGTGATGTTCCTTGCGAGTCCCGCAGTTAAAAACTATTGGCTCCATAGGGCGGCCTTCACCTTAGACCAGGACAAGGTCCTTTGGAAAGAGGTGGGGGAGGGGAGTGTGAAGACTAGACTTTTAGTTGTCCCTGAGGAGTTGAGGAAGGAGGTTCTACGCCTGTGCCATGACGTCCCAGCAGCAGGCCACCAGGGCATTGATAGAACCAAGGCACGCCTGCGTGATAGATTCTTCTGGTATGGCATGATGAGGGAGGCAGAACAGTTCGTGAGCACCTGTGGTCCTTGCAGCAGGAATAAGCATCCTCAGCGCCATTCCCGGGCAGAGATGATTAAGTACCATGCTGGCGCCCCTATGGAGAGAGTCCATCTTGATTTTCTGGGGCCCCTACCCCGGACTAAACAGGGTAATGAATATGTACTTGTCATGGTCGATCAGTTCACTAAGTGGGTGGAGTGTGTCCCTCTGCCCACTCAGACTGCTGAGGCAACAGCTACTGCTGCGGTCGATCAGCTCTTTGCTCGCTTTGGCTGTCCCTTCCAGATCTTCACCGACCAGGGTAGGAACTTTGAAAGTAAGCTCTTCACAGCAGTGTGCGACTTGTTGCAGATCCATAAGGCCCGCACCACTCCTTATCGCCCCTCAGCCAATGGCCAGGTAGAAAGGTATAATAGAACCCTGATGGATGCTGTGCGTTGTTATATAGACAAGGCTCAGAACTGCTGGGATGAACATCTCGCCCAGATAGCAGGTGCCTTGCGCTCTGCAGTCAACCGGAACACAGGCTTTACTGCGAACAAGCTGATGTTGGGCAGGGAAGTGAATATCCCTGCTGATCTGATGTATGCCCCACCTCAGAGGGACCCGGCTGTTGACCTTGAGGGCTACGTAGTGAATTTGGAGAAGGCCATCCAGTCAGCTCATGAGACAGCCCGGAGACGTCTCCGGACCTCAGAGGAGCGAATGAAGAGGGACTATGACTTGAAGGTCTGTGCCAGAACTTACCATGAGGGTGACCTAGTTTATGTCCTTGACACAGCTACTGTCAAGGGGAAATGCAGGAAGTTGAGCCCTTCCTGGAAGGGACCAGGTATTATCTTGAAAAAGTTGAGCTCCCACCTTTACCGAGTGAAGACCAAGCTCTCGGTGATGGTTGTCAACCATGATCGCCTGAAAAAGTGTGTAGATCGGGACATACCATTATGGCTGTCCCGGTATCAGGAGAAGTTCAGAGCCCAGTCCCAGGAAGGTGGTGAGTTAAGTAGTGTCCCATTGTCCCCAGGGGAGAAAACTCCCTCGAGTGAGGTCCCTGGACCTTCCCAGTTGAGCTCGTCCTCAGACAGCCCTCCCCGTATACCGAGAAAACGGGGGCACCCACGTAAAGTGCGGTCGCCCTCTACCGAGTCTGCTAAGTCGTCAGATGGGGATCTGACAGATTCTGAGCTCTATTGTTTCTGTCGTAGACCGGACGATGGGGGGCTAATGATTCAATGCGACCAGTGTGACGGTTGGTTCCACGGGGTTTGTGTGGGGGTCACTTCAGAGGAGGCTTCCTCCCTGGATCAGTATATCTGCCCCAATTGTATGGGGGAACCCCGGGTAGCAAACATTGGTGTTGTTCTGGAGCCCCCATCTTGGCCCAGGGTAAGACGGGTTACCCTGGCGGTTTTACAGGAATGGTGAGTGGGTCAGCTGGTTGTGACCCGCTCTAGCGTACCCTGCCAGGCCAGACTCTTTACCTGGGAACTATCCCGGACTCTAGGGCCTGGAAGTGTTTAATTGGGAGCGATCCCAGACCCCTTTTTCCCAGGAGTTATCTTGGGTGTGTTTTATCTGGGGCTCGCCCCGGCACTAGTCGTCCCTGGGCAGTCCGCCCGGGTGGGCGTTAACAGCGCCCCATCGTTGGAGATGGTTCCGGACCCTCCCTCGCACTGTGGACTCCCGCCTTTCAAAGAAAACGGGGGGGAGTGTAGTATCTGTGCGACTGTCCCGTGGTACGACTTACTGACGAGGCTACGTCAGATGGCGGGACAGTCGCACGGATCTCTTTCAGCGCCAAGATGTCAGACGGACAAGACGTGCTGCAGAGACGGTGAGTCAGCCCGGGCCAGAACCCACTACAGAGTATATTGTATATTTGTATATAGTGATAATAAATATTGTTATAAGTACTATACCCCCGGCAGTTACTTTAGTGGTAATGTGTATTGCTTAAATTTATGTTTTCAGATCAAACATGCCGGTTTTTCCACAGTACCTCACTCCGAAACAGGAGGAAGAATTGAGAAACATTGCTAAAGCCATTGTTGCTCCTGGCAAAGGAATTCTAGCTGCTGATGAATCAACAGGTAGTTATTGTACTTGATTGACTCATTCACATTCTCTGCAAACTTCAAAATTTAAATAATTTTAAAGATAATTTAGTATATTCTTCCAAATATAGGAAGACAAAAGCTAATAGTAAAATTCAGTAAGCATGATAAATGTAAATATTGATACTGATTTGATATCACAGAGCTTAATAACCATTGCAATGCATGTGTGTCCAGTAGAAGGACTCGGTCCAGGGTTTGACACTAACATTTTTAGGCTTTAGTCTGGCCGGACTAGTGCTTCATTACTTTTACTAGTCTGCACGCAATTTTATGAGTCTGTCAAAAAAAAAAACATCAATGTTTTGTAACAGTTAATTTAAATATAAACACTGCAATGTACTTTTTATACTTTTTTGAAATAAACAAAGCATTTATGTGAAATGTTTTATTCCAAGATTCATTGAAATCTCACGGTTAGAAACTACGATCGTATTCCCGATCTCGTTCGTTTTTCTCTATACATTACATCCAAACATCTGACATCTTTCTTTATGTGTCATACTAAATCATGATCGCTAAAATGTTTAATTTCATACCAATCAGTCCTAAAATTCAGCGACGAATTGACTCGGAATTACCTAACTTCCCCCCAAGAAGCTAGAAAGCTAAAAATACATGCAGGGTTTTCCAGTGAAAGTTGTCGAGAATGAAACATCGGTAATTTATTGATTTTTTTTCCAGAAATTTGTATTAGTCCGTTCGGACTAATTAGCCACAGATTTTATTAGTCTGAATGAAAATGTATTAGTCTGAGACTAACAGACTAACATTAATGTCAAACCCTGCTGTCCCAAATTTAAAAGCAACTCTTTTGGGGGGGGGGGGGGGTCAGTAAAATTAAATCATCAATTTTCCCCATTTTGCCACTTTTTCAAGTGAAAATTCCCTATTGAAAGGTTTCAGGTCACTGTACCAAAAAATGGTCAATTAATCCCTATATCATATTCGGTTGTACTTAATTTTTTCAAACCCATGGTAACTGATACAAGTGTTTTGACTTGATATATATTAAGTCTTTTAATCAATACATTTTTAGCTCACCTCGACGAAGTCGAGATGAGCTTATGCTATACCCCCGGCGTCGGCGTCGGCGTTAGCGTCGACGTCCCGGTTAAAGTTTTAGGAGCAAGTCCCATTCCCAAGTTACTATAAGCCCTACCTGGACCAAACTTGCATGGATGATGCATCTAGAATGGACACTGCCACACTTGCTTCGGATGCTGGATCTGACCTAGATTTTCCAGATGAGTGACCAGGTTAAAGTTTTTGGAGCAGGTCCATTCCCAAGGAACTATACGCCCCACCTGAACCAAACTTGTATGGATGATGCATCTAGGGATGGACACTACCACACTTGCTTCGGATGCTGGATCTGACCTAGATTTTCCAGATGAGTGACCAGGTTAAAGTTTTTGGAGCAGATCCATTCCCAAGTAACTATAAGCCCTACCTGGACCAAACTTGCTTGGATGATGCATCTAGGGATGGACACTACCACACTTGCTTCGGATGCTGGATCTGACCTAGATTTTCCAGATGAGTGACCAGGTTAAAGTTTTTTGAGCAGGTCCATTCCCAAGTAACTATACGCCCTACCTGGACCAAACTTGCATGGATGATGCATCTAGGGATGAACACTACACACTTGCTTCGGATGCTGAATCTGACCTACATTTTTCAGATGAGTGACCAGGTTAAAGTTTTTGGAGCAGATCCATTCCCAAGTAACTATAAGCCCTACCTGGACCAAACTTGCATGGATGATGCATCTAGGGATGGACACTACCACACTTGCTTCGGATGCTGAATCTAATCTAGATTTTCCAGATGAGTGACCAGGTTAAAGTTTTTGGAGCAGGTCCATTCCCAAGTAACTATAGGCCCTACCTGAACCAAATTTGCATGGATGATGCATCTAGGGATGGACACTACCACACTTGCTTCGGATGCTGGATCTGACCTAGATTTTCCAGATGAGTGACCAGGTTAAAGTTTTTGGAGCAGGTCCATTCCCAAGTAACTATAGGCCCTACCTGAACCAAACTTGCATGGATGATGCATCTAGGGATGGACACTACCACACTTGCTTCGGATGCTGAATCTGACCTAGATTTTCCAGATGAGTGACCAGGTTAAAGTTTTTGGAGCAGATCCTTTCCCAAGTAACTATAAGCCCTACCTGAACCAAACTTGCATGGATGATGCATATAGGGATGGACACTACCACACTTGCTTCGGATGCTGGATCTGACCTAGATTTTCCAGATGAGTGACCAGGTTAAAGTTTTTGGAGCAGGTCCATTCCCAAGTAACTATACGCCCTACCTGGACCAAACTTGCATGGATGATGCATCTAGGGATGAACACTACACACTTGCTTCGGATGCTGAATCTGACCTACATTTTCCAGATGAGTGACCAGGTTAAAGTTTTTTGAGCAGGTCTATTTCCAAGTAATTATAAGTCCTTCTTAAACCAAACTTGTATAGATATTGATCTTGGGATGTTCACTAACTAGAAAAAATATGATGTGAGATTTGCCTTACTTATAGATAACCTTCGTCGAGGTGAGCTTCGTAATCTTTGATTACCTATGTTTTTATAGGTAATATGCTAAATATTGTCTTGCGTACTGTTGCCTATTTGAAAATTCTTCACAACGAATGTTATTATCAGAGTGTATACAACTATGAGTAGGAAAATGACAGTGTTTAATAGATATCTGCAATAGTTCATGCATGATAATGTATATGTGTTCAGGTTCCATTGGAAAGAGATTTGCTCCCATAAATGTGGAGAACTCTGAGGAAAACAGGAGGCGCTACAGGGAGCTGTTGTTCACATCTGACAAAGTTGCAGCAGAAAACATTAGTGGTGTCATCATGTTCCATGAAACATTTTATCAAAAAACTAAGAGTGGAGTTCCATTTACAAAAGTTCTGCAAGACAAGGGTATCATTCCAGGAATCAAAGTGGATAAAGGTGTTGTCCCACTTGCTGGCACAGAGAATGAGTGTACTACACAGGGTAGGATTATTTTTTTGTGTGCATATAAATGTTTGAAAAATAATCAATGTATAGGATCATTCCATGGCAGATGTTTGTTATAGGCCTGTCTTGATACAGAATATCATGACTAATGTGGAACTCAATTAGATTTCTAGAAGTTTTTTATACTTGAAATTCTTGTTAAGGTCTGGATGGATTGTCAGAAAGATGTGCACAGTACAAAAAAGATGGTGCCCAGTTTGCTAAATGGCGTTGTGTTCTAAAAATCCAGCAATACACACCTTCCTACCAGGCCATGTTAGAGAATGCCAATGTCTTGGCCCGTTATGCCAGCATTTGTCAGCAGGTAAGACAAGTATACATTTGATGTGATACAGTTAAATATTTACATTTGCTGTGTTTTTCTACAAAACCAACTATGAAAATGATTTGAATGCCATTTTTGTGTATACTCATGCATAGAAATATACATGGAGATACTTGCGCTAAACATTACAATAAGGCTAAAGAGACAATAAAAATATAACAATAAAGGGCAGCAATAAATTCAAAGCTTGAGTGTATTTTTTCTGCTTTTAAACATGTAAAATGTAAATATGAAGAAAGTTTTTTAGTTTTGTGTGAGTTATTGGTTTTTAAATCACACAGACTTGCATGTAGGCTTATTTTATGAAGTACTAGCAATCCTAAATTATCTTCTCAGTTCAGAATGTAAGGACATGTTTCATTTTATCAATTTGTGTTCATTAGCAGTGTTTGAATCTCACTATGAAAATAGCTAGACAGGCAGGGCTGACTGCCATTGAAAGTTGTCAGCCCTGCCAAAGATCTACTAGCCTGATAAAAAGAGGTCATTTTCAAAAATGATTTTTATTACATATGTAAAACCATGGAATTTGTTAACATGGTCTGCCTTGCAAGTGGCCGGCAAGTTGCAATCCTAAAAAGTCATTCAAAAAGCAACTTGTGTCTTCTGTGACTATAGGACTGAGTCAGCATAACGTATATAGACTGAGGAGCTCTGCCACTTGGTTTGTTATGCTTTGCTACTGGTAAAGCTAGTTGATTTGAGATAGATTCATCAGTGAAAATTTTTAATTTGTGGAAATTTTAACATGTCCAGCCAGGTGTGATACAGTTAATCGCCTGAAGTGAAATCTTTATTTGCCTCAGATGGTCAGGCCCCCAGTTATTTCAGTCATTGTCATTAGTCATATTTCTTGCTGGTTTAGTTCCTGGATTCCAGAAATGTGATTTACTAAGATTATTTTATTCAAGATCACTTGTATTCATGTAGTTAAGAATGTATTTATCTTTTGGAAAAAGGTCATGATATAACAGTTAACTAATATTGAACCCAGATAAAGTTAGCATAAGATAATGTTTGTTTATGTCTTCTTAGGCATATTGTCCTGTAGATTGGATAGAAGTTTTAGACAATCATAGAACTTCTCTATACATGTATTGTAAAATGCTAGAAATACAAAACTTGATAGGTAAATCACATATTTCTTTTTATCTTATTTCTTTGAAACAGCAGCATTGTATTTGTTCACAAGATAAAAGTTATGCAATCATCCATAGAATGAGTACTGGTACTATGTCTTACTTAACATTATCCTAAATTGAAAACTGTGTCTGCCCAATCAATCTTGTGAAAAGCAGAAAGTTCTAGCAGTTAAATATGATGTACATTTCTCTAACCTAATATTTTTGTTTCAGAATGGCCTGGTACCCATTGTAGAACCGGAAGTTTTACCGGATGGTGATCACGACTTAGAAGCAGCACAAAAAGTCACAGAGCAAGTATGTTTTCTTCTTGCATTTACCTTCTGTTTTTCCATGTAATGTACTATATTTCAAAAGCTCAAGTAAATCCATGGTATATTAATTAAGGTCTGATGGCAAATTTCTTTATATGCCACAGAAAACTTTGGCCATAGTTGTGGCCTAATGTTAGTTAGGGGGGAGGGGATTGGGGAGGAGGATTCATGATTTTATGAATTGATGGAATCTGAATCTACAGATGCTTCCCTACTGAATTGACTAAAATGACTGGTTTTCTTGAGAAAACTAAAAATAAGATACTGTATATTCCTCTGTAAAATGGGAAGAAAGTGAAAATGTGAAAAGTTTACAGATGGCACCAAACTGATAGAAACTGTACACTCTTTGATAAGAAAGGCAGTAAAGCACACCTACACTTTAGGCCCAAATGAACATAACACAAAAATTCTTTTTCTTTCATATCCCTTCATGTAAATAAAGAACTTAATCAGTCTGTATTTGACCATTGTTTGAAAGTTTATCCATGCGTGTTGTCTTAAAAGTCAGGAGACTTGACCTTCTTTACATATGTATATATTTGTCTCTAACTAGTGTCTCAAGACAAGGATTAGTTTACTGTTTTCTTGTTGAACAGGTCCTTGCATTTACATACAAAGCCCTGGCAGATCACCACGTCTATCTGGAGGGAACTTTACTAAAGCCCAACATGGTCACCGCTGGAATGAGCTGTCCCAAGAAATTTGCTAAGGAGGACAATGCCAGAGCCACCATTCTTGCTCTCAGTAGGACAGTCCCCCCTGCTGTCCCAGGTACACTAACATTTATACATTAATATGTACATTAGAATGCATGTAACACACAAAAAAGAAGCAGATAAATGCATTGAAAGGATATGTAGTAAAGATCAGGAATGAATGTTAATGTTAGCTCTAAAGATACAATATTATGTCCTAAAAATGTTTCTTAAGAACTACAATTACCTTTGTGAAGAATTTTTATTTTAGGTTGATTTGTGGTTAAGTATACAGTAAAACATGCTTATAGCAAAGTGCTAGGGATGAACAGTTTTAATTTGTTATAAATATATTTTGTTATATCGGTTTATAAGTTCATAAAATGTTTTTTAATACTTCAAGGAATAAAAATCACTTCACTGTAAGCATGAATTCTTTATACAGGGTAAGCTTGTTCGCTTTAACCTTGTTTTACTGTACATGTACTGTACATTTATTTCTCTTTTCTCTGTGTAGGTGTGACCTTCCTGTCTGGTGGTCAATCTGAGGAGGATGCGACCTTGAACCTGAACATGATCAATGCTATTCAGGGCCCCAAACCTTGGGCTTTGACCTTCTCATTTGGACGTGCCCTGCAGGCCTCTGTTTTAAAAATATGGGAGGGCAAGGATGAAAATGTGGCAGCTGCTCAGGCAGAACTCATTAAACGTGCAAAGGTTGGTAAATTTAAGGTGTATTAAGCATGCACTTGGTTTTGTGGCATTGATGATACATTCTCAACACATTTCTGATTTCATTTGTGAACTACTTCTTTTGTTTACTATCAAATATTTTACAGAAACTAGAAAATGTCTGATATACATGTACATTCTTGTAAAATTTTCAGTCATTTGCTTTTAATTTCTAACCTGTATGTTGTCTTGTTTATACCAGGCCAATGGTTTAGCGGCTGTAGGGAAGTATGAGGGAGGTATGGAAAGTGCTGCAGGAGGACAGTCATTGTTTGTGGCCCAACATGCTTATTAAATACTCTTATATCAAACAATTCCACACAGATAGAAAATCTTAGATCTGAGACTAGTGCTCTCTATTTTTAATGTTGTAAAGTGAACTTTATAAAATTTTATGTATTGTTGAACTAATTTTTACAAGTGCTATTTTGTTTTGCTTCCTATCAGCTTGTTAAATATTTATTAACTTCATCACAGTGTTGTTTTTTTTACCATGCATACAACTCATGGCATTATTTGATGAAGTGTAGATAAAATATAATCAATATTCATTGCAGGTTATTTCATTTTATTTGAAATAGCAGCCAATGGTAAAACAATGAGCTTTCTTGTAAAGTATTTCAGTTATGTAATGAGTATATGAAGTAAATGTACAGATAGACATTTTTGCCATTCTAGATATTCACAACTTTATATACATTCTTTTTGGGAATGTTTGTTTTTAAGTTTTGCATAATACAAAATAAATATCTTTAAACTTTACAGTTTCATGTAATTTTAGCTCACCTCAACGAAGTTAGGGGGAGCTTATGTAATACCATTGACATTGGTGTCAGCATCCCAGGTCAATGTTTTTGGAACAGATTTCTTTCCAAGTACTTCTATGCCCTATATTAATCAGGGATGCATGGAAAATGCATCTAATATGTTTCATTGTACCAGTCAAGGTTTCAGATGCTGCAATTTAAGCTAAAAAATGAGTCATTCAATGACCAGGTTAATGTTTTTAGAGCAGGTTGAAGTTTTTCAAGCAGGTCTCTTTTCCAGTAACTATATGTATAACCCCTTTATTGACCAAACTTGCATGGATGGTACATCTAAGAATGCCCACTACCATGCTTGCTTCAGATACTGGATCTGACCTACATTTTCTGGATGAGTGACCAGGTTAAAATTTTTGGAGCAGGTTCATTTTTTAAGTAACTATGAGTCCCATGTTGACAAAACTTGTATGAATGATACCTCTGATTCACACTACTGGACTTGCTTCAGTTGCTGGATCTGACCTACATTTTTTGTATGAGTGACCAGGTTAAAGTTTTTGTAGTAGATTCACTTTAAAGTAACTATCTGCCCTACCTGGAAACCAAACTCGCATGAATGATACATCTAAGGATGCACACTGCTGGACTTGTTTCTGATGCTGATTTCCAGATGAGCAACCAGATTAAAGTTTTGGGAGCAGTTCTAAGGTGACTATAAGCATATACATTTATTGATGCATACTACCAGTTGCTTTGGATGCAGGATTTGACTTACATTTTCCAAATGAATTAACAGGTTAAAGTTTTTGGAGCAGGTCCATGACAAAGAAACTATTGAGCTTACCTGATCCAAACTTGCATTGATGATCCCATTCATCGAGGGATGAATTCCAACTTGCTTCAGATGCTGGATTTGACATATTTTCTGGATGAGTGTCTAGTTTTAAGTTTTTTGAGAAGTCCAATCCCAAGTAAATGCAAGCCCTATCAAACCAAAATTGCATAAATGTTGCATATAGGGAGGCACACTACTAGATTATTAGTTTGGGACTTTGCCTTACTTAAAGACAACATTTGCTGAGGTGAGCTCTGGTATCTCTGATTACCTATGGATTTTTTTTACTTCACAGTTTCTATTTTTGAAACACCAGGTTGTCACTAAATAGATGGCATTGTATACTGTATACTCTCCCCTGTTGTTGATTGAAAAAATAGAAACAAGATACAAAAATAGATCTATGCTTCATTTTAATATTTCTTCATAATCCTCTTCAATAATCAGGAATTTGAGATGGACAGTGAAAAAACACTCCCTTACAAAACATGTTAAATGCAAGAGAATAAGATGACAAAAGATATGAAATACTTTTGATTTATACTTTGTAAATGTATTTCAAATATAATCACATTTCTATTGCATCATAAAGATTATTAAAGATTTAGCTACATGTTCCAAAGAAAATACTGGCAGATACAAAATACTAACACAGTATATTAAGTAGAATCTTTGTAAAACTAATGTAAAAGTTTTGAGGACATCCTTTCAATTTGAGCTCAAGCACCATGTCTATGTACTTTATTATGCTTATGCTTAGGGTTCATGCAGAACCAAAATACATTCTAATCAATTGATGACAGCATTTAGTCTTTAGTAACTAAACCTTAGAGAAACCCATGATTGAATGATTACAGTATGAAGAAGTGAAAAGAGACCCATTGGCCACTATGCTCTCCTGAGTCCCATTTTCCTCTCTTTCTAATCAATAAATAAATGAAACTTCTCATTGTTCAAAGGCTGTATACAAAATACACCTGTGTGCATACATACCCAGTGTGCTTATGTACCACTAGAACTGTGACCACACTTGGGGTGGATACATATTCAGAACATATATCATATCCACCTGTCACTTGAATATGCATCTTACCTCTCTTTACTGTCCCCTACCTACTGCCTGTTGGTGGGGTAGGGGGTTTTGATTTGCACAAAATGAAATAATATGTATAAACATGTAACTGCAAATGTAATAGAATTAACTGAATAACTGCATCCTTTTTATCATTCAGAATATGATTTTACCTATGAAGAAAATTTTAGTGTAAAACTTTGCATTCAAATATGATTACCCTGACTACAAAGAAACATGCCTTCACTTTTCAGTTATACTGTGCATAAGAATGTTTGCAAAATACTTTGACAAATTGTAGGCTTTTTATTTACCTTTTTTTAAAAAAAAAAATCTATAAATATACACACTGTGCATGAGTATAACTAATTTTCTATATTAAATCTAAACTGTTGACCTCAAATGAGGTCCATTCTAGCCCTGGGGTCATGTTTTGAAAAAAAAAACTGCAATCATCACTTACATACATATTACAAGCACATTTAAAGATGCTTCCATATTAATTTGATGAATATTAATTGGACAAAACATAGCTAAGTTATACAAGATATTTAAAGTTTTTTTAAACTACATATTCATGTGTAAAATTTAGGGCCATTGTTGTGGCCTAATCCTATCCTCTGGAATTGTTTGAAATATTTAATTTACACTACACATGGAAGCTTTTCTCAAACTTTTGACTTTCTTGCCCCATTGGTTCTTGAGGTGATTTCAAGTGGTCATATATTATTTCTTATCTCCCCTGTGATAAAGGACTTGGCCCTTTGATTGAACAAATTTAAAGTCTTTTTACCCATAATGCTTTGTGGCTTTAGATGACACTCAGTGGTTCAGGAGAAGTTGAAAATGTCTCAAGAGGCTTGAGAGGTGGACACTTGACTAACTTATAATAAGAATAGCTCATTTGAGTCTGGATCAAGTGATCTTAAAATACAATTCTTATCATGACAACATATCATTTATCATATGCCTCTGTCTAGCTCTGAAATCAAAAAATTATAGCCTCTGGTCCTTGTTACTAACATGACAGTTCTGCATATGTAATGCTAATTTTTTGTGGACATACTTACATGTACTAGGAACTTCAATAAAAATTGATTTGCTACATACATCTACTGTTCAATGATACATGACACACAACCAATTCATTTATACATTATGCTGACAAAATCAAGCAATGATTAAGCATGATCCATGGCATTTGTTATCCACCACATTTTTCACTTCTGTTTTCTCTTTTCTTTAGTCTTTTTGGCCTCTTGCATGGCCTTATTTTTGTTATAAATAGCTACTAGAATGACTGCATTTGTTATATAAGTTGACATACAGACAACACATAAGTCCTTTAGGATAAAATACAAGATATATCCCAGATACACTGATGCCACATTGGATAAGGCACTCATGTAAAACTGTAGAGAGGCAAGGACTGGTGAGGAGGAGAAAGCTGTAAATAGACACAGATATCACAAACATCAAATATAATGATTTGCATACATTTACAAAGCAATGCTAATGCATTAATTTCATTTCGGCTATTTAGTCAAATAAACTCCTACTCATAATGAAATAGAAACTTTAACATGTCAAACATTGACATCTGAACTTAACAAGGCCGAGTCTAATTATTTCTACCCTAGATATTTTGATAAATTTTCTTTAATGCATTTTTATTATTATATTAATTATTTTAAGATAAAAAAATTAAATGTTAATTATCCCGATTTCTTAGGGGGGCATCTCAAAATTTGTCAAATTTTACTATTGGACCCTATGGGAATTTGTTGAAAAAGTGCCAAATTATCATATTTTCCCCATATTTTTTGTATCTCTGCCCTAGGGATTTTCTTTTCAGTCAAATACATGAAAGTTATTGTAAAAAATCACCAAATCGTGAAATTTCAAAGAAGTTGACCATCCGGTTTGGTCTAGGAATTATTACAAAAGTTTATTTTTTTCCAATACCAAATACCTCTAAATTTGCCATATTGCTGCACACATTTTGTATATATCGGCACAGATAAATTATTTTGGTAAAAAATAACAATGTTTAGATCACTGTGTGTTTCTTTTAATGTTCTGACAACAGTTTTTAATAAAATGTCCATGGACATCTTGAAAACTCAAGCGAGTCATGCGTCATACTTAAGCGTCATGCATTGCTCGGAAAACAATGACGTCATGAAAGCCATTTCAGCATTTATTCCGAAATATTTACATTTCCAATGTCTTTGTCCGAGATAAAATTACAAATTGTAAAAATACTTTATTTCTACATAAATCTACTGGTTCATCGATAGGCGCGGTTAAAAAAAATCATGTGCGGGGCAGGACAAATAGAGACAGAAGCGGGGCTATTAGCACGGGAATTTGCCTTCGGCGTTTATGCAAATTATCACGCAAGCCACTCGATTGATCACATCATGAATCCAAAAAATCAGACAGTTATTCCTTAATTGTTGTCTTAAAATCAAATTTTAAGACCCATAAAAGTTACAGATAATTTAATATAATGTTAATTTTGTATCAAAATTACAATACTTAGGATAAATGTTATGTTGCACATACGACTGCATGAAACTAAAAAGCTGCGCAAAGTCATGCGCACTCGAATTAGACTGGGCCTCATTAAGACACTTGAAAAAATGTTAACGTTTCTTACTGATATAATGGTGGTTGTTCATTCGAGGATGAAGTTTAATATTGTTACAAAAAAAATTTTTAAGGAAAAACAAGGTTGAATCTAAATACTGAGGATTGAATATATTTATTAACATACAATATTGACACAGTATTTGATTGGTTAAGGACATTTATTCTGTTTTAAAAACTGCTAATAGGATACATACACAAGGCCATCAGAAGGGGAAGAGCACTGGGTGGGATCGTTGTGATCCCACCTTAAAAAAAAAATAAAGAAAATATCTTTTATATTAATTTAAAGGAGTTTCATATTTTGGTAAATGATAATAGGACCATGATAAAACTGCTATACAAGCTGTGTTTTATATTAGGTGCTGGTGCATCAAGTGCCACTGAGTATTATTACTTACTTAAGGCTATCTGCAGTGTGTAAAATACAATTCCAAACACACTGTTGGGTAGATTGAGTGGATGATCATCTCCAATTAAAAGGCCAATCAGCCCAAATCCTTTGCCCCATCTGTTGAAAAAAGTAAATTAGTTCATGTATTACTTTGAAAAATAATTTGAAGATTGTGAAGAGCCCCTTATACTGTTACACTAACACTAATGTTACTAGAAGGAGGGAATGTGAACAAGGTGAACCTGACTATGATTTGAAGACATGTACCCTACCTCTAGAGAAGTGGTCATTGGTATACCAATTTAACTGGCCACTGGCAAATAATCCTCAACCCCCACCCCACCAATGTCTATGCCCCATCTCATGCACATCCCTGAGAGTTTTCAACCAACATTATCACAGCATGACATAGCACCAATAGTAATAGGGAAGCAAGGTAAAAACTGAAATAGACCAGGATTCAATCCAAGCCCCTGATTTATAGGCAGATGCCAAATGAGCTACATCTGAACATCAACTAGCCTATCATCTGTTTAGTTGCAAACTTTCTCATCTCTTCATGGGGACTCCTTTTTTCTTTCTTTCTTTTGTTTTCTTTTTTCTTTTCTTTTTTTTTTTTTTTGAGGATAAAGGTGTCAGAATTTATATCAATTATGGAACATTTGCATGGGAGGAAATAATCTAGCTCACACTTTCAGAGGTTCAACTCATAAAGACTAGGGTATCTTTTTACAAAAAATATCATATGATACACTTATGAGTTATCATTTAAAGTACTGTATGGAATTTTACGAGGAGTGATCACCAAATTCCAAGACTTTTCCTAAAAAAAACAAATAATGCTATACCAATGATTTTTTCCCCACATTTTTAAATTTAAAATCCTATCCAGTAAGGCCTGTTTGTTTATCAAAAGCCAGTAGAGCACTTGTCAAGAATCCTGAGAATCAAAGTTTGAATCTTTGCCAGGTTCTTCACATCATCTCCCTTCCAGTTACAAATGCAAAGGGGTGGATCTAAAGGGGGTGTCAGGGGTGTGTGGGTTCAGAGTTATTAAATTTCTATATAAAAATACGAAAAATGACCTTCAAAAAATAACTTTCGCCTCATGTGATATATTAAGAATGATTATAGCCTTTGACGTTGTGATCATGATCATAGTGTATCATTGAAACTGAAATGATAAATTAAATGATAGTTTTAATAATCATGCACACGTCATGGTCGTAACTTGGTCTTGGAGTGTACAAAGTTAGCCTATTTGGTATCAGCAAAAACCTTTTGTTCGAAGTGTGAAACATTACCTTGATTTAAACACTTTCGAGCAACTGACCGAGGGACTGATATCACAGCTTGCGCGGTAATTTTTATCGTGCTCTGCATTTATTTCTACATATAAAGCATATACAGACAGCAGAGTTCCTACTGCACAACACAAAAGAATGACAGTTTTCGATGTTTTTGAAGACCTACTGCCCATTTTCACAAAAAAAATCCAATTTGCGTCTTTGCCGACGTATCACACAAAGTGAAAGCGGAAGTTCCTCTCGCTCCCGAAATGTTCCGAGCGAAACTTTTTTTTATAGTAAGTAGTACGTAAATATTTCATTCTGCTCGCACTGTGATCAGAGGTGATAGATAGAAATTTTTACGCATAAAAATTGTTTCCTTTTCTCCATAAAGAGCGAAATTAAAAGATGTTTGATAAAAAAAAAATAATCTCGTAATTACGAGCAAAGATCTCTCTGGTTAAAAATGATAAATTACGAGAAAAGATAATTATGATCTCAAGATTACGGGCAGAGATCTCGTTATTACGAGGAAAAAATTGTCTTGTAATACTAGAAAATTATCTCTTTATTACGAGGAAAGAAATTCATAGGGGGGGGGGGTGATGTTAGTAGGGCCGAAGGGGAGGGTATGGGAGATTTAAGTTAATTTTTTTATCGACCCATTGGCCCGTTTTTTTCTTGGGGGGGGGGGGGAGTTTTGAAAAAAAAAATCAATAAAAAAAGTGGTTAATTCTTTCTTTGACAGGGCCTCTACTGGTGACCGTTAATTGGGTTTCTTTCTTTTTTAAACATTTGCAGATCTTTTGATTTAGAAAAAAAAGTTATGACATTAATTGTAACTTCGAAGTATACAAAGAACACTATTCAATTCCTGTCTTTGTTGACTTTACCCTTAAATTGGTATAGGTCACAACGTAAACAACTGGTGTAAACCAATACAATTGGAGGGGGTTACTTTTCCAATTGTAAAGGCAACCCGATTGTGAAAATATTGTATTAATTAAAAAAAAAACAAAGAAAAAAAAAATCACAGTTTGTTCACTAGTTCAATAAAGTAACATTCATTTATCAGAAAAAAAAAATGCTTGCAAGAATATTATTGTAAAGCAACACCAAAACAATACCGTAATTCAAATTTCCAAATCCAACATCACAACACTGTAATCGAGGAGACATGCTAGGAGTTGCAAAATCAATGTGTGTGGGGGTGGGTGAGGGTGTGTGTGTGTGTGTTTTTTTTTTGGGGGGGGGGGTCCCCTTCTTTTTTCTCTTTGAAGAACTATTCGATTCAAATACTCACAAAATGGTATGTTGAACCTATCAATGATATAAGTTTCAGAATTTCCCCACACACTCTTTGTAAAAATACCGATCTATAGATAAATATAAAGGGTAAACAAATTAAATCTCTAAAGGTGGCCTTGATAAACATAAATTTTCAAATTCGTGAACGAACAGGTATACTGCTGCACCAAGAGTGGTGTTAATACATCGAGTCTTGCGATTTTTTGAGTGACTAATTTTACAATTTCCTATGAGTTATTTATTTATTTTGGCTGAGACTCAGTGATACTAAATATTCTAAGATTTCATACTAAATTTGAACAAATCTTGAATCGAAAACACGTATTTTCATTTAAACAACCAGTCGACTTTCATATAAACTTTTAGCCAAAATATTGTCGGTTTTTAACATTATCAAAATGGGGGAAATCCTACTCTGAGAAAGAGAGGGAAGGTTGGCTCTAGTGTGAGGTTTCCCCTCGGGAGGGAGTCTACTCTAGAGTACAGCTTCCCGGGCGGGGGGGGGGGGGGGGGCTATGGGTGGAATCTTATTGTACATGATACTTTTTGCTCTTGGTATATTTCTTATTATCTATAAACAAAAAAAAAAGTCTATATTATTTACAGTTTAAGGAATGTTAGTACTTCATAATCAGATTTGAATCATTTGATTTTGGAGGGGAAATTATATTTTTTTTCAAACATTGAACTTTTGACCTCGCCCTTAAATTAATAAAATTTGAAGAAAAAAACATTAATTATTTGGGACTTTTTTCATGTGTATGCATGCTGGTATGGTGTATAGCATATTCCTGCCCCCTACATGCAAGATAAATTATGTCAACATGCGAGAAAAGTATATGTCAACATACAAGATAATTATGTCTACATGTAAGATACATGTAATTATGTTGACATGCAAGACAATTATGTTAATTTACATGCAGTTACTAACTTTTTAGAGAATTTGATTTTAAGATGGGTAAATTTACGTATTAACGCCAGTATCTGACATCATACATACGAGATGTGCACAACATAATTATGTCGACATGCAACTTATTTATGTCAACATGCGATATAATTATGTAGAAATGCGACCAAATGCTGGCTCAGCTGCCTCAAACACATGAAAAATCAATATAAAACCCTTTTTAAATTAAGTACTCGTACGATTGCAACAAGTATACATAGTCGGTCTGGCATAACTGGAATTAGCAAATTATACGACAGATGTTTGTGCAGGAAACTGTTAAGTTTCTCTCTGTGATAGCGAGTTTTGTGTATGTTTCCAAATGAAAATTAAGGTGTTAATTTATTCCTTAATTCTTATCCTCTGTGAAAGTTAAAAAGAATGATTTTTTTTTTGGGGGGGGGGGCAACAAAACTGCAATATAATGAGTTTCTCGGAGGCAGATAAAAGGATGAAGAAGACAAAAGTACACCAATGAACTCCTTCAATTTTGTCGAGTTATTGATGATTTACTACTAGTATATATGGTTAATAATGCAACCTTAAAATACGATGTTGTATTTCTACAGTGAGTCTATCGGAGATGACTCATTTGATACGAATATTTGTCATCCAATTTTCACATTAGGTTACTCATGTGATGTGACACAATTGTTCTGTAAAATATACAAAGGACAAGATAGGGTAAGACCCCTTTTTGGCCCCTGGTTTGGGGTGTCTTTTAGAATGATTCAAAATTTTATCAGTAAAAACCTGTTGTCACCTCTGCCACAAAATGAGTATTGGTTCTAAGGGGTACACAGAGGTCACAGGAAGTAGGGGTGAAACGATACACCTCCTTCACGGTTCGATACGTATTGTATAATTTTGTCTCGGTTCGGTTATTTTCGATACGATACATTTTGATAGAAGGAAACAAATTCTACGTTGTTTTATGCTTTCTTTTTCTAAATCTAGTCACATATTTTACGAATTTTATTTGCAAATTGACTAGAAGAAATTGATTAAAATTATTTGACTGTCAAAAATTATTTTACAATCTATCAGTCATCAAAAATTTACGTTTTCTATACTTTTTTATACTGAGTAACGTGTTATACCTTATGCCAAACCCGACTGAATAACGATCCCGACCGAAAAATGAACCGAACCGAAAATTTGAGATTTTGCACCGTGTATCAAACCGAGAAAAAATACCGCGGTGCATCGATACCCCGGTGAACCGTTTCACTCCTAACAGGAAGGTCAGAAAATATGTCAATTTCCGAATTTTCTCATTTTTATGCAATTTTTCATCGATTTTACAGCACATTTTGTTTCAGAAAAGATAGAGCACAAGCTTGCCTACCTACCAAATTTATATATATCATACACTAGTATCAGATGTATCTTGTATATAAAAAAATCACAGATAGGCAAGCTTGTGCTCTATGTTTCCCGAAGTGAAAAGTATCTCAAATTTGACGAAATTTCACCAGAATTGAGGAAATTCGGGAAAATGTCCTACTTCTGCACCCTCTTGTGGCCTTCATGCAAACTTTGAATCAAAATTAGTGTTGGTTTTAAAACAAGCCTCATTTTAAGTTCTTAACTACAAACTATCACAGTTTTAACTGTGTTCTGATTTTCTCCTCAAATAAGAAGCCAGATTCGGCCGTTACCATACCTTGTCCTTTACCTTTGAAAATGTTTGAACAGCGTTGAAAAAGACAAAATGTGACGGCAAAAAAGATTAAGAAAGAGGAGAAGGAGAGACACATTTAATGGCGATAAAACATAAAATTTCAGCTTGTGATAATCCATGCTCAAAGTAGTCTTTCGTTTTTCATTGTAACGAATAAACTGGATCATTAAAGTAAAAGAAACTGGAGACTTATACAAATGTCTCTGTTTTACAGGGAAAGTTTCGCGTTATAATGCGAAAGTTACGCGTTTATTCGCGAAAGTTTCGTGTTATAACGCGAAACTTTCGCGTTATAACGCAAAAAAAAATATTTTTTTTGTACCCACGAAAATGAGCTCAATGGACTTTCGTAAGTACGTGTAACTACACAAGTTTAATAACTCTTTTAATAGATATGCTAGCTTTATTTAGTAATCACTAAAATACACATCAAGTACTAGATAAGATAAACATGCTACTGTGACATGCAGAAATGGGTGCAATTTTATCACGTCGATCATTTGAAAAAGTATGATATATACTTTTATCCCTGCATTACGATGTACACAATTCTTCATGTTACACTTTAACATTAATTATTTCTAACAATATTTTTCTAGAATCTAGAGACAATTCCGTCATTAACAACTGCAGAATTTTTAAACCATCTTTTGGGTCGTTTTCGGGAATTCTCTTAAAATCCTTTTCCTGATTCCGTCATTAACAACTGCAGAATGTTTTTTTTTAATGTTTTGGGTCGTTTTCGGGAATTCTCTTAAAATCCTTTTCCTAAAATTATAAAGATAATTCCGTCATTAACAACCAGATTTTTATGTTTTGTGTCGTTTTCAGGAATTCATCCAGCTATTTCTGTTATCAGCCTTATTTACAGTATCAGAGTTTTTTTTAGCACTCCAAACAGACATAAGAGCGAGATAAGAGCAGGATACTAAGTAAAAGGTAAATAAAAAAACATCACATAAAAATATACTTGAAGTAATATATCTTAATTCAGTGCATTCGTTTAATTTATACGATGACGCGTTTAAAGTTTTGCTAGTTCGGATTTCCAGGTACTCTTGTAAAGGTCATGGACTTTATATACAATTTTATGACCTTCATCAAAAGCAGGCCCCAGTCGGTTCTTTACACGTGTTAACCACGCTTTGACCTTATCATTCTGGTATATGATGTAATCCTCGTCAATCACGTGTAACTGCATCAGTTCGCAAACGGCCAGAATGTCAGCAATAGAAATGTCTTCACCACACAGAAATTTCTTGTCCTTTAAGAAATATTTGTCAAGATGGCGGACAACAGTCATGTTTCCCTTTCTGTATTCCCCTGCTTCCTGCTGGTTTACCGGTTGTTTTGTTTCTTGTGGTAGTCTAAGCTATCGAAGAAATGGAAGGAAAAAAATAAAAATAATAATAAAACAAAATTTCAATATGTCAATTTATATATTTTACTGAAGAGTCATTTTTAAAAATTTCTTTATATGTAATGCGCAGTGGATATCAATTTCTTCCTGAAGCACTATACGAACACTAGTCTTATTTCGAATTCCACCCGGTGTCTATGTGGAACCAATCGGAACATCACTCGGCCTTTTCCGTCAAATCGAGAAAATCTCGACTTAACGGAAAAAGCCGAGTGATGTTCCGATTGTATGTGGGACTATGCTCAACGCAACATTGTTGGTAAAGCGGTTGCGCAGTGGTGGTTTGGGGTTCATGGTTTAATTTTCGTATGGAAAACATGTCGGGATTATAAAAATAATACGTCGCTTTTAAAATAATTCATTAGAAGAGAAGAAAACTAGAAAAGTATATAGAATGATCTTGAGAAACTCAACTTAATCAATTCATACACTAAAATGATCTTAATATTTATATCTTAAAGATTTTTCGTGACCATTCGTAAACAGTTAGGCTAAATGTAGACTGCTCATTTTGACGAATAATTATTTTTCTTATTTATTTATTTATTTTTTGGGAGGGGTTTCTTTTAGCATTAAATTTGGTTTCAAAATATTACTTGAAGAATTATACATGTATTTCGTATAAGGCTATATCTACTTTTGATGGCCACAATTTTTAATAGGACACCAATTTACAAACCAGTATTCTAAACAGCATGGTTCCATGAAATCGAGTGTTTGCATGTTGCCAATTTAGATATTCCTGTACTCGTGCATGAGTTTCTGGATTTTTCAAGGGATACCAATGGTCTGCCAATTTGTATTTCATGCATAAATATTGCAAAATTGCTACACTGAAAGTAAAAAAAAAAGAATAATACTTAAAAATTTAAATAAACATTCAAAGTAGACTTAGCATGTAGAAATTTTGTAGTGTTATTTTGGGTTCTATTAGTTAAAGACATGACAAACAATGACAGATTCAGAAAATTGAAAAAAGGGGACTAACAGACAAAAGTAACCCCCCACCCCACCCACCTACCTCCAAAAGGAATGCACATTTTACTGTCATTATAGAAGAAGAGGGCATTAAGAAAAAAGAGGATGTGCATGTTATATTTTGCGAATAATAAATAATTGGTTTGTCGAATAATGCCCTAATTTCTTTCTTTTGAATGAAAATTCTAACCTTTCAGTAAGGACAAATCCATTGTCGTCGATGACGGGCACCTGCTGAAATTGAGTGATCCTGGTATATTCTTCCTTATGGTGATCACCTACAAATACAGATGGACAAACCGGAAAATGAGGTCAAGTGAGTTAGTTTTGACTGTAATGATCGCCCAGAAAATCCATTAATTGATTCGACATATCCGCCATCGAACTGAAATTATTAGCAAATAAATAAATTAAATCGTTCACTCTCACTTTCGTTTCCCCTTTTTAAAATCCATTATTTATAAGGATTTTTTTATAAGGAAACTTATATGAATTCCTTAGAAATGTGGAAATCGAAAGTAAAGAGAGCAATGACATACTAGTATTGAACTGAAACATATAAAACATTCAAATAACTGTCAATTTCATTGATTAGAAAAAAAATGACTAAAAATATTTCAATTTTGCGTATCAGTTTTATTTTGTGGACTCCTTTTCCTCAAAATTCATTATAATCATAGTTTATCGTTGGGAATAACTAATGATCCATAAAAAAATTGAAAGTGACTCTCTTAAAACTATATTGTTTCAAAAGAAAATGGAGAATCAAAATCACTGGTAATGCATTGACAAAGAAAAGGAACTTACGAAATGGAGATTGAAATTGACACAAAAGCATACAATTTATGGTACTGTGTCATGTTCCCTCCTTACCTTCCGTGTAACTAGATACAACTCTCCTACAAAATGGCTTATATTGAATGAGAATACCCAGTATACCTGTAATGACCTACATGTAGGTGTTATGTTTGACACACCTGTAGAAGTATCTTACCTGGTCAGTTTAAATCAAAATTATAAACTGCCATACGTACCATTTCTAATAGCAATTTGTATAGCTTCAAATGGAATATTATTCGCTTTGAGAAAAATGTACACAGCCCTGGAGGGCTGAGACATTAAATCGTAGAATAACTTCAGGTTCGGCATTCCTAGGTAGAGACTTTCCAGTCAATGGATGGAAATCGAATCAGAAATTCGGTCACAAGATAGGATCATGTGAACTTGAAGGAGGTTATTTACATTCTTTATGCATTTATATACAGAGTGACACAGCTATATGATATTGGTATGAATGTTTTCATCTGATGTAAAAAATTAAATTAGAACGTGTATGTATGTGTATTGTATTCTAACTGACAGCAGAACAAGTCTGCAGGCAAAAAAGGTGGGAGGACGAGCGAGGTCGATCTTCAGTTCATTCCCAAGACCATCATTTTCAAAATATTTTTAAAAATTACATCCCTCCTCCCTCATTATGCCTAGGTGTGACATAGGATATGACCACTTTATTGTGAGAATATTCTTTTGCTCTGATAGCTGGTTGGTCTCTCACTTTTTGTCGAAGAGAGAGAGACCACCACCCCATCACCTCCGAAATAAGTTTTTTTTCTTCAAATTTTGAATATTTTTTCCCTTTTGTTTGTCAAAATTTTTTCAAGCACTTTTTATGCTTCTAAATTATCTTTGAACAAGAGGCCCAAGGGCCTTAACGGTCACCTGAGTATGATACAACACTGTTAACATGAAAAAGGGGGGGGGGGCTGTAGTGGGAAAATTCATGGAATTCCTTCCCATTGACCTGAATAAATAAATTGCTAGCTCCTGTCAGAAATTCTTCAACCGCATACTAATTAAACCCCCTTTTATGATGAGAAAGATATTCATACTCTGTATAGGAATGCATTTATCATGTTTAGAGATTTATAATGCATGCATAGCCGTCGGAAGCAAATTAAAAGTGAGGTGGCTAATTGAAAGTGGGGGGGGGGGGGGCTAAACCAACGAGAAAAGGTAAGCCCCAATTTTCAATGCCTATATTATGTATATCTTTGCAAAAAAAGTGGTGGGGCTAAGCTCCCCCTAGCCCCCCCCCCCCCCCCCCCCCCCGGTTCCGACGCCTATAGTGTGTATTGTGTACTCATCAATTGACTTCTTTATATTATTAATGTACCTGTGGGTATCCACAGTAACAATGATGAAAGGTACAAAAGTGAGGGTGTTTATTTTTGAAGTATATATGTACATTTATGTAGTTGATTAATCTAAAATAATTCTTTACATGTACACTTTGATAAATACTACTATATAATGTCCCAGAAAGATTACTTTTTATCTCAAATTCTGTTGTAAAACTGAGCATAGTGAAAATTTAGTTTTGTTCGAACATTCAATGTTTTAGCAAAAGAGAACAGAATTTACGCCAGAACAAGTGAGGATGCTGGAGGAGGCCTATGGACAGGGCACAAAGAAAGGAAAGGCCTGGTTAGGTGCTCACCAGGAATTGGCAGCAAAATTAAATTTAACAGAACTTCAAGTAAAGGTAGTTCCCTTATCCATTTATGCTTTAAATTTGTTTTTAGATAAATAAACCTTGGTACATGTTACCATGTATTTGCCTCAGTTTGATCAAAAGCCCTAGGTTAATCCATATTTTTACAATAACAGAAGTACATATTAATAATATTAATATTACATGCTTGATTGTGGTATTTTATTTTTTCATATATATATATATTATTTCAGAATTGGTTGGGAAATCACCACAAATCCAAAAGTGAACATGGTAAATTGGTTCAAAGGAAGACACTCCCAGCAGTAAGGCCAACTGCTTATTCCTTATTTTGTAAGGAATACTCCAAGGGTAAGATCTGACTTTTAAAATTTTAAAAAACCTTTTTTTAAACTTTTCCAATGAATTATAATTCACTTTGAAAATTATAGAATCTGGTAAATTTAATCCAATAGCCAATCAGGTTTTGATATAGTTAAGTGACAGTTCCCTTTTTTAGGTTCACCTGACTCACTCAGGTGACCTAATGATATATGTTTTCATCTGTCGTCATTCGTCGTCAATCGGTCGTATACTTTTGAAAATTTTTAGCTTCTTCTCTGAAACCACTGAACCAATGTCAACCAGTTTTGGCATATAGCATCTATAGGTGAAGAGGAGTAAAAATTGTGAAATCCATGGCTCTTGCCCCCTTGGGGCCTGAGGGGTGGGGCAAAAACCACTAAAATTAATGCAATCTTTAAAAATCTTCTTCTTTGCTCCTGGACATCAAGCAGTCAAACTGTTCACATGATTGTACATGTAAGAATGAGCCCTCTACCAAAATTGTGAAATTCATGGCCCCAGGATCAGGAGTTCTGGTGCTAGGGTGGGGCTCTATTGAATTTAGTGAAAATGCATTATTTTTAAAAAAAAAATCTTCCCCTCTGCTCGTGGGTATTAAGCCAATGAACTATGTACATAGTTATGATGAGGAAGGGTGCCTCTTCCAAAATTGTGAATTTCTTGGCCCTTGGGTCAGGGGTTCTGATGTTAGGGCGGGGCTCTATTGATTATATAGTGGAAATGCATTAATTCTTTGAAAATCTCTTCTGGTCCTGGGTTTTATGCCGATGATCTAAGTACATAGTTATGATGAGGAAGGGTGCCTCTTCCAAAAATTGTTAATTTGATGGCCTCTGGGGGGTACCTGTTGGCTGGGGGCCCCTAATGATTATATTCTGAAATTTAATTAATGCTTTTAAAATCTGCTCTTTGTTATTAATCAAAGATTTAAGATGAGCAAGGGTACCTTTTCCAAAATTGTTATATGTGTGTCCCCAGGGTCAGGGATTCCTGTGAGGTGGGGCACTACTGATTATATGGTGGAAATGCATTTTTTCTTTGTTCTTCTGCTCTGCCTCTTGGTATTAAGTATAAAAAGTAAGCATGCTAAGTGTATAGTTATGATGAGCAAAGGTACTGCCTCCTTCAAAATCGTGAATTTCATGTCCTCTGGTTTAACCACTGTTAACACAAGAACCAAATTCAATTGCTACATGATACTCAGATGACCTATAAGGCCTGTGGGCCTCTTGTTTGTCAAATAATATTATTTCATTGTATCTTCATTTCCTTTTTTATAACCGTATGCCACATACATTCATACATATATTTATTAAGTTTTATTAATTTAGTAAGAAAATTATTTTACATTATTATCTTGATTACATGTATGTTCTATTTCACTTGAAAAATACTCAAATTTGCAGATCATCCTGGCTTTAATCCTTCAATATGGAAAATGGAGTGGGAGGCAGCTGGAGAGAAGGAGAAAGAGAGGTACGCAAAGATGGTGAGGGAGATGTCAGAAGAGGGGGGAAGTGGATCAACAAATGATGATCCCACTACTCAGAAGAAGACCATTAGAACCCTTCTGAAGCAACTGGAATGGACTGTAAATACCTTAGATTTTTAGTAGAGATTTTTGATATTTTACAATTATTCATGTTAACCTAATTATTTTTGCCTCTATTGCTGTGGATTAATAATTGATTATGAAGGACTAATATTCATGGATTTCATGAATTTACGCTTGCCTATGAATTAACATATCCACAAGGGACATCTTACAATTGTATCAGTTCACTACAACGAATGTTTTGTAAATATGAAATCATTATGACCCCAAAATCCAGTTAAATTTTGGTTGTCAATGTGCAACAGAGACATTTATCTGAATTGGCTTCGGATTGAATCCAGGGACTCTGGCATGCCAGTCCAGTGGGTTAACCCACTAGTCCAAGCTAGTAGGATGCCATGTACTGTATCTAATGTACACTACCACATATGAACCAACCACCACAGATTAATATGATTTCCCTTTATGATAGTTTAATTCAAGCTTGTTTTAATTATCACAATAATGTAAACAAGTTAATGAATTTGTTAATATTATATTCATAAATGCATGCATGTACTAAGGTATGCATTGTTTATGTATATAAATTAAGTCACTCAAAACAAACTTATTTCCTGACTAGAAACAGACAGTATTTTTATAAAAATAGGAGGAAACTTATAGAAAAGATTTTGATTAAATGAAGAATTCAATTTTTCTCCATCAAATATTTTGGCTGGTATAGTCATAATTTCAGCTAGGTAAAAATATCAGGTACTAGCAGATTTTGAAAGGCCTGTTTTATTATAACTCTCATGTTTATGATGTCATTTAATCTCCATTTTTTGTTGAAAAGAATCTGTTTTCATATTATATATCATGAAAATTATAAGTATCAGGGTTTTGCAGTCATCTTGGGACCAAAAAATGCTGATTTCTTGACTTCTATTTGAGTCTTCTTTTAATTGAACTCATTTTGATAATGTAAAATGATCTATATTTGTAGAGTAGGCGATTGGAAAATATGGGCTTGCCCAATTTCGCTTTGGTGGCTGAAAATAATACTGTCCACAGCGTTGGAACAGGGAGGGGTCGAGAATTCCTTGATCGTGAGGATATTGAACCAAATTTCAGCCGATTTTGTAATCAAGGTTAGTAGGTCTATAAATTGATATTGGTTTATATGTCAACTTTTGTAATAATCGATAAGGATTACGTGCCATACGGCCCCCAGTAATATGACAAAAATATAAAATCTTAATTTTACTCTTATTTATACATGCACTTAATTGTTGATATCATTATAAAAATACTGCATGTAGTTGAGTGTAACATTAAAAATTTTCACTCCAAGAAAACTATTGTCAACCGAGGCACAGCCGAGGTTGACAATGGTTTTTTCGAGGGGTTAAAATTTTCAATGTTACACTCAACTATACATGCAGTATTTATTATATTATACTGAATGTTTTATACAAATACATATTACAGTGAACCTTGCGCGCATAAATTCTGCGCAGTCAATATTTTTTGGAATAACACCCTTCATCAAGCAATGTTGACTGTTGCTATGCTGGAGGGCATGGCTTCATTATTCAGCAGGTAATAGTGTTTTTTAACAAATGTTTCTTGACGAATCAGATTCTAATAATTTACATGAAAGTATAATATCGTGGAATACCACTTTTACCAAAAACAAACACCATATGAAAGATTAAATATTTTTTGGGGGTAGGCCTACCATGTTTACATCCGATTTCCATTGAATTTTGGCCCATGAAGTTGCCTCACTCTTTGAAATGAAGCCTTAAAAATATACCAGCAAAAGAGGGTACATTTTGCCCCTTTGGCATCTTTGTATTTTATTGACTATACATACCTATATGTGAAAGGAGAAAAATGTACCTCACTGTACTCAAATAGTGTGTTTTAAAACATTTGAAAATCTTGTTGGCCTTTCCAATCAAAATAAATTCACATGCTAATTGAGGTACCAATGGGTGAATTCAAAAAAAATGACCAAACACATATTTATCAACCCACACTAAAAACACAGGCAATGAAAATAGATTTCTATGTCTCAGCATATGTCTTTAGATAGTGTCTAAATACCTGCCAAATATCTCCTTGATATCTCAACTAACAAAAAAGTTATACCCAAAAATGATGCTAAAATTGTCAGGAGTGCAACACCTTTTTGTGACATTTTGAAATTTCAATATTTTTTGGAGATCTGTGAAATAAAAAACAATGTTTCATTGAAAATAAAGACTTTCCTGATAATATTCAAAGTATTGAGCTTTAAATGTGGACTGTCATAACTTTTGTTTAATCAAGTTGTGGCCATGGCTGATGTTTAAAAAAATGTTATACCATGTCAGGAGTGCAACAGAAAAAATGTAGTGTTGCAAAAAAACATCAATTGTAAAATTCTGATAGAAAATTAAGACAAAATAGAATTTTGGACGTGTAAAATAATAACTGATATACATTTTAAAACTTAAAAATGTTATATAAATCACAAGCAGCATTAATGAGAGTCAAGTATATGTGCATACCCAAAAATGTCAGGAGTGCAACATTTGATGTTTTGCTCCCAAGCATGAAAAAACTATTATCATTATATGATTTTCTGATTTTTATTTTGGAAAATAAAGACACAAAGAACATTTTTACCAAATAGATTTATCAATTACAGGATCTGTCTGTGCTTCAGATCCATATTTCTATGGTCAGGAGTGCAACACATTTTTTTAAAGATTCAAGTTGTGTGATGAAAAGACTTCTATTCATGCTTAGAAGTATTCATTAATTAATAATGATCTTTTTTGTATAATTTAATGCTAAATTATTGATAGTTTTATTAATAAAAATCCTTCCCTTTTCAATTTTATCAATTCAGATGTGTTTTTATCTTTTTTGTGATTTTTTTAATGAACGTTAAAAATAAACACACTAAAACATTGTCATTAAATTCAAGTAATTCCTCCTCAACTTCACTGAAACAACAGAACAAGTTCTTATGTATTTTTCACTTCACAATTCTACTTTAAAGGCCCCAATGCTTTTGATCAGGAGTGCAACAAATATGTTAGAATTATAAATCATCCAATAAGAATAAAAATAAAGAAAAAGTGATGAGTAGAATTTTTCTGGTGGGTTACTGTGTTTGTTCTCTAAAGGAAAATATGCTTTAAAAATATTTTATCTTTTAAATATACATTTAAGCTAGTTTTTTGGCATAATATAGGGTATAATTCCAGATAAAATGCGAATTTTAAATACTTTCATCTGTTTTAATTATGAAGTATTGGACTATAAACATTGCACAATTTCATTACCACTTGATGTTGCTAACACTTTATGAATTTTTGTGTTCTATGGTTTTAATTTTAAATTTTACTGCAGTCAGGAGTGCAACAAAACTGCTTTATAATTACCAATGCTTGTTAACTATTGATCTTTACTAAAACAAATAAGTTGAAAAAAAATGTTCGATACTATTTGATGTTCAAATCACTATGTCTATCAACAAATTTCAGAAATTTTACAGTCAATTCAGGGAATAGTTTTCATCATTTCACATATATTTTAAATAAAATTTATATATATTACACTTTGCAAATAATCATGTTTTAAGGTCTTCAAAATATGAAAAACCTGCTGTAAACGATGAAAAATATCAACACAACAAATTAATTTACAAAGTAAGAATGGGATATTGTGTGTTATAATTTTTAAAACAATGTTAAATAAAATACATATCAGATGTCAGGAGTGCAACACAATAATGTAACATAGGGTCACTTCAAAATCTAGTATTTTTTGTAAGAGAACTCGTATATAACAATTCTTTTTTGGCTTAGATTTAAAGATTTGACTTGAACAGACAAAAAAGTGAATTTTATGGAATTTTATTGCTTCATATTTTTTTCATATTAAAACTTTTCGAACCAGAATCGAAAAAATAATGTAAAATAACAATCAAAAAGCCAATTTTTTGTCACATGTACAAGAGAAGATACTCATTCAAGGTCTAGATTTAATCATTTATACCCCTTTTACCATTTTGAAGCATAAAGAACTATAATTTCTTGTGATTATGTATTTTAGAAAGTCTTTTAAGGTATAATGATATTTTCTTTTTTCAAAAGAAATTTTACTAATAAAAATTCTGAAACTTTTTAATCCATTTGTCTATTCTATTGCCACTTCAGGATTTTAAACTAGAATGCATGTGCAATATGATGATACAAGTGAAAAATATGTTATATGAAGTTGAATTTTGCCAAAAAAAATTCAGTTTGGTGGTCATTTTTTTTAATTCACCCCAATGTGACATTCAAACCAACCAATCAGATAAATGAGTAGCATTTCGGGTGAATAATACAAAAATACAAATGCTAGGAAATTTTAATAGCGATTCTCTGTAACTAATTAAACTTCTTTGCCACGCATGGTCACCGATTTTGATGAAACTTTGCCCATTATTACAACTTGACGCCATAAACATATATCAAATAAAATTTTGTTGCTATGTGTCTTGGTTGCCATGGTAACAGCCAGAAAAGTTGGAAAAATTGAGATTTTCAGCTACTTTGATTCTTTATTAAGCCTTAATAAAGACTAAGAAAAACAAACAAACCATTCTCACAAAAACATGACACCTTGTTGCCACTTATGCTAAAAAGAAACTATTTAGAATTTATCTCTAAGTAAGTGGTAACCATGGGTACATTTGGAATACATTTTAGATGCTGAAAAATGCTGAAAAACGCTAAATATTCAATGATGATAGGTGTTACATGATCAAACTCAATCAACAACCTAAGAAAAAACAAAAAAAATATTTGACCTTAAGTAATCAGGTATTGGCAATATTATTCTAAAAATAACTTTCATGGTTGCCATGGCAACACAGTGTAACCATTCAAAATCTGTTGCAAAGATTGGGTTAATGCTACTATCTTGAGGGAAAACAATAAAATTCATGACTGGCAAATATACATCCTTAAGACCTTGCAACACCGACAACATAAGAAAAATTGGGATTAATTGTTACTTTGCAGTGTAACCATGGAAACAACGTACCAGTTGTTTAAAGTGATATTTTTTTGCTGCTTTAGGAATTTACTTACCTTTTTATCAAGAAACATATTATTTGACTCACCTTGAATAGTACTTATCTGGTAGAACTAAAGTTGAATATCATATATTGATTAAGTTTGATGAAAAATACAACAATGTTGCTATGGTTACCAAGAAGGGAAAATGTTTGATTTTGTTAAATTTATATCAATAGTAAACCCTATGTGCGAGCTTTTTGCATCCAGTTAGAGATTGGGTGGAAGTCAGAATTGAAAGTCAGGTTAGCTGTTCATAAAAATCAATCATAAAAGTTTTGGGAATCTACCTACAAGGGTACGTATCCATGGAAACAGAATATTTTTCAAATTTTTATGCATATTTTTTCAGTTAATTTCCATAGCAACGCTCTATTTAAAAAAATAAATTTGAATTTTTTGAAATGTGAAAATTAGGACCACACCAACGCCGTTAAAAATTGATCATCAGTTATTTAGAAATGTGCTTTTTAAAAAGATAGGATAAGATTAAAACACGAATAGAGGAAATTTAAAATCCCTTCGTGGTAATAAAACCATGGCAACCGTTGCCAACCTCTAAGAAATATGATATTTTTTCCTTGGTATATGTTACAAGGACTTTTGTCTATTATTTGATTGCAATTCAACCTATAATTGTTTTTATTCTTAAGTGTATGACTTTATAAAACTAAATAAACAAAATTGTTACTTTTGAATACTTTGTTTCCATAGTAACGTATGTAATAGTTGATTTACCAAACATGTCTATCATGCATTTAAAACATCAGGCCTTCAACTTTCAGAAACAGTCATTGGTACTTGTTTGCTTTGCCGCAAACGTTAGCTATGGGTCTCTGAACATGTTGAAAAATGCCATTTTTCATACTTTAGGACACGTTGCTATGGTAACCATGACACGTAGCAACCAAGTTTTGCCTGATTTGAGTTTAAGGTATCAAAGACTTTTATCATAGAGAGTTTGGAGAAATTCTGAGACTATGCGTGCCACAGCTCCTATATAAAAGTTAAAGTCATTACAGAGAATGGCTCTTAATATTTAAAAAAAAAAAACCTTTTTTTTTTTGCTTTTGGATAGACAATATTATTTTTTCATGCATTTTAGTCAGATGAAATATGAATCATACTTTGCTATTAATTATTTCTTTGCTCACAATTAAAAACAATTGTTTTATTGACATACTTTTTAGAATTCTATTTTCTCCACTTCATTTGGCAAGGGATTGATGGACAATTGCCTATATATACCCTTTATCAGTGAATACAAATTTTATGTGCATTTCTTGACTTGTCCCAAAAAAATAGACAGGTTCCTCACATCATCATTTATAAATGGCCTCTGTTGACCACTTAAAGTTTGAAATGTAGAAGAGATGGGATGTAAATTGACCTGAACCATATGTGTCTGTGGTAAAATGCAAATTTGTAGTAAGCATCATTCATTCATTGGATTGGACAATTTTTGTCAATAAGCAACTCTTTGTGAACTGTGAAATATAAACAATAGCCCTATAAAATAATTTCTCAGACCTGTGTATCCTTCTTTAATACTTATCTGCCCATTCCTTTCATCTATATTAATAAAAGAAAAAAGCCACAAACCAGTTATAGCTGTAATAGCTAGGGTCTAAAAATTCCTCTATAATGTGGTATTCCTACAACTTAAAAACAATACAAACTATAGATATTTATTTTCTCAAGGTGTTATTTTCCTTTACTCTTATTTTAGAATTACCAGATTGATATGAGGTTTATTATAATTCATCGTAGAAAAGGGGCCCCAGATCATAGTTCCGGGAATTCATCCTTTAGTAAAAAATATATTTTTAAACATAAATTCTTAGGTATGGAGAAAATAAAGAACATATTAAGTTAAGTGTATTTCATGGATTGTAAATTTTAAATTTTCCTGTATTTTGTATTTTTGCATTTTGTTATCCATTTGATATTTCGATCTGTCCCAGATTGAGGATCAAAGAAAATTTTTTTTTTGTCTTGTCTGAAAATCTTTTTTTTTTTCAAAAATATATGATGACCCTTTTTTTTATAATGAAATGAGAATCACAAAAAGGAAATGTGTATTTTAATAATCTTTATTTATTACAGATTATTCTACTCCAGAGAAATCAAAAGTCAATGAGCTGCGAAAGACAGTTCAAGTACACATGAACAAATTATACAGTTAGTATAGATTTTATGATCATTTCAAGTCTAGTGTATAGAAGTGTGTTGAACTTTTTTTTAATTGTTAAAATCATACAAATATATTAAATATCTGAGATTTTTTATTGAACAGTATAGGTCAAAAGTGGTGTCAGTTTCTTCAGACCAGTTTTGTCCCTTACCCAGCTACCATTTGGGTTCTTAGGGAGACGATGTTCCTTTTGTCAAAATCCGAAAATATATTGCATATGCATGTACATGTATAATAATAAAAATTAAGTTTATTCCTGCTTTATAGCTGAAATCTAATTAAATTGGAAATGAATCATAAAATAAATGAAGGATAAATTTTTTATATCCCAATTCTGGAAAACATTTTAGTGTATCGACTTGGCTTAGCCAGATATATGTCAAGTTTAAATCAGTTTAAATCTCATTATAGATCGGTCATGTTACATGACAAGAATTAATGTTGATGGATACATCAAGCACTGGCCTCAAAATGTGTGTTATTAACTACCTAATTAAATGATCAAAGTACAATATTAAGTCCCGAGAATTAAATTTTTCAAACTTCAATGGTTTAAAGAAAAAAATCAGAAGTTTTAAAACTCTCTTTAGTTCAGAATGTGTTGCAATGTTTTGAGTCTTAACATAAGTTAAACTCTCCAAATATGTTTATATGTGGATAATATTTTAAAATAATCATGCATAAAAATTTGTATACCTATAAAAACAACTTTATGCAATCTACTCTGTTCTATATGAATTAACCTGACAATAACTCATCAGTAGCCAAGCAGGACACTACAGTATACTAATTCTACATGTAACTAGCCCTTTTGCTACATAAATAATCTTTATGTCAATCTTTTATACTGCTATCCAGACAAGAATCCGACTTTGAGCATGCTTCGCTCGTTTAAACCAAAACATTCATTTTTATTTTGTTTCTATATGTATAAAACATTCTTTTTTTTGTATTCTCATTCAATCAAATAGACTGTTAATTAAATTAAATAAAAGGACTTCTTGATTTAACACAATTTAGCAAAGGGACGTAGCTCTTATTTGTTTCACTTATTACAATTTTGTACTCTGTTTTCCTAGAAACCCAGGAGCACAGAAAGGCACAATTACTTATTTATATTTATACATTTACATTATTGATTTTAGTCTGTTTGCTTAATACTCAAGGGCAGATAAGAAGACTTTCAAAGTATTAATGCAATTTTGCTATATCATAATAGAGCCCCGCTAAAACACCAGAACCCCTGACCCAGGGGGCATGAAATTCAAAATTTTGGCACCCTTGCTAATCATAGCTGCACATTTAACTTGTTTGTTTAATACCCAGTAGCAGAGAAAAAGATTTTCAAAGCATTAATTCATTTTCAGAATATAATAAATAAGCCCCCGAAAACCCTTACCCTTGGGCCACATCTTTCACAATTTTGGAAGAGGCACCCTTCCTCATCATAACTATGTACGTAGTTCATCGGCTTAACACCCAGGAGCAGTGGAGAAGATTTCAAAGAATGCATTTTTACTATACAATCACTAGAACGCCGCCCTAACACCAGAACCCCTGATACAGGGGCTGTGAAATTCAAAAATTTTGGAAGAGGTCCCCTTCTTCATCATAACTATGTACTTAGTTCATCGGTTTAATACCCAGGAGTTGAGAAGAAGATTTTCAAAACATAAATGCATTTTTTACCGTATATTCATTAGAGTCCCGCCCTAACACCAGAACCCTTCACCCAGGAGCTATAAAATTCACAATTTAGGAAGAGGTTCCCTTCCTCACCTTAACTATGCCCAGGAGCAGAGAAGGAGATTTTCAAAGAATTAATGCATTTTCACTATATTATCATTAGAGCCCCGCCCTAACACCAGAACCCCTGAAACAGGGACCATGAAATTCACAATTTTGGAAGAGACACCCTTCCTCATCATAAATATGCATTTATTTTGTTTGTGTAATAGCCAGGAGCAGAGAAGATTTTTAAAGAAGAAATGCATTTTCACTATTTATTCTACAGAGCCCCATCTTTGTACCAGAACCCCTGACCCTAGGGCCATGAATTTAAAAATTTTGGTAGAGGGCTCGATATGCTTATTACAATCATGCACACAGTTTGGCTGCTTTATGTCTGGGAGTAAAGCAGAAGGTTGTTAAAGATTGCATTAATTTTGATGTGACAGCCCCACCTTTCAGGGCGCGGGGGGGGGGGGGGGGCATGAATTTCACAATTTTTATTCCCCCTCACCCATAGATGCTATATGCCAAAATTTGTTGGAATTGGTTCAGTGGTTCCAGAGAAGAAGCTGAAAATGTTTAAATGTTGACACACGACGACGGACGCAACCAGATAGCAATAGGTCACCTGAGTAAACTCAAGTGACCTAAAAACGATGCTTTGTCCCTTTTGTTTTTCTGCTGAACAAATTTGATAATTTGCAAAGAGGTACATGTCTAAATAGTGGAAACTTAATTTTTGAATGGGGTTAAAGGGGCGTATAGTTGAAGAACTGCCCAGAAAGGGCAGTATTCAGGTTTCTGGAAAAGGGGGTGCGGAGCTCGATGAGGGTTGGGGATGGATGAAGTATGCCCTCTGTTAAGCCCGAAAACTATTATAAATGATTTCTAGTATATCTGGGTTAATTAAATCGTTTTCCCCCGCGGATACAGGATTTTTTCCGGGGGGGGGGGGTTCCACCCCGGTCAAGAAATTTCCAACCTAGAAATTTCTTGACAAGCAAAAAAAAAAAAAAAAAAAAAAAAAAAAAAAAAAACAAAACAAAACAAAACAAAACACCCCCTCCCCCCAAAAAACACGTAAACTCCATTTCCGAAACTTGAATAATACCCATTTCGTAGTGGTGGCGTCGGGGTCTACGTTTTCTTGGGGGGCTGGGGTTCAAAGTCATTTTTTATTTGCTTCAGTATATACTTTAAATAACTCTGCAAATTCCAGGAGGGCCCCCCTTCCGCTCTAGAACCGCGCATGAGTAAGAAAACATAAGCTAGCGGCATTATTTAAGCTAGTAATTAATTTATTTTGTTTCAAAAATAGCATTTTCGAGATTTTTTTCATTATTGTAAAGGGGGGGGGGAGCAAATGCACCAACGCAACCCCTTCTGACGGCTTTTCGGAAGCTTCCTTTTCTTCATTCCTACAAAATAATATTTAAATATCGTTTTTAATTATTTTAATACGAACTGCCAAGTAGATCAAACTTGAGCGTGACCGACATACGTGCTAAAACAATACACAATATAATCAGTTACTTAATATAATGATAATGTCCTTGACTTTGACATACCTGGTTTTAAACCAACACGTCAGTTAATAGCAAGGATGCCATAAAGAAGACTGATACAGTCTGGATAACGAAGACCGCATTTTAAGCGATCTTGATAAGAGACTTCAAGGTTGAAGTGCATGGAAATTAACAAGTGAAGACTGCAAACGTAATTTGGAGTTGCGCTGGCTTCCATGATAAGATAATATACCTGATCCCGTCTATGTGATGTAAAAAACGCCATAGCGATCCAATATCTCACCAAAAGGTCCAATATCTCACTCAGGCCAACATCTTTTTTGACCGCTCAGAAAAAACACTGGTAGTTAAGACTTTTTTCAGTTTAGATTTAAATAAAAAACAATTATTAAAGGTATAACAATAATATTTCTAACACAATATCTTTCAAATAATACATTTTCCAATCTTTGTCGAATAAAATTAAAATGAACTTGCCTTTGATAAATAAATAAATAAATAATATATATATAAGCAATTCTCGTTCAGCTTCAAGTACAGATAAAGCTTAGTGTACATGAACTAGTCGTTAGATAAAATTTAGTGTACGTGAACTAGTCACTAGTTACCAGGTATATCTTTATACATTATAATTTACGATCGAAATAATTTGTAGTTTACAACTGTAAAATACCTTTTTTGAATCCAAAATTATTTTTGTGAAATGATGATAAATAATCTGTGTACCGACTTAACGGTTTTCTTTAGAGCTAACTGGAACTTCTCACTTCTCTACCAATTTTTAAATCTCTTCTTGCTTTTCAAATGTGGATCTTTGAGCTTCTTAGTGTACCACTCCTTGTTCTTTGGGAGTTTTTCTTCTCTTTTTTCTCTTCCGTTTCTCTGGCGTATCTTCACCAGAGTCATCTGAACTATACTCGCTACTCCCAGAGTCTTCTGACAGGTTTCAATGATCTCATGAATATCATTGGGATCCGATGTCTTGTCATCATCTCTGCAATCATGGATTTTTCCTGAACATGACTCATTGAAGTTTCTGTGCCTTATCAGATTAGCATTCTTGTTTGATGCATAGTTACACAAACCACATCGAAATCTCTTCTCTATCTTTCTTACACCACATGCCACAATATGTCTTTTCAGCTCTTCCAAGTCCACTGTCTTGAAAGGGCACATTGGACACTTCTGCTCTTTTCTGGGAGTTGCCTTTGTTTTCGGCATGTTGATCCTACAATCAGAGAAACTGTATTACTTTAAATCAGTTTTATGACTGTATTACAAATTTTAATTTTCAATTATATAGTCTTTCCACCAGTGTGGGGGACGTTTAGTACGACCTCACAGTCTTGAGACTGAAGCATTTTCAGAATAATTTCTGAAACAATTTCTATATCATTGCTCAACGTATCTTTTTCTCCATGGTCTTCATTCTGTTCATTATGAAGAATAGCTCTTTCTTAATCCCCATTCTATCAACATGAATAACTTAGGGTCGACCTCTTACAACACAGTTAACTTCATAACTCACCTTAGTGAATTTTCCCAGTACTTTAAATCGTCCTCTCCCGAAGACGGTTAATTTTGGAGATGTACCTGGCTTTTATCTTGGAAAAATACATAGACCTAGTCATCTGGCTGGAAAATCTGCCAGTTGAGCTTTTGATCATGCAAAGACTTCCATCTCAAAATAGAATGCTTGAGAATTTTGTCTCACAATTGTGTGTGCAGTCAATGT